ATAGTACTTTCATGATGTTCAAACGGAATCTATCTCCAGTTATTTCCGAAGCAACTCGTTTAAACACTTACAAAACCCTAGTTTTGCCTATTATTTCCGATGCTAGTGCTGCCTGGTACCCTTCAAAGTCAGAGACATCAGTCTTTTTGAAATTTTCAACGCCGTGTTACTAAATGGACTTGTGGTTAGGTCGACTTCAATTATCCCGAACGAAAATGCAACATTCTTCTATCCAAAATGATAGCAGGAAGCACCGGTATTGAGTGGCGAAAGTATCTATCTCATTCTTTGAGCCCGTGTGCACAACGTACTGAAAATATCTTTATGGCACCTAAAATACGGGTCGAAGTTCTTCTTCGAAGTAAGAACTTCAAAGCTTATAAACAAACCGATTTCCAGTGTTGATTTTCTTCAGCCGATGGGACTCAAAGTAAACGTGTTGCCACACCTATGGGACGCATTTGGTGATTTTAGCGTGAAGAATCTATTTGTTCATGGAGATATATGTTTCTATGCGACACTTATAGACTGAAGAACGAAAACTCTGTTTCCTCTGTTAAACTCAGGGATCGTCATTCCCCTTCAGCTTTTAGCTGTAAATTTATAACAATCAAAACAATAGGGATGCTAATTTGATGGAAAAAAATGTTGCCAAAGATAATTATCAAAGTTTAATTACGCGTACACTTGAATAATTTTTTCGTTCACAGTTATCGCAAAAAAATTGATATTGATTTGGTCCTTTTAATGAACTACTATACCAATGTAGCAATATTTGCCATCACTTATTGCCATAGCTTCTTCAGGTTTACTTTTTCTGAAACATATCTTTTTGCGCAATGATCAAGTCAAGTATGCAAGAAAGATTCTTTCTAGAAGTCCAATCAATGTCCTATTGCCCTAATGCTTCAATTTTTAGCGGATGTTGTTTAGATAGACTGACTTTCTCCTTTCCGTTTTTCTTTATATTAAAATTTAAATATCATTAGTGAGTGCGTGGCGATTGTCTATTATAAAATGATAAAAAAAACAATTGAATTTTATGATAATGTTTGTTTAATTGGAAGGCCCACATTTACTCTGCAAATTTTGGGAAGAAAGTTTCTTCTGATTTACTTGAGCATGGCTGATTTTCAAGGTTTCCTGATTTCAAGAGTTATGTTGATCTATTTATCTCCTACAATGATCGCCTGTTTCTCTGTTTGAGAAATCAGGAGTCTTGACGTGCTGCTTTTTTACATTTTTCCTGACTTTTTTTACAATTTGCTTTACCCCGTTTTGGGGTTGCTGTGTGCTGATAATCTATTAGGCACTTTTTGTAGCGTGCATCTTGGCTACATTTTTGTGGTTGCTTTAAAAACGAATTGGTTGTACATAGAGTGCATTAAATCTTGGTATCTTTTCATGCGGTTAAGGCCATTACAGTCCAAAGGTACATAGAATGGAATCGAGAACTGTTAAAAATCTTGGATATAGTTTTTTTGCATAATAAAAATATTTATATCAATTTTGTTCAAAACGTTTTTTTTAGTTATTCAAGTCAACATTCCTCGAATAAAAAATTATGAAACCAAGATATAAACCAAGTATTGAATAGAAAATTTTGAGTAGATCCTTTTCATATGAGTACTAACTATTTATGTACAAATTTAACTCACCAACTATTAAAAACACAGCCAACAGAATTAGTTAAACCTAAAACGGGATCAAAAAACAATTGATTCTTTTTGAAACAATTTCGAGTAAAAAACATGTTTTTTTTTGAAAATTGGAAACGTATTATGATAGATATTTTGTAGATAAATTTTCTTCCAATTTGAGGAAACAGGATCGAACTTTTATTTTTGTATTTCGCAGGGAAAATCAAATTTCGCCGCTCACTCTTGAACCTAAAAATTTCATTCAATTTTTCAACGCAACTTTTTCAAATTAGTTATTGACAAACGGCAGAAAGTTGCTCTAAAAAGTGGAAGATAGAGCAAAATAAAGAAAAAGAAACCCCTGGAATTTTTTTTGCTGAGCCAGAACTGAACCTTTGACTTTAATCAATTATGAAATCAAACTATGCGCAACTTTTCCTGGTGACCAACAATTTTGAGACTGTGGGTAGTGGGTTCAATGATGAGAGTTCTTTCATTTCTTTTTTGTTTTTGATTTTAGTTTGTACAAAACCCTTTTAAGTTCTTAAAATTTTAAATGGGCACTCCTTCAGTTACCTTGTTCAATTCGAACGACGTCTCAGACTTGGCATGATAAATTAGAAACAATCAAAATATATCAAAATAAAACAAATATATCATGAACTTTAAAATTGGTTGATTTTTTTGTTTAATTTTATTGCAAAAAATAGGCCGCTGTGATTACAAAAGGGATTTTTAGGATTGTTGGCCGGGTCTTACAGTAAAGAAAAAAATTCGAGAAAAGATCAAAATTCTTAAATTTGTAGATTTACCACGGCCGTAATTCTTTTTTGACATTTTTTTTTACAAATATGAGTAATAAATTCCCCCTTCCGAGAAGTACGGTAAAAAGAGACTAGCGGAATATGCTGCACACAAGGTAGAAGTCAAATCAGTCTTGGGATTGTTTTCTCCAACGTTTTGTGCCAACGAAGGAAGCAACAATATGTAAGTAAGTAAAAATGTCTTAACTAGTTGCGGTCTACTCCGCAATTGAACTTGAATTTAACGTGATCAGCTTTGAATTTATCAGCAATGACTAATTTTTTTTTCTAACTTTTTTGGGCAATCTATAATTTAGACACAGCCAACAGACAGTTGGAAAAGATTCAATGAACGCAAGGAAACAGAAAACAAATTTTGACTTTTTTTTTTAAAAAAAACTTCATTTTTACTATTTCAAAGAAAAAAAAATGTATGGCTTTACAGCCCTTTGAGATTCGAAAACAAGTTATGATTGACTCTTTTTCAGAGCTATTAAACACAGGTGAAGCTGCACTTCGCAAACACAAGCGAGCAAAATGCAAGAAAGAGCTCTAACCAAACAAAGCAAAGTGAAATCAAGAAAAAATTAAAAATACAACTTGAAAAAAATCGAGGTTAGGACTATCACGTTCTCACATCCGCTCCACGATTGCGTGTAAGTTTACTGACACCAGTGTAAACATCAACCTAACACCAAAAAAGCAGCTACAGTTTCTATCAAACTGCCAATGTTATGCATTAAAAACTCGATTAAAAAGTTGAACTAACTACATGTTAAGGATTTGAATAACCAACCTGCTGATTAGGATTATCACGTGCTCGCATCTACGCCACGGTGACTTGGAAGTAAACTATTGGCCAAATATTTTTATTGACATCTTGTACTGTTATGGAAATGCATAAGCTTCAAAAATGGTCTTTACGCTAAGCCCTAGTGTTTCTCCTCAGAAATAGAGGATTAAATTCTTATTTAAAGGAGAAAACTACTACTTGTTCTTTCAATTGAAGTCCTAAATTCAGATTTTGCTGCGCAGTTTCCAAAAAGTGAAAGATTCCACAAATCGATCAAAATTTCAAAGTTTTGATTTTCCTAAATCCACAAATTTCTCTAGTTAGGCATGGGAATAGCTCGTGCTTTCCGCACCATGATTTGTAGATCGCAAATTTCGGTAACTTGATGTTTTAGATTGAACTCTTAATGTCGGATTAAGCTAGTAGTTTTTAAGAATAGTGACAAAATTTCTAAAAGCAAACGTTAACATCTGAAAAGTTTTTTTTCCGAAATCTATATGCGCTTTTCGGCAAACAACAGTGTTATCATTACGCAGTGAAAATCAAAGCACTATGCTAGTTTTAGTGAACTATTAAGTTCACAATCAGCTGGTAAGCTCCTGATGAAAAAAAAACTTTCCAAAAAACGGTCAAAATTTCCGAAAATTGGACATTTTCTTAGGCCAATTTTTTTTTCAAAAACGCAGGTCATAGCTTCTTGCGCAAGTATGCACCCTTAATCTCCGATTTGTCAGAGTAATTTTTGAGAAAATTCCAAAAATTTTGAGAAAAAACAATTAACCAAAACGTCAAAAAATGGTTTTTTTTCTACCGAACTTAAAGAATAGCCATTTGAGAAGGGGAGATCCACATAATTTGTTCTTTTATTAGAAAAGTTCATATCAGATTTGTCTAATGAATTTTAGAGAAAACGAAAAAAAACGAGCAGGCCAAATCTCCCTGTGGAAACTTTCGAAGCCCGTAAAACGTGAGGTATAATGAAAGGCGACTAGCAAAAAAAGCAGGCAAATAAAAGCCGCAGGCATTTCCATTAATACCATGTTTTTGAAAATCGGTAGTAGGTTTTGAGAAAAATTGAAATTTCTGCAACTAGGGCAAAATTTTCCTAGGCGCCGCAAACAATGAAAAACAAAAAAACCCATACATTTTCATAATACATGTATTTTTCAAACAGGAACTGACAAAACCAAAAACAGTGCAGTTACATATGCCAAACAATTGTGTATGCTCAAAAATATGATTTAATTAAAATTTATACCAAAAGTGCCACCAAATGAGCACTTTTATTTGCGACTTAAATTAGAAAAAAATTGATTCGCAATAATACACTACGTTTTTTTGTTTAATCAATTTGAGAAAATTGGATCAATAAGCAAAGTTGTTATTTTGCCAAGCATTGCTCTTCAAAAAAGTTCCTGAGCTTCTTAAATTCTGCGTTTTGGGAATAAATGTGTACTGGGCTCTTTTTTTTTTAATCTCCCACCTCAAACGAGCATCATTTTTATGATGTAAATATTGCTTTCACAAGGTTAGTTATAAAGACTAAATAAATTGGCCATGGCCTAATAATTAATTAGTCCGCATGTCAATTTTCATAATAATTGGACGATCTGAGGAAGCATTTTACTTGTAAAAATTTACAGGTGGGGAAAAGGAAAAAGAGCACTGTAATGCTTCAAATTTTTGTAGATAAAATTTTGAGTTATATTTGAAAAAATATAAAACGCAAAACTGAAAAATTAGCAAACCCCAGATTAAAAATGCTTCAATAAATTATAAATTGAGTTTTGAATTTGTCGATTTACCCATGCGTTGCAATTTCCCGAAAACAGTTACTGCACATTAAGAGGATGAGTTTCTTAATTTGGAGATTTTCATGAGATTTAAAACAGCAATTTACAATCTTAAATGAGAAATTCATTCGAAACAAAATGTAATTGAAGATAACCATATGAATGAATCCATTTTCCTAAAGTAATCCATTTTTGTTATAAAAACCTGATAAAAAACCTCAACCTTTAAAACTTTTGAATATAATGGAATGTTCTGTCATAGAAGTGTAAAACATGCAAAATATAGCTCAATAGTTAATTGAGAGTAATTCGAAATTTATAATAATAATATTTAGTAACAACTGCCGACGCGCTTAGATGCAGAAGCCATACCAAGTGGGCAAAAAATTTTCAATTCTTCTTCGCGACTCCTCACTTTGACTTTTTTGTCGGTTATTTAGATGGTCGGCAAAGTTAAGCGTATTTTCTACACAAATAAGAAACCTACCGAAAGATTCTACCAAATCAATACATTATTAATTTATTCGTTATCACCTGACAATCAGTCTTGTACTAAATTACGAGTTTTATTTTTCCAGCGAAGTTAAATTAAGTTTGTTTCTGTTAAATAATTCACTTAATTTGGGCTGACTGGCCAGCGGCAGCGATTTAATCAGAAGTTTGAGTTTGGGTTATAAATAAGTTATAGAATTATGAACTGATCGAGTTGTTAAGCTTCATTGTTCCACTTTACGATGAATTTTCTTCTCCAGCTTAATTTTGATGCAATAGGGTAGATATCTTCTCAGACAAGTGCACAGCAGCACAGATTGTGGAATTTAGCTGTACATGTTGATTTGTACCCACTGAAATAAGCGACGTTGTTTCTAATAAATTACGCAATTGTTATGAAATTGGGCATTGATTTCTGATTGAAATTACCTGCTTGACGCTAACTTCTGCATTGCCTTGTCCATTCTTGTGCGCTTCGTATCGTTCTACATGGAAAAAAAAAAGATATGTTAAAGGCACCCTTGCGAAACTTGTCAAATTTTTTTTTAAAAAATGATTGTGTTGCAATCTACACACTTCAGTGGCTAGTATTCTATATTTGTTACCCAACTCCTCAATAAATTCTGGCTAGATATGTAGAATTGAACGAAACAAAAATTAACTTTTAATGAAAATCTATACGTAAACAGAAAAAAATTCTTGTTTTCTGAAAATTGTCATTTTTCGAAAAAATAGATGACCTTTAAACTCTTTGAATTTACAACACAATTTATGATTGACACTTTTTTTTTGATAAAATTAACCAAATATCAGAAAACTGGATCATTAGAAAAACTTTCATTTCGCTGTGAAATCTGGCAATCAAATTCCATTGCACAAATTAGATCACGTTAATGTCAACTTTACACTTTCGCTGCTCGATAGTGGAGCTTGCCTTCCTTTTAACGAAGGAAATGAATTGAACAAAGAAAAATAGACAGTTGGATAAGTGCCGATTTTTTGATAAATATGAACTATGAACCAATTCCAATAACTGCTTCAATGGCTAAATTTTTTATTCCACCAGAAACTCTGAAAGTGAACATCTCATTTGATACTGGAACTCTTTCATCTAGTTTGCGCGCCATTGCACTTCATTGATGAAGAGCGTAAACTGGCTTCCTTTTAGCAAATGAAGTCGAATTGAAAAGAAATCTCAGACAAACCGCAAAAAAATACATTTGAGCGTGAACAAATTTCGAGACGATTTCCATAAAAAAATCAACACGGCCTAAGTAAGTGTCTTCACTACGGTCATTGATTCTTCAAAAATAAAAGCCAAGACTGTTCAATAAAATGCCTCGACCACGAATTATCAATACAACTAGTTCCTTGTGGTTTTCTATTTTTCTTGGCTAAAAAAAATTAAAAAATAGGTAGCCATAAATATTAACTTTTTACTGTTATTCCATAATTTTCACAATTTTTGATGGGGTTACATCGAAAGATGCGAAAGAGTCAAAACATTTGTTAACTATAATCGTATAAATTAATTACATCAAAAAATTTTTTGAGTGAGCGTATTTAAATAAAAAAAACATCCTTTGAAATTTTCAGCCAGTAGGTTAACAGAAACATCAAAACGAAAACCTGAAGACAAAATGCTTCTCACATAATTTGATTACTGATTTAGGTTTTTTTGTTTCGACCAACACCAAAAGCGTGGGTAGAATTTCTGGCCCAAGATATTTTGTGACTTTGTTTAAGGTACATTAAGAGCTTTGCATCACTTGCGATGCAAAAAACACATTGCGGTACAAAATAGTGAATGAAAAACAAATACACATGTTTCAAAAATTCTAAAAAATTACTTGACAAAAATTGAAAAATTACAGCTAAAAAATGTTCATATTTGCATCAAAGGAAGTTCATAAACAGCCCTTAAAAAATGGAAATCATTTACCGAGCGGCAACAAGTTTGGGTCGAAACCTGTTGAGCCGAAAACAAAACTGTTGTCATGAAAAATTTCATGACATTTAAAAGTTTTTACGACCGATCCAAATTAATACACATTATCTGAAACGGATCTATTTTGCCCCAGAAACTTCGCAAAATAGGTTGAATAAATCCATATAACATAAACTGAAATTGTTTGAAAATTAAAAAAAAGAATGGGAAAAACTAAAAATCAGACATGGTAAATTTACAAAATTGTGAAGGTGAAGTTTCAGTTATAGTAAAAACTTTTTAAATTGGAACAAAAACCATGCTTTAAAAAGTAAGCCAATCAAATACTATCAGATGAAAAAATGCCTTTAAAAACCGGAAATTGAAACGACAGAAGCTAGGACGATAACCAGGAATTCGAAAAAAAATTGAGAATTTTTTTTGAAAAGATAATTACAAACTGAAACGACTGAAACGGGTTTGAACTAATTACTAATTTAAAAATTTCATTATAACTTGATTAACTGACCGAAGGTGGATCTGAGTTTGCCTGCAATCATGACGAAGTCGTTGAAGTCTATCTGGTTCTGTCTGTTCGCATATCTGGTCACAATGCACGAGAACGTGGACCTGTCTAGAGAGTACCCCAAGTACTTCAGAGCATCCTAACACAATTTAATTGCAATACAAACACAACACAATGTAATTTAACAAAAAATTCACGTGTGATAGCTAAGTTTTCATTAAAATAGGTACAAACATTTTTTATCTAAGATGGCACAAATTCGTTGTATCTCTAGCATTGACCAATAATACAGAGCGAATCAGAGCATGCAGTCAGTCACTTGTAATTCATAGACAATTCTTTTTCCTATTCAATGTTTCCAGCAAACAATGTGACTGAATTTAGATCATGCCTGCATTTCGAAGGAGGAGAATGAGCCGCTTTTGTCCTCGTCGAAGTTGAGGAAGACCTTCTTGCACATGCAGATGTACACCCACAGTTCAGTGAACTCCACAAAGCCTAACTTGCCAGACATGTCCTCCTAGAAGAAAAAACAGAGCATTCCACAATAAAAACTTCACCCTCTGGTCTGTACTTGCGAATAGTAAGTATGCAGTTATGATTCGCTCATATTTTGTATTTCGGAAAAGATGAACAAAGAACTGTTTCGATCTCTTTCAGAAAAAGAAGCGGCCTATTTCAATCTCAATTCATAGTCTGTAATAAAAAACACGGCTGAAATTAGCATTCAATTTGGCAACAATTATCACCAGGTAAGGCGAACTCTGTTGAAATTTTGACTCAATGATCGCTCTAAGCCGCTTCAGTAGCTAAAAACTCTAAGCTCTACCAAACAAGAGTATAGAGCCAAATTTGGGTAGAATTTGGGCGGGGGAGGCAAGGGGGTATACTGACGTCGTAGATGGCGACCATGGTCCTGCAGGCGTCGATGGAGAAGTTGCCAGTCTTCACTTCTGCCAGAGCATCACTCTCGTTCAACATCTGTCGCAGCTCAAATGCATCCACCTCCAGATCCTACACAACCACAACACAATGCCCATATGATTTATACAACAAATCTGACTTGATTAACAATATGCTTTTCATAATATTATATTTTGCAAGATTAATTTGTACTTGATTTAAATTTTCCAGCAGACCATCAAAACATTTTACAAATCAATTTTGATAGTTTTCAATTTTTCTTAGAAAGAACGGAAAACAAGCGTTTCTAGCTGATGCTAGGCTTAGTAAACAATTTTACCTGTTCAGCTACCTAAATTTTAAACGTAGAACAGGGTCGCCAAGTTTGAAGTCATGCTATGATTTTGTTTTCGTTACTTATAATTAGTTTATTTTGGTCTTAGCGAGTCTATAAACTAGACTTCAAATGTAGATTTTAACTCAACTTCAAATGTAGATTTTAACTCAAAGCATGACTAATATTAAAATTTGACCATATATTAAAATTTCGCATTAGTTAATTCGAATGAAATGAGTCACCTCTCCAGCTATGTCGGCAAACTTCTTCTTCAACTCCTCGTAATGTCCCTTCTCTGTCGGGGTCAGGGGCTAAAAAGACACAAATGTATTTATACAGTCACAGTAGCATTCTCTTGATTGGTTCAACAAAATGAGGATTCCACGCAGACAAGGGGCTTAGGATAACCGGGCGACCAAACCATGTAACATCAAGTTGTTAAGGGCCTATATATTTTATATTGAATTCGCTTTCAAGAAGGGAACAATATGTTTTTTATTTATAATTTGCTTATGATCAATTTTCTGAAGTAGAAATTTCTCTAAAACGTCGCATGAAAATATGTTGAATGCAGTTTGAGCCAAGTGAAATATATGGGCATACACTACTCAATCTTAACATGAGTGAGACCAGCTTCGAGAAAATTTAATCCTCAAATGATGACCCGCATTATTCGTCTATCAGCATAACAAAAATTTAGGCATGCTCGTAAACTGACCAGAAAGCAGTTACAAAAAACTACTAGTCAGCTATCTATATTTCAATATACTTGACACGCAAAAAATCAAACATTGTTGGATCAAGATAGCCACGTGATGAAAAAAATTGATTCGAGAATCTGACCAATTGATTTGATGACATAAAAGCGATTTTCATTTGAAGAAAAATAATTAGGCTCCATACACTTCAAGAAGTGTTAAACGGCTCGGCTCATTTGAGGGTAAAATATAGGGTTCGAGGAGTGACCCCAACCCCCCGAAACGATAGTTACAAGATGATTTACACCGGTGAAAATAACGTTCTCCACAGTATTCACTGCAAATGAATTTATGAACTTTTTTGCGAAACCCCGAGTTAAAACAGAACAAAACTTAAAATAGTTCAACAGAATAAGAACGAGAAAAGACATTACTCACTTTCATTGACCTTTTTTCAACTTTAGGCAGCTTCGCAGCTAAACTCTGCAAAATTACACACAACATTCATCACCAATACTCGGTGCAATTTTCACATAACTCGACTAACATCAAACGAGATCTTGAAAAAAAAACAAATTGAATAAAAGTACATATTTTTCTAAGCCTTATTGCTCCGACGTGTCTTTGGTTTTTTTTTGTATATGCTTGCCACTTTTTTCGCAGATTCATGTCTTCGCTGCATTATTCTACTGACGGATAGGTGGAAAGCCAACAAGCCGAAAATCAATTAATATCATTTTGGCATTGTTGTTATGTGAAATTGACGTAATTTTGGTTTCAATTTATGGCCAACCAGCCAAAACTAACATTACCATTCCAACAAGCCAAAAATCAACCAAAATAATTTTGTTATTGAGTTTTCACGTAATTTTGGCTGGAATGTATGCCGAACACGCCGCAACTACCTTTGCCATTCCAACATGCCCAAAATTAAATAACATTTGATAATTTGTTTTGCAGTTTTCACGTAATTTCGGCTTCAATTTATGGACAAAAGCCCGAAAATTGATTAAACTATTCCAACAAGCCGAAAAATTAACATCATTTTTTCATTTTTATTATGAAATTTTGACGTAATTGTTCCTACTTTTTGAAAAATGGGGTGGAACTTTGTGTTCGGGTGTGTTTTCAGCTACCACAAATAATCATCGGAGTTAGTAATATATCATTATACAGCCTTTTCGGTCGTAATTCGAACAAAAACCAGCTTATTTTAATAGCTTAAAAATTTACAATAGCATAATTTAAACCGTAAACACTTTGTTTTACTCGATTAAAGTTAGTTTTCCTAAGTATTACAGAGCCTTTTTAAAAATCATAACTTCAAAAAAAATTGAAATAATGGAAATTTTTTTTTGTTTTTCAAGTCATATTTCAACAAAGTTGTTTTCCAAATTGCTTTTTTTAATGACAGTCGAATACTCCTAAAGCCTAATTTTTCGTTCAAACCCTTTTATCAAACCACGCAGAAAAAACGACATTTGAAAAACCTTTTTGAACTGTTTGAGACTATGGTCGGAACATTCTCTGCTCCTAGCAATAACCGGCTATCCTTGTTTTGATGTAAATTTCGTCTTCAATTTATGTAGGCCTGACGGATATCCGCCGACGGATAGTACCTTTAACCAGGGGACCATATCTTCATCTACAGTGTGTGTTCGCATCAGGGCTCTCCCGTAGAAGTTCTTTCTCCGTATGACAAACCCTTCCGCTGTACTTTGGCGCACTAGACCTGTCTCTGTGCTGTATTGGTGGATTACTTCCGCAAACAACTCATCCAGTTGAACACTTTTCAAGTTCATTTTAAATCCAGTTTAATGACGATTTTCACTTCAAGACATTTCAAATGCACATAACACTCAACAATTAGAATTCCAATTTCAACCGTTGTCTCGTTTGTGCAGGTCAATAGTTACTGTTTTGTTAATCACAAGACGATGAGAAGAGTATAGTTCCAATAACTTTCAGCATCAAATAAACATTTTAAAAGAAAATCAGTTTTTTTTCTTACAGATAAATAGTTTTAAAAAACGAGGACCGTCGTTCCGTAAGTAAAAGACCAGAAAATAAGTCACTACGAAGTTAAATGGTGTGCAATAAATAACATACTAATCAAACTATTGCGAAAAGTATGAGTTAATTTTAGAATATATAGCGCTTAACGTAATTATGATTCAATCTGTCTGATGTTTTCGGCTCGACTTTGGTTTTGAAAGAGTTCAAGAGACACCGGTAGTTGGTAAAATCAATACCAATTTTAATTCATATGTCCTATTAAATGACGTGCGATCAACGTTTGTCAATTGTTTGTGATCTTCAGTAGCTTTATATTGATGAGTTTGTCTGATTTCGTCATTTGAGAACGCTAGCCAACTGATCTGGTTATTTGATTAGTGGAGTCGACAGAAATCATTTATGAATTTTTTCATCTATGAAGGTTTCATTTCTCTGATCTTGTTTACTACCAGACCCCCCCCCCCCCCCACCTATTGCGCAAGGGGAGGAAATTCGTTACAAGGAACAAGTTCGCACAAGGTAGAAAGTTTGCATATGCTTAATCATTGAGTTAGTCCGTCAATATCATGCCAAAATCATACCTAAAATTATCTTACCACATAATATCAACCAGATCCTAATTAGTTAATCAAATTATATCCTAATTACTTAATTACTTATATTATCAACCAAAAATTATCCCGGTTACTTGATTAGACACCTAAGGGGTCCCTGTTAGACAAGCACAACCTATTTTTTTAAGTTTTCTTTTCTGATTAGAGCTAAACGGAAAAATCGTTTACTCATTTCAAAACAACACTTTATTATCACCTTAATGATAACTATCAGATGATAACAACATGTTTGGACAAATGATTCGGTCGATGTTCGAATTGTATAACTATTCAATAATAATATCAGGTTTGAGACTTTAATTAGAGGGATCTTTTTCTCGTTCACTGGACTAACATTTACATTTTGCAAGATGCGACGTCGGGTTTTGCTTTGTTCATGCAAAAACATGTATATCTCATTTCAGGGACCTCGTTCCCTGGCATCGCAGAAGTAACTACTAAACTAGTTAGTACATTAATCAAGGCTTAAGTATAGCTGCTCTTCGTTTGATTACAATCAAGGAGAAACTTGATTTGATAGAATACATACCTTGGACTGAAATTTAGACTTTGTATTGAAAATCACTCACTCAGGTTAGTATAATTTCTTCCAATTCATTTAGTGAGAACTCTTCTATCGAAAATCAGCATTACCTTGACAGTTGGTTTGTAGTCAGTCTGCTGATCCAGTGCCCTGAAACACAACCACAATTTTGACGAAAGATTACGACCTTATGAGACTAAATTCAGCTTATCTTCGAAAATTTCTATTGAGTTAGTGTACAATTAGCTTGTTAAATACTTAAAGTCTAGCTAGTAGACCGTAGGAATTTTATTGAACTCAGAAAAACCAAAAAAAAAAATATTCCCGATAAAGTTCGATTCCAAAAAAAAAACAACTGAAACTTATCAAAACAGGATCGACAAGTAAAGATGACTTGTGTTATTTCTGTGTTCAGTTACTATTACGGGGTTTTCTACAACATTCGTTATATCGATTAATTAAAAGTAAATTTTCAAAGAAAAAATTCATCACCTTAAAACTTTGATTTTCAAGGATCTTGCCGCTAAAAAAATTTAATCAATTTGAGAGAGCTAGACCAATAGGTAATTTAAATATTCCGCCGGTGAATGTAAATTTAAATCCCCTTTTGGAACCTAAATTCAACTGTTTGCATTTTTGTTTTCGAAGAATGTAGTTAAAATACGAGAGCGTTCATTAACATTCAAAGAGAACAATCATAGAGGTACACCATAAGTGAAGCTTTACATCACCAACAAACTGGAAAAACGAAGAAAAAGCTCTAGAACATACATGAAACACAACCCAATTGTAAATGATAACAGATTTCTAGTCTACGGAATTTGAATAACGGAACTCGCGGTCAACAGGCATTTGCCTTAACTACTAGTCCACTACTTCCATATATACTCATCTGATAGTAATCACCAGATGTAACAATAGAGCATATATAGGGCAAGTTAACTAATTGCCAATGATCACCATTAGCCTAATTGTTGTGATAAATATATTAAATAGATATGTTATGCTCTGAACCGCCTCGTGGGGAAGACCTAAATGTAGAGTTTTGAGACAAGCGTTGTGTGTTATATTGATAATCCTTCAACTATTTGGCCTGGTTCTCTTCTGACATTTCATCCAGCTGGTCTAGTTGTCCGCCCCCAGTGTTCTATCTCCCCTCTAGCTGGCCTAGTTCCCCGCCACCCAATAAGCAGAACTTCAAATCCGCCAGGTTGTACCATTCCGGGAGATTTTAACCTGTGTTTTCAAACTTGTGTTTCTTGCTGTTGTTTTACCGTGCTTTTAACCTCCATTTCACTATGTAAATGCTTATCCTACAGAGCTTTTCTCGTTTCTGCTCGCTATTGTATTGTAGGTGATGCCCCCTCGGTTGACAGCCCCACTGCTGCCTTGGGAATTTGAAGTGAAGCTCTAGTGATTGGAACCTCACGCACCAAATATATTAAAGACATTGGCGTACAGACCACAGTCCACCCGTACAGAGGAGCTACTATTTTATACCTCATTGAAGTAGTATCTTAATATCCTCCCCTCGAAGTTAAAATACTAACCCGTCTACAATATTTATTATCTGCTACAATGCATTGATTGACCTCATCGATTATAAATTCGAACCCTCAGTGCTAATTGCGCCAAAAAACTTGCACCTCAAATAACTCTACCACCAATAAGCAAATTTTCAATCATAACATTGCCATATATTATCTCTTCTCCAAAAGTTTAGCTCCAGTAGCATTTTTTTCGCCCTATCTCTCGTCAAAAATATGATCTGTAACGATGGTGTTCACATTACGTTTTTGGCAACAATATCTTGGGCCAATACCTATATAAATTAATCAGTTTCTTCAATGACCGTTAATACTCTAATTTAAAACTTAACAAAACTAAAGCGTTAATTTCTTAAGTAAATTAGTGCAGCATCCCCAAAACTCAGCTATGACAAGCAGAGCGCAAACACAAGGCTCCAAGGGTAAAGGGCACATAAAAGGTGTCGGGGTTTGGTGCAACACATGTGGCACCTACATGCATGTTCGCTGTAGCGGATTGCCCGATCATTATGAAGGCTTCATCTGCCAATATTGTAGTGAAGTGCAACCAGCACCACCCGAACCCCCCAATAATCCGGAATATAACTCTTCATCCGATCCTACGGTAGTCCCAAACACATTTGAACAGCCGGACCACCCAACTCTCCCAAACGACACAATCCCGTAGCTACCACCACGATCGTTCGTGAACCAATGGACTTCTGAGCGAACTTCACTATTGAAAAAGGCCAACTTCTGAAAAAAATCTGAGAACGTTGTCCACTGAAAAGCCATCTTCTTTGGTTTAAATAAGAACAAGACTGGCTTTCTATTCGCAGATACAATGAACTTAATTCTTAGTGTTACCGCCACTAAGTCAGACAAGCGTGAATACCTGATGAATGCAGCGATGGTAATGCCTCATCTTAGGTGGCCAGATCCGAATTAGAAAATGATGGCTCAAATTCCAAAACCATCCAAGGCGACTTGACCAGTGGCTAGATTGTGATTTTGAAAAGCTAAGGAAGCCACATCCCTACAAGAAGGGCTCAAAAAATGAAAACTAAGCGAAAACGGATGAGTATAAGGAGTTTGATTGCAGGAAAAATATCCAGATGTATCAGTGACGAAAGTAAAGGAAGAGTACTGCAATGCCCCTCAATGAAAAAAAAACAAAGGATGACAAGACTAAAAGTGTGGATGATATTTTTCTAGAAGAACACCCTCAGCCAAAAGAAGCAAAAGCCTAATACATCGTTGAAGATAGCATCCAGAGACTCTGCCTTATCATCACTCAATTTTTGAAAAGATGAATGGCACAACGATTCGAGGATTCGCCATGAAGACAAATGGTAGTCACGGCGCTTCAGGTTTAGACGCCTATGACCGGCGTAGCTTGCTTACTACATTCGGAAAGTCATCGAGTGATCTATTCAAACACAGTAGCGAATCTTGCCATCCGAAGAGCGACTGAACGTTTGTATTTCATTTTGCCCTATAATGCATGTAGCTTGAGCGCCTTAGATAAATGCCCAGGAGTCCGACCAATCGGCATAGAAGAAGTATTGCGTCGCATTATGGGCCGCACAAGTTACTCACGCATCAAGGAGGATCTCCGACTCCTTGGAGGAAATCTTCAGATATGTTTAGGTCTTCAGATATGTGGAATTGAGCATGCTATCCACGCCTTGCGTGATTCCTATGATGATAGCGGGTCCGACGCTATTTTATTGATAGACGCTCAGAAAGCCTTCAATAGCCTTAACCGTGATCTCGCCCTTAAGAATATTGAGCAATGGTGCCGATCTCTGTATATGACTATCTCGAATTCGTATAGGGAACCTACTGACTTATTCATTAATGGCAGATGTATCAAATCTCAAGAAGGCACCACCCACAGCGACCCACTGGCCATGAAAATGTATGGCATCGCAAAATTGCCTCTTATGGAAAGAGTACGTGAAATTGATGTAATGCAAAAATGGTATGCCGAAGATGGTAACGCTGCAGGGTCGATTGATAACCTAAAAAAAACTCGACGAAATTACAATACACGACCCGGCATTCGTTAAAACGTGATCAAGTGTCAATTAACCGCAAAGTCAGAAGTAGTAAACAAAGCCCGTGAGGTTTTTACAGATTGTGATACAGATGGTGTACCTGGTCATCGTGTTCTAGAATCAGTTATAGGCTCCATAACCGAATCCGATAAATTCTTATCGGATAAGGCTTATGGGTATAAAAATGTACTGCAGAAACTATCGAAGCATGCCAAAACTTCAACACAAAATGCGTATAAGTCAATTACAGCAGGAGTACAGCATAAATAAACCTTCATTTCAAGAACAACTCCTGACACCAATAACCTGCTTGCAGAAACAGAAAAGGTAATTCATGAACAATTGTTGCCTTCTATAGTCAATCACGCAAACTATGACGATCTAAACCGTAAGAATTTTTCATTACCAGTGCTCGAAGGCCCGATATTTGTAATCTTCTTGTACTTATATGCTACCTAGCCGCAAAAAAAACTTTTTTAGTTCACTTTTTTGCATTCAAAATGAAATTCGGAGCATGCATTTGACCTTCGTTTTTTCATCGTCTTCATTATACATCGTACTTGATTCACAAATTGCTTCAAAGTAAACCTTCTGACACCGCAATTACATAAATACTCTGCCGGTAATCTTAAATTCAACGATTGCAAAGAGTGTTTTATTAGGAATGTCGACGTCTCGCTTCAATACAGTTGATTTCATTTCAGAAAAGGGGTGTGGGTAAACTGACAACCTTATCCAGGGCTGCAGCCCTGAGAAAACAATGGTCTCGTGTATTTGAGATTCGTCAAATGAAGCAAGCGACGGAGAAGGCTCCTCGGAAGACTCAAGAAACGACTGAGAATCTCTATCTCCGAGATATAGTTTCAATGTGTTTTTTCAAAAATGTAGCAAATTTGTGAGCAAACTTTAAACATTTTAGCAAATTTGTGAGCAAATTTTATAAAAATCGTAGCAAAATTTTGAGCCAACTTCAAAAATTGTAGAAATTTTGCGAGCGAACTGAAACTTAATTCACCAGTATTTCACTTGTTCTTAGATGAGTTTTTTAACTAAAAAAACTTGTCCAACAATTATTCATGTAAAATGGTTGACACGGGTAGATGTTAAAAAAAAAATAAAAAAAGCTGTTTAAATTTGACCAAACGAAATACTTTAGTCTAAATCTTCTTATGCTTCACTGACTATTCACAACTTTGCTACAGTTTTCCCCACTTTCTGTTGCCTGGTCTTTCGACCTTCAAAAGTCGCTTCACTATTTTGCGATCCTCAGCTAGTCTTTCGTCAGAAATGTTTTCTTTGGAACTGCCATCGTTGGACCGGTACTTAAATGATAACCTCACAGAGCCTTTGCAGCAAACACCGGCACCCATAATTGGATTGGAACGACGTCGATTTTAGTGTAATAAATGCTCTTAAGAGGAAATGATGCTTTTTGTTTTGAAATCAGAAATAGCTAATGCAAACGTCAAAGTAGACTTGGCGTTAAAAATGCAACAACACTGGTTGTGTATGATTTAGGGCACTGCTAATCATGCAAGGCACGAGGTCATCTAAGGCACGAGGTCATCTAAGGCACGAGGTCTGTATTCTAGCTAGTGCGCAGCTTACATTTCTTTAGAGCACAGCTTCAATTGCGTTCGCGCAAGATCTATGAATTAATGAAATAGCACAAGTTGCGACTTTGAACATTTCGCTACAATATAATATCACTTTGCTTGGTTTTTTTTTGATAGAGGGATAAAAAATAGGTGAGCGAGCATTAAGAAAATAATTTATCGGTGATAAGAATTCGCTTTTGCATGAATTTAGAAGGGCGAAGTGTAATTGAGCCCTTCATTTCCTCCATGTTCTATGCTTTAAACACAGAGGCGAAGATGAGCTTCCCATCACTTTGATACAACTAGATCTATCAAAACGAATGAAGCGAATGAAGATAGTTGTGGAAAAACATGCCCAAACAATAGACTCAGCATCAGAAACAAATTAACCAAGCGGTGAGAAAGCCGAAAATACCTGAGAAAAAACTCTTCAAGCCAAAATTATTTTATTAAAAAATTTTTAGGTCTCCCTTCCCCTCATCGCACACACACAAGCACACACACAAGCACACAAAAACTTTTTGACGCATTAAACGATGCAAAAAGAGGCTACTAAGATGATATAAAACAAGCCGAAACCAGTTAAGCCAAAAAATAAAAATGAAATTTCAACAAACCGATTAATAGAAAACAACCAATTTACTAAAAAGCGGAGGGAAGCGTAAAAAACATGGTTCCCTTGAAACGACCCAAAATTAGGTCACTAAGCCGATAAAAAAGCCGAAATAATTTAAAACGAATAAATTCGGGGGAAAAAAATAAAAAAGGAAATACGATATCAAGATAAGTAAAACTACAAATGCAGGATAAATCAACCACTAAAAGCAACATTAAAAAAAGCACAAAGCACAAAAACCGATTCCAAGAAGTGGCAACTAAGCCGTCAAAAGATAGGTAGACAATGACTAGCTGATGAGCATTTTATTTGAAACAGAAAAAAAACCGGTCGTAGTCGGATTCGAACACGCCCCCTTCGCAGTCCCTGGCGTATTCGTTACCTCCAGGCTAACTGGCCGGGAACTTTTTATTTAATTCGACCACAGAGGCGAAGCTGCGCTTCACATACACTAGCGGAACACGACAAAAGCAGCTCTTTAGTGCAGTAAGAAAAAATAGAAATAAGCCTCGAACGAATAAAAAATTCGGCAACATCCCGGATTGGATCTGCGACCTAGAGATTACGAGTCTCACGCACTAACCACTCAGCCACGGACGCTAAATAAATCAAATACTAACCACAAACAAGCAGAAAACAGATGCAACGACATTTCCAATGCTACAGATCGTGAATATAGCAGAAGGACCGCCAATCAAGAGAACATTTAATGAACAAGCTTAGAAAAAAAGAAGGTTCGTACTAATACACTTACGCTCGCGAGCTGGCTAGTGTAAACTGGGTACTACTAGAGATGAGTCCAGAAGTTCATTTGAGTCCTGTGAACAATGTTATTTACGGGGAAAAAATCTAGTACCCGATTAAAATACCCTTGCTTATCGGGTATTACAGTAACGTGTTATGGAAACTGTTAGCATCAAACACGCTCTAAACAAGACGACATTTTTTGAAATAAAATATTTAATCATTTTTTAAATGACTGATCAGAACTTTTTGTGTTATTTCCACGGCAACCGATTACACTAACTGTTTGTCTTCTTTTTCTCAAAACTTTCAAATAAACGCTTCTCAAATGGGTTTCGGGCTAACAAACTACCTGACAAGCTGTCTCGGGGAAAAAATGGTCACTGTGGTATGGTAACTATGACTCACTGGGATTCGATCTTCTTCTCAGTGTAGATTCGCAGCATGAAGTTGCCCTGCTCATTGGCCTGGAAGGTGGAGGGAACTATGACGTAGTCTCCTGGCTTCAACTTGTATCTTCCCACTACTTCTCTGCTGTTGATGTATGCCGGACTTTTCTCAGTCATCTTTCGGGTGAGGAAGAACTTCCTGTCCATGTCTGTGCCTGCCACATAGCCAGTCTTCTGCTTGTAATCCTCCGAGATCTGGAGCAATTGCATAAAATGTATCTGGAGTTTCACTCTTGAAATTTTATGCCCTCATTTTTACAGTCCATAAACCCATTTTTTACTATCACTAAAATATCCAAATACTAACTTGAAGATAAAAATATAATCTTTGCGAGGATGGTCTAAACATGAAGTAGGAGAAAAAATTGACAAAATATGGTTTCTGCAGTCCTTCAGAGTAATGCTAGTTGCAATTAACTTTTACGCAAGATAACTGATTTTTACCATTTACAAACATGTTCAAAAATCAACAAAATTTAATATCAAAAACAAGCGAATAACATTTTTGACACAGTTTAAAGAAAGTTAGAGTTTACACGATCAGACAAAGATGGAAGGCAAGAACTTCTCATGCTCTCTTCTGATCAAATGATCACTTGTTAACATTCGTTGATGAAGGTGGACTATCTTACAAAACTTAAGAATAACCTTTTTTCTTGCAATATCTTATGAGATGGCTCATTCAGACAGCGCTCTTACAAGATACATAGGATCTGATCTTGTTAACTATTTCCCCCGTAGTGCAAGAGGGAAAATTCGTCAAAAGCCACAAAAAATTAATTGCATACCCTAAACCTTGTTTATTCCCCCAATTTGGACTTTAGTTTCGAAACAAAATTTCCATGAAATTCTGCATAATGAACAAACTAGAGGCCAGCTAAAACTGGAAATACCTGTTTGATAATATTTTGAACTGATTCGGAAGGAAAAGGGTTGCTCATTGAATTTGGATGGGAAGTTTTCGAGAGAAGTCAAAAAGTTTCAAAAACGGCCAAAAAATGAAACTGACTTTTCAGAGGGTCATAACCTTTAAAAAAAAAAATTGGACGTAATCGCTTCTGCAGGGAAGCTCATCAACAACACGTCCTTTCGATCGAAACTAGAATCTTAGATTTGGGAGGGTAGCTTTCGAGAAAACAGTCAAAAATCGTGAATTTGACTTTTCCGAGGGTCATAACTTAGTGTAAAAAATGGGCGTAGCCTCTAATGCAGGGGAGCTTCCCACAACCTGTTCTATCCATTTAAACCAAAATCGCAGATTTGAGAGGGTGGTTTTCTAGGAAATGTAAAAAAATCCAAAAATCTGGGTCAAAAATTCCCCCACACACTTTTTCGAAGGCTGTAGAAAGTGGGGTAAGGTAAAAAGAGACTAGGTGAGTATAGTCGTATCACTTGATACGACAATACTTGATACCTCAAGTATTGTCGTATCAAGCAAAAATGATACGACAAACATGATACCGCTTTTTTGAAAATTGGTACCGCTTTTTTGAAAATCGGTAGTGTAGTTTTTGAGAAAAACTAAATTTTTGAAAAAATGAAAAAATTTTCCAGCGTCTCAAAAAAATTTAAAAAAATATCAAAAACCCGATCCCATACACTTTCATAATACCTGTTTTTATCAAACTGGAACTAATCTTGTGAACGCACTTTTTTCTCCGTACTTTGCATTGTAGCATCACGCATTGAACCATAATATCATGTAAGAAAATAAGAACATGGAAAATTGAAATGTGAGGCGGGGGTGGGGGTTGGAAAAGAGCCCACTTGCCTCGTAGATGGCGAATCCGATGGTGAGTGGCTTCTTGCCCAGACTCCTGCCCACTCTGGTGCCCTTCTGGTACAGGGCCACTATCAGAGTACACCCTTCGTCTTTGTCGTCATCATCTGCCTCGTCCAGACGCACAAACACCTGGGGGTTCTTGTGGAAGGTATCTGCAGACAAACAGAGACAACGATTAAAAACATAGGCGCTACGCGCAATACACCGAGGGCATAGAAACTGAAGCAAAACCCAAACAACTTGAACAACTAATAATTGAAGAATAACAGTTCTAGAACAAAAAATCGTACTAATACATGTGTACACCAAAATTTTGCTATATCGAGAAAGAGCCTGAAATAACAGTTCTAGAACTAAAAATCGTACTAACACATGTATAGGTTAAATTTTTGATATATCAACGAAGATCATAAAATAACACTTCTAGAACTAAAAATCGTACTAACACATGTATACACCAAAATTTTACTATATTGACAAAGAGCCTGAAATAACAGTTCGTGAGCTAAAAATCGTACGAACACATGTATACACCAAAATTTTGCTATATTGGCAAAGATCATGAAATAACAGTTCGAGAGCTAAAAATCGTACTAACACATGTATACGTCAAATTTTTGCTATATTGACAAAGATCATGGAATAACAGTTCTAGAGCTAAAAATCGTACTAACACATGTATACACCAAAATTTTGCTATATTGACAAAGATCATGGAATAACAGTTCGAGAACTAAAAATGGTACTAACACATGTATACAATAAAATTTTGATATATTGACAAAGATCATGAAATAACAGTTCGAGAACTAAAAATCGTAATAACACATGTATACACTAAAATTTTGATATATTGACATAGATCATAAAATAACAGTTCGAGAACTAAAAATGGTACTAACACATGTATACGCTAAAATATTGCTATATTGACGAAGAGCCTGAAATAACAATTCTAGAGCTAAAATCGTACTAACACATGTATACACCAATATTTTGCTATATCGACAAAGAGCCTGAATAAACGTTGTAGAACTAAAAATCTTACTAACACATATATACACCAAAATTTTGCTATATTGACAAAGAGCCTGAAATATTGACAAAGGACCTGAAATAACAATCGTAGAACTAAATGTCGTACTTACGCATTGTAGATCAATTTCTATAGCTATAATAAAATACAAAAGATTGTGTTTGTATGTGTAGCAAAACGCCTCCTGTTTTACACCTAATACAAGTATACACGATCAGTTGATTGAAACTACAGTGTACCTAATACAAGTATACACAGCAGTTGAAATAGAAAAACTGTGTACCTAATACAAGTATACACAGACCAGTTGATTGAAACTACAGTGTACCTAATACAAGTATACACAGCAGTTGAAAAAAAACTGTGTACCTAATACAAGTATACACAGACCAGTTGATTGAAACTACAGTGTACCTAATACAAGTATACACAGCAGTTGAAATAGAAAAACTGTGTACCTAATACAAGTATACACAGATCAGTTGATTGAAACTACAGTGTACCTAATACAAGTATACACAGCAGTTGAAAAAAAACTGTGTACCTAATACAAGTATACACAGACCAGTTGATTGAAACAACAGTGTACCTAATACAAGTATACACAAAACTTGAAATAGAATAACTGTGTACCTAATACAAGTATACACAGATCAGTTGATTGAAACTACAGTGTACCTAATACAAGTATACACAGCAGTTGAAAAAAAACTGTACCTAATACAAGTATACACAGACCAGTTGATTGAAACTACAGTGTACCTAATACAAGTATACACAAAAGTTGAAATAGAAAAACTGTGTACCTAATACAAGTAAACACAGATCAGTTGATTGAAACTACAGTGTACCTAATACAAGTATACACAGCAGTTGAAAAAAAACTGTGTACCTAATACAAGTATACACAGCAGTTGAAAAAAAACTGTGTACCTAATACAAGTATACACAGACCAGTTGATTGAAACTACAGTGTACCTAATACAAGTATACACAAAAGTTGAAATAACATAACTGTGTACCTAATACAAGTATACACAGATCAGGTGATTGAAACTACAGTGTACCTAATACAAGTATACACAGCAGTTGAAAAAAAACTGTACCTAATACAAGTATACACAGACCAGTTGATTGAAACTACAGTGTACCTAATACAAGTATACACAAAAATTGTATTAATATAAGCAAACTAAACATAATTAAATAAATAGAAGAACAGATAATTAAATAAATAAAGATGAACAAATAAAGAAACAAACATACGCAATCACGTGACATAGCGCGATATAGTCCAGCCCACATGATAATTGATAACTGTGGACGTTATTTGTCGACACTTGACAACATTAAAAAAAAAACCGTTACACGATACCATAACACCTTGACTAAAGTCTTCGGTGTAAACACCAGCTTCAACCTCAAGTTTTGACTCACTCAGAAAAGAAAAAACAATATGAACAAGCTCAACGTAACTTACAGAGTAGAATAGCAAAGCCATCACCAACCAAAGTTAAATATTGCATGAAAACTATTCTGACTCCAATTCAGCTGCATCAAATCGCTACAAATCTATCATGCATTGTTAAATTTGACTTAATATTTTTAGCTGCATTATCCACAATTAAATTTCAGTAATTTTCAGTTTCAGAAATATGTGTTTTGCCTTAAAACGACTTCAAACTACTTTCGATAACAAGAAAGTCAGCGTGGTTTTAAGACTACGTCATTCCGAAGCCCAGAATGCTAAATTGAACTGACCTTTTTTTTTTACAAATGACACAAATTATACGAAAAAAAACTTTTACGATATAAGATTATGTGAGATCAGATTTATACGATACATTATAGGATTATATAAAACCAAGCTAGATTTTAGTCTTATGGTGCTCTCTCAAGTAACATTTTTGAAGAAGAACTCCTTATATCTAACTTTATTTGGATAATGACCTCACTTGGAGACCATTTACTATTATTATTAAACCGATAATCGTTGACTCTTTCAACTGACCCTTGTTGTTTCTACATCCTCCGGCAGTGGATCCCTTAATCCAAGCCTTGTGCTCCATCGTCGTCACCCACTTCTTCTTGGCCAGATCAGCATCAGTCTCGTCCGTCACTACTGCATCCGGACTCAAGTTGCAGATCTCAATCTTAAAACAGACCCGCATTAAGCACAGTCACGCACACACACAATTTTACCTACTATCTGCAGTAGAAAACCCAAATAAGGGTGTTTTGATAATGGACAAGGTTCCTGGCCAATGCCAGCCCTACATGTCGCCTCTTTTCAGTTAACAAGTCGTTCACTTCTCACGCTCAGATTTCACAAAAAGAGATTGAGTAATTGCCAGGTATGCCAGCACTTAAGCTTACAAAAACGTATCCAATTCAACAAAAACTTCTCATGTTGAATAATCAGTTAAGCACATTGGTAGCTAAAAAAAGCAGTGGTTGATTTACAGTGACGTAGTGCTGTTTGAAGTCCTTGAAGTCCATCCAGAACTCCCCGTCGTCCTCCTTTTTCAGCTCTAGTGCCTTCTTCTCATCGTCAGACAGTCCCTTCATCTCCGGAGAACTAAACACAAAACACATCGAGTACATTCATCGATCATTGAGTTATTTGCTCAACAGAATTATAATGTATAGATAAATCAGACGAGTCGAATTGCTTGTATTATAAATCTCGGTGGGTGCATACATCTGTAACGTTCGTTAACACTCTTGTTAACGGCTGAACCAAACCGATTGATGCTCCATAAAGTAATTGTTACCGCCACTTTGACGCAAGTGTCAAAAACATTAACAAGTTTGCCGGTTGCTTTTTATTCCGAAAATGGCTTTAAAAAAATTCGAAAATTAGCTTTACTTGAGCTGAACTAAAAATTCAAGGCTTATCCTTCTAAAAAAAGTCCTGCTCCCTGGCATTTTTGCTCGAAATTAGACAAAATCAAAAATTTCAAACGGGTTTTTCTCGACTTTGGGACAACACTTTAAAAAATTTTGAACGTCGCTCGAATCATGTCAGAAAGGGCGTTAATATGATATATCACTCCACCCATTACGATTATTACTTATGGTAAATGTTTTTGGTTAGTACAAAATCAGCTTGCTTGCTCGCTCTAAAATAGACCAAAAATCAAAGAGTTCAAACCAATTTTTCTCGACAGTGGGAAAAACTTTATAATGTTTTTTAATGTAGTTCGAATCAGGGATAAAAGGGCTTTAATATGATATATCACTCAAACCAGTCTAATGATTATTTGGAGGTACCTGATTTTGTGTGGAACTAAAAAAAACTAAATCACAGCTGAATACAAAGTTCTTCCACATTTTCAATGGTCGAAACAAAAACATTGAAAACCTAACAAAAGTCAACGAACCAACTAAAAATCAAATGAATTTTTATTGATTTATGTTATGACCCATGTTCGGGCATAGTAATGAATACCAGGTCACCTGTTAGAGACACAAACCGTACTAAAAGCTCAGAATCTCTCTCTCTCTCTCATCTCATATGAGATACTCAAGATTTGGTCAGGTTTACGGCCCCCTTTCTTAGTTTTCTCGTCTCTAAGTTATTTTTACTTATGTTCCCTCCAGAGAACTAGCCCGGGATAGTAATAAAACAGCTTTGCTTTAGGGATCAGGGACTAAAAATACTTCTCATCGGATACTTTTATTGGGCTCTTCTCCACTTTCCCCCATTTCAATTTTAGTTTTGAAAAACTATTTCAACATTGACATAATGTACTGAAACATTGCACTATGGCGAACAAACCTAATATTGTGAACAGATTTGTACATCATACCTTACATCGTAAATCACGCGTTTAGCCATAATCACACGTAAAACAATTTTAAAAAATAGCCTTTTTGTCTTCAAAAACTTTATTCTTAGGTCATAGTTCAAAAAAGGATTTGCTGTCTATGGGACTCAAACACCCGATCACCAAAGTTAGACTGTAATATCTTGACAACTGCGCCATGTCGCCTTTGTATTCATCCCAAATAAATTCTATAAAACATGGAAATGAATAGCCATTGCTAGAATGCTAAATAAGTTCAATTCTAAAATCGCTAACTCGAGCACTAATTTATGCAAATTAGGTTTTTAAAAAGTAAACAATATAACCCAAGCATTCTATTTCACCCCGCTTTTTTTCGACAACCTTTCTATTTTTGCAGCCACATTGAGATTTCTAGCAAAAATTAGATTGCAAAATTGTTACATGTTTAGGTAACTATTAATTTTTTTCAGCCAGCTAAAAATCTAGCTGGTTTATACTTCTGGTGGTTTTTATACCACCGATTTCTGCAGTGTCGCCTTATATACGCCACACTTACTCGTCGCTCCATGCTCCATTCCACTCACTCTTTCCCCAGGGGTTCCTGATGCGGACCATGTGCATCTCCTGGCCACGCAACGTCACCTGCAACAAGCGGTCAAAAAATAAAGCTATGGTCAATGCATTTGAATAAAAAAGAAACATGAAAATTTGCCATGAAAATCAGCGCTTAAGAAGCGTTATTAGCTAACTGCACGGAACATTTAATTCAAACCTCTTGAAAGCGAGATGGTAAAAAAACCATAATTAAATTACTTTTAGCTCAATTGAATGGAATTGATCCCAAGTTAACATAAGGCAATTCAAAAGCAAAAAACTATAGTCAAGAAATGCTATATTAACTTATCTTCAACCTTCAAACATTCATTTGAAAACTGAAATTAAATCAATCTTCTTGAAAGCGCGATGGTTAAAAAGCAATAATTAAATTTTTCATTCAATTGATAACAAACAATTTAACCTAATTTTTTGAGTGATCCTAATTTTTTGAGTGATAAATGGGTAATTTTTTTTTATTACGCTGGGACAAATTTTTTGTGCTGCGAAATCTAAACCCACTTGAAACTACAATTCGTTCACTTTTTTCGCGCCATTTACACTTTTGTAGTTATTAGAGCATTTTCTAGTAAAAAAAAATCAAAAATGGCACTGAGCTACTGTATTCATGTGGCTAAGATGTGGCAACTGTATTTCGATTTGATAACGCTAGCTGATCGCGGTTGTGCTTAGTTTTGGTTCAATTATAAGCAATCAATTAAAAAACATCTGATTGACGCAGACAGCTTCGCAAGCACTAGCGACAACACGACAAAAAGCAGCTCTATAAATCAGCTCTAAAGAAAAAGTAGATTAATTCGGCAACGTATCGGATTCGATCTGCGAGCTAGAGATTATGAGTCTAACACACTAACCACTCAGCCACGGATGCTCAATAAATCATAAAACACTAGCCACAAACAAAGCAGAGAGACCATATGCTAGGAAATTTCAAATGCCACAGATCGTCATTATAGCTAAAGTGCCACCAAATAAGAGAACACATTTGATGAACATTTGCGAGTTAGGTTAGAGTAAAAGAAGGTTCCTAATAATACAATACGCTTATGTCTAGTGTAATGAGTCTCAGGCACTAACCACTCAGCCACAGACACTTAATATCTCACAAACACTAGCAACTAATAAAGCAGAGAAAGGATATTATAAAATTTCAAATGCTACAGATCGTGATTATAACAAAAGTGTCAACAATTAAGTGAAGAATTTTAATGCACACTTTTATTTGCGGGTTAGAAAAAAAGAAAGTTCGTACTACTACACGAACGCTCGCAAGTGTAAGAAAACGATGCATTTCAAAAATTCGTGAAATATACTGAGTTGCGAAAATTCTGAAAATAAGTTTTTACTATTGCAGTGAAGAAACAGCTTTTTTCGCTTCAATTGAGTAATTAAAAAGTATCAACTGCGTTTACTCAGAAGTAGTTACCAAGAGTATCACTTTCAAAAGTTTCACCAAAAGTAGCACTGTTATTTGCTACTTGGGTTAGAAAAAATGCTTCGTACAATCGCATTACACTCCGATTGTGTAAATAGCTGGAAAAATTAAAAATCATTCATTTCGTAACTAGCAACTACTGAACAGCACTGCTTGTACCCACCCTTTTGACGCCAGTGACAGAGTAAGCGTGTCCAGCAATGAGTCCACTGTCAAGCTCCGCCTCCACAATTCCAGGCGTGGGCGGAATAGAGCAGCCGATCATACTGTCCCGCTCGAATGCATGCTCCATCAGCTAAACAAATTAATCATTGTATCCCTGCATTATACCATCTTACTATCTATCATTAATTATTAGCAAAATTTTGAGGAGTTACACGTGTCAAAACATTTCAGTTTCCATCCAAAACTTTGTCCGAATGACTATCATTTTAGATTAAGCCCAATTTATTCAGGAGCTGTCTATCCATTACACGAGTTGTTCAGCTCTTTCGGAGATCCGGCGTGGTTCGCCTGACCGATGTGCATGTAATTTTGTCGTCTTTTCTGGGGCTGGTATGCTATGGTCTGAACGAAACTCCCCATATCTAACTCAAGAAAGAACATTGTTTTCAGTAATATGATACCAAAACGTTGGCCGTTACCCCGAGAGATAAATGGTCTCAATATTAACTACAATAAGCCTCAAATTTAGCTAGTACTTCATGGTCATATAATTAGATATACACCTTGAAGAGGTGTTTTGGGGCGGCATTTAGCTCATAGGGCTCAGTCAGTCCACCTGTGAAGTCCTCCATAGCTTCCGCCATATTTCCTCCCTTCAGAGACTCAAACGTGCCAAAGATCCTGAAAAAAAACTCACGTTTTACCAGAAAAATTTATCCAAATGTATTCGCACATAGGTCATATTCGTCATTAACCACAACCGCTCACACCTACTAAGTTAATTTATCATTTTAAACAGAAATTACTTTCAATTTTTGTACTAATTATCAAAGTGAGCCAAAATCTAACATAGAGAATTGATGATATGAAGGCCTCTCTTATTGAAAGACTTTCAAGGTCTCTAACATTACTCCTAGTCATATACTGGCTTATGTGTTTTATATTACACCTAAAATCCACTCAACCTCACTATCCCCTCCCCCACCCTTGTGTTATTTTTAGTGTCTAACTTAGCATATGCTTTCTCCACTAGTGCAGTCCAGAACTCGTCTTCTGATTTGCTGTGGGTGAAGACCAGTTTGCCACCGTAGGTAGGCAGCTGATCATCCACTATGATTTCCTTCCATTCACCTGCAGAAAAAAAATACTTTACACGTCATTACAAGAACTTAAATTGATATTAAACGATGCAAAACGATACATTCAGTGCGGTACTCTTCAATTCCGCAATATGGTTTTCGACCTTGAAAAACTTCTTTTTGCTGCTTCCTATTCTTATTAAAATTGACATGCATGTGAATTAGCTGCTATCAAATACATTTGCTCTTCATCCAGATGCTTAAAAACGAGCATCTCTCACACAATCCATTTGATTCATTACAAGGGTGTCCGTATTGTGTGTGTGTGTGTGGGGGGGGGGGGGGGGAGGGGTTGTAGAAAAGAAAAAAGGACAATGTGAATGCAAACAAAGTGTACAAACTAAAAATGCACGACGCAAATTGAATGAGGTTTGAAAGAGTGCTGTGTATTAGCAATTGCAAAATTGAGAAAAACCATACACTTGTAGTATTCAGATTTGTTTAAGACAAACCTCATCACAATACTGAGGTGACTCATAGTTCTAAACAAGCGCTCAATGTATCAATGGATGTTTTATATTTAGAGCCAGGGTTTTTTCATGAGCGTTCGGATTCAGCATTTTAATTTCAGTTCACGCAAACAAGCCATAACAGGTACCCCCAGGGGCGGATTTAAGTGGCCGGAAAATTAGTCAAATTTTTTTAAAAAAGTACCAAACAACGGCTTTTGCGCCCCTTTTGTTCAAAAATTTACATGCGGCGCAAAATTTGTCGCTAAAATACGATCTGTTAGTGTTCTGGGAGCGTTCCGAAAGCTCAATTAGGTCGACCTAAAAAAAGGTCGGGAAACTTTTCAAAAAAAATTGGAAATCCTCCCCCCCCCCCCAAAAAACAAGTGATTTTCTGATGTCAGCACCTGCTCGCCAGAAGTAGAAGTGAAAAGCGCCGCAGTAGTTATCTGCATCGAAGCCCTGATCTGAAGGGACCACTCTCTTCAGCAGTTGTGGTCTCATTGACAGACAGGAGAGAGAGGCGAGGAGCCAGCAGTCGCCCAGGTATCCCTGTTCAATGTCACTCCTGTCTGCTCCTGCGTCGAACAACTGTGGATTGGATGCGATCTCCTGCAAATAAAAAGAAACAACTAATAAACAAAACAAGGAAAAACAATACACGGCAACAATGAGCATACTGAATGTAACTGACAAATAATTGACTGCCTTAACTAAAATTAACTGCCTTAAATATTTCTAGGCTTTTCTTATTGGTCATCAGTGTGAATATAATGCTATAATGTAGTCTAAAAGTTAAACCTCTTCTCCATCGACAAAATTTTTTCAAGTTAAATCCTTTTTAACGAACTGCTGAAGAGAATGGTTAAGCGAAATGAAATTGGGTGAGTAGTAACTTTGGGTCTCAGCCACTTGAACTCCTTGGGTGGACTCTCTTCGAAGTAGAGGGATGAGTCATTGGCAGGGAAGTCTTTGTCCACAAACAACTCGCCAGTCTGCTTGAACTTCTGTCTAATCTCCTCCAACTGAGAGGTGCCACTCGCTTTACCATGAGCAGGAGCCATTGTTTCTTCTACTGCAAATCAGAGTATCTGAAAATGACGCAACAAAATATATACAGCACTACTTTTAACTACAATCAGCAATATCCTCATTATCAAGTCGAAGGAATTGGTCGCTTCAAATCACACGATGTCGGTACTGTAATATGATAGACGAACACACAAAAATTGATATTATTAAGCAAATTAAGTAAATTAAGCAAAACCAATACAACTGATCAAATCCGAGCTAGCGTTAATTAATCTGTATTTTAATACGGAAGGGAAACTGCACTTGGCAAACCTGAGCAAAAAATGCACAAAATTTCAAAAAAATACATATTGAGTGAAAAAAATCATTGAAAAAGAACAATGTTACAATTAAACAACTTAACCGCTTAGCCATCGTTGCCTAGCTGCTATGCAGGTAGCTGTGAAAGCTTTTTGATTAAGGAGATAAAACAGCTCCAGGCTGTTTAAATAATACTAACTTGGCAATGATGAAATATGCCATTTGTGTTGAAAACTCGCCTTAAATATATATCACCATCTATCAAAAGTTGGTTAGTTTTCCTGTTTGCTTCAATAGGAACCCAACTTTTTGTGTGGGTAGGCTCATGTATCACATTAGTGGTACCGATATCATGAAATTAAATATTGAACTGTGAAACAAATAAATTTTAATTCCAAATAACACGATAAAATTTGAAAATTTAGCATCATTATTTTCATTCGCACTAGACACAAAAAACACAAAAGCACATCCATGGGATTAATTTAGCACAATTCATGGACACCTTTTTGCTTTACATTGAACTAACAACTACATAAGTTTAAACTTTGACGATACTAGACCCATAACTGCATTAGGAGTGGAGCACCATCCAATAAAACCAACTGAGAAACTGTTGGTTCAATTTCAAACACTTATCTTTTTAGGTGTACTTGACCTTGAAATGTAAAAGATTCAGACGACTGTCCACTTGCGGAGAAATCTCATTCAAAATTCATTCGACGAATTTATCTCGACGTTTTTTTGGGCAAAATTTCACTACAGCTGTAGTTTTAGTAAAATTTTCATTTACATTTGGTAATCAGAAAAGGAGCGGGTGACATTTTTTGGACAAAAAAGTTTTTTTCTGAAATTTTTTAACGAAAATTCATATTTTCGTCTCGGCGTCAAATGATCACTATATTCGTTTCGGATCTTCCAATTGCACCTTCGTTTCATATTTTGGACTCGACAAAGACCACACAGTTGGCCGCTATGCCCGCCTGGGAGAGGGTGATTTTGCGGTCCAGTGTGTTGAGGAGTGTGCGTGGAAAGTGGGTAGTGAACTCGTACAACACATCCGAGAAGCCCAGAGAACCACAGCCGGCGAAGAAAGACTGCACGCAACAACACTCACATTACTTTAATGCATCAATTTCATACTAATTTTGAAAACCAAATTTGCCGTTATCGTCCTAAATAAAGCATACAATATCCTTAAAAACCAGATTCTGCCAATCGCCCTGTGTTTCCTCGGGTAATTTGTTTTAAATAAGGGATCCGTCTCAACGGGATTGTAAAAGCACTAGTTAACAATTTTAAAAGCAGATTGCGCTTAAAATATCGATTAACAATGAGCAGTTTTGTTCTGGATTGTGAATAATAATTTTGAGCACAAGCTGCTTTTGAAAATTTTATCTTATGCCTTAAAAATCGTTTTAAACTAAACCATATAAACTAACATGCAGAGTGCACGAATGTGCGAGGTTGATGGACCTCCTCTCTCCATTGGGACACTTCAGGAGCACCTTCACACTCTTCACTTCGTCCCGATCTCCATTCCCTTTACTCTCTCCTCCGCCACTCGAGGATGACGCTGAACAAATGACAGAAACCAGTCAATTCACCTATTTTAATTCGCCAAATCATCACCGACACCATTTCAGAAAAAATGGTCATTACAAACTTTTATCTTCTTTTCCCAAAAGAACTACGTAACACAAAGGTGCCTTTTGAAGAAAGTTTCACACTTGTCAAAACTCAGAAATTATTCAAAAAAACGCCACGTCATACAAAAATATCACTGATGAAACCAGAGATTTCTTTGAAAACGAAATCAGAATGACTACCTGTAGCAGCGAAGTCGGTTTTACTCTGCTCTACAACAGACACTTCACTAGGGAACTGGAGTGATTCATGCCTCGACGGTGGGATGAGGGGTCCGATGTTCTGCACCTGCAGGTCCAGGACTCTGGATCCCGAGGAAGATGCAGAGAGAGCATCTTGAGACCTGTCCGAGGAGAGATTGTCAAGTTTTAATCTCTTCAGATTTCCATACAAGTGAGGAGGTCCACGACTACTCGATGCGTAGAAGTGGTCTCGTGGATCTATTCTACGTTTTCGACTAACTTGAGCTGAAATAAATCAAAAAAAGCTATCATAAATTGAAATATACCAAGAGGATCCTAATTTTGATGATATGAGAACTACTATACATTATTATCTTTAAGATCAGTTATTTTAGATGCAATTACGTCTTAGAGATACATCGAATCCTTCGCAAAAAAAAAACAATTCAAGTACTTACATTTTCACAAGCTTTTATTCAATTTAAAAAATACAGTAACATCAAATATCGTTCCTTTTTATTTAATAATATCAATTTTTATTCCAACTGAAAAACACCTGTTGGTGATGAGAGATTATTATCTGTGACTTCTTCATGGTTGAGTGATATCTCATTGGTGTCATCATGTGAAGAGTGACTGCTGTAGTCATCCATGCTGTCCAAGCTGTCCTCCTCGTCGTCATCATCCGACTGCAACAGACGTGTATGGCTCTCGTCTGCATGGAGACTTTCATCTTTCGTGTCTACTTCTGCCGAACCTTCTTCGTCGCTCAGATTGACAACTAAACAGAAAGAGATACTTTCAAGTTGAGAACTGATTTCTTGTTCCAAACATTCATTAAGACACTTGCATTCGCAAGTGTAATTGAGCCAGAACGCGCTTCAAAACATAGCCAGCAGGTACTTGGAAAAAAGTCAATGAACTCATTTAAACGAAAAAATCATAGACTTTTTCGAATTTTTCAGCATTCGAAATTCGGAGAAATACATCTCAGGTTCCCGTATAAGTGATGAAGTTGCCGTACTTAATTTCAAGAATCTTTTATGTTGAACACTTTCTTCGCACAGGGGCGAAACAGAGCTTGCCTTAATTTGTGATACCACGAAAACATTGTAAGCTAGCCGATGCCAGTTGAACCGAAAACAACTGAATTCTCACTGAGTCGAAATGCCCGTTCCAACTAAGCTCCCTCTATCCCCCCTCCCCACCCTACTTGATTCCTACCTCAACAGACTTGACCCAAGTGTCCCCAACGAAAGTCCGAAGTTCTTTAACACCCCGCGCCGTACCAACCACCTCTTTCAATGTCCCCAAAAACCTGTTGTCCCCAAAGCTCCTGATGACCAGTGACGACTCAACACTGGCTCATAGCTGTTCCTTTGTCTGGTGTTCCGCAGATAAGGTATAGACAACATTAGAACCCCAACCATGTTCTGCAATCCTTTTGACCTATGAAGTTTTGAAGCTACCTTTCCCATCGGGAAATAAAAAATCTACAGGCATTAGCTCAATATTAGCTGACCAATCGATAAAATATAAAGCAAAGAACCTTTTCAACGAAACTAAATTAAAAAATCTGGGTTGGTACATTTACAAATTACAACGATAAATCGAAATGAAACAATAAATCGAATAATATTTAAAACGGATTCGACTGAAAATTTGCACGAATTCAACTGAAAACCGTCACTTTCTCAGGCATAGAAGTTACCGCTAGGTCAAGACCGCCGAAGCAGACATGCGAATTGAATTGATAAAACAATATTCAACGAATCGGTTCTGAACTTGATTACCTCGTAAAAAAATTCCTTGTTCCGATTTGATAACGCTTGCAAATCGCAAACCAAAAACCAATTTGTTTATGTAGTTTATTATTTATGTAGTTTATGTAGTTTAGTAGAGAAATGTAGTTTATTATTTCGCTGGAAATGAAAAAATCCATTATTGAAATCTCAATCATTGTTTTTTTCGCTCTATTTGCAGTTTCGTAAATAGAGAGCGTAATTCAAACCACAAAAATTTCAAATTTGAGCGTGATCAATTTCAAGACATACTTCAGAAAAGAATTTACACGACCTCCAACATGGTCTTCACTCGGTTCCTTGACGCTTGAGACCTAAAGTTTTTAACACGTATTCAATACTCCACCGAAATACCAGATATATCAGAGAGAGATGTTACAGTGAATGCATTTCCAGAAACTTCAACAAATCTAACCCAAACAAAGTACATTTTTCATTATTTTCTATCAAGCTAACTTTAAACCGAAATGATGCTGGAAAGTTTCGAATAAAATGAGAAAATCAGCAAAATAAGGTGATAAAATCATTTGGAGAATCATAGGCATTGACAGGGTGCTGAAACATGTAGTCTCAAGATTCAGAATTGCACAAAATCTGGATTTTTTTGCAAACGCTGTAGTTGTTATTCTATCTCGGACTAGCATTAGAAAAAGAAATCGAGCACGAATTTTTGAAACAACGCGACCTACAAGTGAATTTTTATTTCGTTTTGAACCAGTTTCCAAGAAACATTGAATTAAATTTTCACCCAAGCGGAGCTGAGCTTCGCAAACACAAAAAAAGACGGAAAGCAAACCAAAAAATCATCATTCAATCATTGTACTCACACGAGCTGAGAGAAATGTATGACAAAATTTTTTCGCGAAACCAAAAAAAAAGATAAAATTACTCTTAACCTGATGTTTTATACTGATTTTTCTAGGTCAGCGAAAACCAATTTTTCATATCTATGATTCGACACCTATTGTAATTTTTACGTTACTCGGTTTACTGAACGCACCCTGAAAAAAACTATGCTGGACAAAGCTTTTCATCTCAATTTGCATCTAAATCGTGACCATACGCTCTTAAGAGCTGTATCAAAAACAATACAGAGAAAATGAACTTAACAAAGACTAGCGAAAAAAGATAAAGCCATAGAGCGAATTAAGAAAAAAAGATAAAAATATGTCTTAAAAAAATTTTGGCTGTAGAGGAATCGACCAGGAGATTTAAAGTCCCGTGTCCTTGCATTTGCATTATGAGTCCTGATAATTTGCAAACAATTGCCACAAAAAAGCAGCTACATATGCTAATAAACTGCCAATCCGATGCAGCGAAAGTGGAACCAAATACAAAAAGACACAATTTTGCATGCAATCTTTTATAATATAACAACCTGGGTAACCACTCTAACTTTGCATGTAATGAATTTGAAAGCATGAAGTCAAATAAAGTATCCATTATGCATTTCAAAAATATTGCGATATATTGAGTTGTTTAACTTCTAAAATCGAGTTTTTACACAGAAGCGAAGGTTCACTCGCTAACACTAACGAGAACACGACAAATAGTAGTTCTACAAAGTGCAATAAGAAAAAGTAAAAAAAAGCCTCGAATAAATAAATGTTCGGCTACGTCTCGGATTCGATCTCCGTCAAATCACGACCTAGAGATAATGAGTCTAACGCACTAACAAACTCGCCACGGACGTTTGATTGAGCACAAACATTAGCCACAAATAAAGCAGAGAACAGATGCTATGAAATTTCCAATGCTAAAGATCGTGATTACAGCAAAAGTGCCACCAAATAAGTGAACAATTTTAATGAACGATTTTATTTGCGACTTACGTTAGAAAAAAGAAGGTTCATAGTAATTTATTACGCTGACCGCTAGTGTAAAGATAAACAAGGATAGCCCGTTACTGTGCAACTAACACAAAATGTTCCGACCATAGTCTGAAAAAAAACACCAAAATAATTATTATCAAGCTAAGGTAAGCCAGCTCACTCGATCGAATTTAGACGAAAAATCTAAATTTACAAACCAGTTTTCTTCCGTCCAATGATCATTCGTGGTAGCTAATTTGGCGCCGAACATAAAAGTTGAAAAAAAAACTGAAACACACCCGAATACAAAGTTCCTCTCTATTTTCAATGGTCGGAACAAAAACTAAACCAGTTATTTTCGATGAAAACACTTTCCAAAAACAATTAATAACGTTCAAATTAAAAACGAAAAAGTTCTGAAACCAATATATTACTGATCTTATTTCGATAATTTTTGTAATGATTTTGGGAGGAAAGAAACTAAAACGCACCAAAGACAAAGCTCTCCAGTTTTAGTGATCGGAACAACAAGATTGCTTGTATAAGGGCAAAATTGTGACTGACACGGCTTCTTTTTTGGTGTATTGGAAGGTCATTCGATACTTGAGAACAATTGGATTACTTGGCCCGATTTGGAGTGTGTTAATGATACGTGCTTACGAACTGAGTACGATAATTGGACTAAAAAATTTGATCACAACTGAAGTATACGTTTTATATATTATGATTTCAATCTTGGACATTTTTCTGATTAAAAAACCACCTAAATCATAGATAATCAGTTACTTTCTTCAAGGATTGGAACAATGTTTTGACTTTCAACATAACCTATTTGCTACGAAAGTCTAGCCTAGCTAGTTTTTAATGTTTCGAATAGGTTCTTCACACGAGCCACCTGTTTTTTTTCAATGAAAAAGAAGTATATTGCGCATTTCCTGCTAGACAAAATCAATCATGGTCATTTTTTTCAGCAAAACTGCGTTAAAATGAAGTGATCAATTTGAAATTTTTTTGAAATGTTTTTTCGAATCTCGCCAAAATAAAAAAATGCTAATTGATAAAACAAGGTTGCTCTTTATCTTTACTAGAGTTGCTCTAATATTTTGTCGAACTTTTCATAAGTGGTTCAAGAACATTTTTCCTCGTAAATTAAAGCTAATAAAAATTCGTCCTTAAGAACCGCTGTTAACAGTTAATGAAATCAATTTACCATTAGCTTTAATTTACAAAAAAACAATTCTCCAATTTCCATTGTCAAAAACTTCAAATTTGTCTTTTGAAATTTGAATCTTTGACCACCCTAAGAATTTCTCTTCTGATATTATAATCGTAATGAAAAAAGGCCGATAAAATTGTCAAAATGATTTTGTACATCTGCCTTTACGCGAGAAATTTCCAAATCAGTGTCTCAAACTAACCTATTCAATTGTAACCTTAGTGAAGAAAAATGATGTTGTCCGTTTATCGAGTAAAACGCTTTTTCGGACTCAAATTATCAAGAATCAGGAAAATAATTAAGTTTAGTTTCACACTTAACTGATTTGCGATTTGTGCTTTTTATGAGCCTAAATGAGAAACGATTTCGAGAAATAAGGATAACTAGCGTGTAACATATATTGAAAGTAAGATCTGCATCCTATTTGAGTGTACCCCGAGAGCACCCAATAACAGGGTTGGTAGTTTCAAATTTTGCAAAGTTTTTTATTCAAGTTTTTTTAATTCAAATTTTGAAAAAACCTGAAACTTATATAGTTTAATGTATACAGTTCTTTGAAAAAACTTTGAGTGAACTAAGAAACGCCACATTTCGGAAACTTAGAGCAAAGAGCAGTCGCAATTGAACGCAAGATTTGTAACAACAGTATTGTGAGACTATTGTCACAAAACCCAACTACAGGGCTAGGAATTTCAAATTGATAAACTTTTCAAATTAAAGTTTTCTAAAAACAAAAATTCAAAAATGTTAAGAAACTTCATATATTGAAAAATTCAAAGACTTTAATTTTTGGCAATTTTATTTGGAGTCAAGGTTCGCAACCCCTGATAGTACTTTGACAGCCACAACTAAAAGGGTAAGAATTTCAAATTTTGAAGAAAAAAAGTTAGATTTAAGTTTTCTGAATTTTTTTTTGAAAAAATAACAAAAACAGCATATCTAAAAATTACAAAGAGTTGACCAGCCTTATTTGGAGGCAAGATTTGCAACCTCTGAGAGTACTCTGGCAGCCCCCAACTACAGGGTTAGCAATTTCAAATTTTGAAAAAGAGTTAATTTAAGTTTAATGAAAAAACGTCCTATCTGAAAACACTAACAAGATTTGAGCAGTCTTCTTTGGAGGCACTATTCGCAGCCCCTAAAAACCGGAGATTAGTCTGAGAGTCCCCACTACAGAGAGCCCCCACTACAGAAAAAATTACAAAAAATGAAAGTCATATCTCGAAACTAAAAGAATTTGAGCAGTCTTATTTTGAGGCAAAACTCACAACTCCTAAGAGTACCCTGAAAGAGCTTCACTATAGAGATGGGAACTTCAATTTTTGGGAAAGTTTTTTTACCATCTAAGTTCTTTGATAAATCTTGAAAAATTACTAAAAAACGTCAAACCTCGAAAACTACAAGGATTTGAGCAGTCATATTCAGAGACAAGATTCGCAACTCCTGAGAATACCCTCACAGTTTCCCATTACAGGAATGAGATCTTCAAAGTTTTTGATTGTTTAAATCTAAGTTTTTTTGAAAATGTTTGAAAAAATCATAAAAAACGTCATATCTCGAAAACTACAAGGATTTGAGAAAAGAGATTTGGAGGCAAGATTTGCAACTTGTGAGAGTACCCTGACAGCCCTCAACTGCAGGGTTGAGAAATTCAAATTTTCAGAAGTTTTTAATGATAAAATTTTCTAGCAATTTTTGAAAAATCTCGAAAAATGCCGTATCTCGTTATCTAAAAGGATTTGGTTATGTATATATGGAGGCCAAAATTGCAACATCCGGACAGCATCCCACTATTGGGTTGCTAATTTCAAACTTGGTGAAATGAACACTGAATTCAAACAGGAAAATCGAAAAATAAATCTCAACCATTGCAATATCCGATATAGCTTAGAGGTGAAAAAATTCTCTAGTTAAACATGCAAAAATAATACGTTGAAAAAGTTTAAGCAAGATAGTGAAGCCCGCATTTAAACATATAATAGATTTATGTTATTTATGGTACAATATGAAAAAATACATGTATGACACTTCAAACTTCTTTACAAATTTTTTTCAGAAAATTCTCTCTCATCTAGCTATAGAATTTTATCATTCTGCTTAGTTTTAAATCCTTTTGAGAGATTAGTCATTTGAATAATAAATAACTTGATATTTTCTGGTCTTCTTTTGAATGTCTTTTAAGACAAGTTGTTTACGGGAAAAACAGTCTACCTCCCGACTAAGTCACTTGCTCAAGCAAGTGTAAAAAAATCGAAAGTCAAACCGCGAAAAATCCAATTTGATCCCGAACAAATTTTAGGACTTTTTCTTGAAAAAGAAACAAAAAAACCATCACGGCCTATATAAGAGCCTGAACAACGTTCATCGGCTTTTAAAATTTGTCAAGGAGTGTTATGATGTTTTAGAAGGCTCGATGAACCCGAGTAAATTTCTTTACTTAACAGTACAACTAGGACCGAAAGCACGACAAAAAAGCATCTTCACAAAGTGAAAAATAAAGATCGAAAAAGGTCTCGACTTAGTTAAACTTTGTTACGTATGGGCTTCAAAGCTGCGACCTCGAGAATTGGAGTCTCACGCCCTGTTTTCTCGGCGACCAACGCTTGACAACCAGCAAACACTAGTCACAAATAAAGCAGCTACATATACTAACAAATTGCCAATGCTATGCAGCAAAAAAGGCACCAAATACAATAGACACAATTTTAAAAGTAATACTTTGGAATATAACAAACTGAAGGCATTCACACTAATTTTGCATCTTTATTTCTGAAACCGAGTTTTTATTAGTGTTATGTGGCTTGGAACAAATAGCTTTTTTCGGTTCATTTGATGAATTCAAAATGTATCTTATGTGTTAACTTATTACTATTCGAATGTCAAAGCACATTCTACCAAAAAGCCGTAAAGATGCCCCAAACCTGGCACTACTTTTTGTGATTTAGGTTAGAAAAAAGAATAGTCGTAGTATAACACTAACGCTCACTTAAGTTGGCTAGTGTAATCATTGTACTGTGGTGTGAAGAAAATAGCTTTTTTTCGGTTCATTTGATGACTAAAAAGGCATCAGCTGTGTTAATTCATTATTGATCGAATGTCGAAGCACACACTATCGAAAAGCCGTAAAGCTACCCCGACCTAGAGATAATGAGTCTAAAGCACTAACAACTGCGCCACGGACATTTGATTGAGCACAAATATTAGCCACAAATAAAGCAGAGAACAGATGCTATGAGACTTCCAATGCTACAGATCGTGATACTAATGAGCACTGTTAATTGTGAGTTCGTTTGGAAAAAAAAGAAGGTTGGTACTAATACACAACGCTCGCAAGCTGGCAAGTGTAAATACAGAGCGTAATTTGGAATCTGCTTGGAAACTCGCAGCAAATTTGTTGCACAAACAATATCGCTCAATTTTGGTTGAAAAAATGTGGACTCACATTAAAATGCATTATTTGCAAGCTCCGCAAGTGTAATAAAGCCAGAACAGAAATTATGCAGGTTGCAACTTACCATGTCCATTCATACGAAGGTTGCAGTGATCCTATTATTTCATATAGAACAAATCACACCCACACGCAAATAGCTGATGTTTCAAATACTGCATTATTTGATTGCAACAAACTAGGGCATCGTTAAGTTATTTCTGGCATGTTTTTCTATTCAACAGAATCACAATCTAGTAATAACAATCTAGTAATAATCTAGTAATACAATTTAATAACAGTGAGCGATATGACACACGAGCCTCTTAGTACTGATTTGGGAGTATAGAAAGAGCAAATATGGAGCCAATTCGTTTGAAACAGCACCACCACTGCAAAGTTGCTTTTACTTCAAATGGTCGGTTGGTTTATTCAGTGGAACTTTCAACTGCTAGCTATCAATGTGGTATGAATGAGGTAACTGGTCTGCTAAAATTCCCATGCATATTCTACCACTAGCAACCTTGATGGAATAGTATCGACCAAGCATTGGTTCAAACAGACACGACAATAGGGCTTAGTTTTTGAGTAAACAGAACATGAATTGTAGTAGATAAAACTAGTCCGATAAAACTACTGCCCACTCGCCAATTGATGCAGAAAATGGTCAATGGAACTAATAAAAGTCCATAAATCACACATCTGAGGCTCAAAAGATACAAAACAAAAATCTCTACAGTCTTGGCATAATAATTTTGAGCTTTTGAATAGTTAAAATCATCGATTATTAAATTTCAAAAAGGGAAATTTTTTTAAAATCGGAAGTGTAAAAGAATATAAAAAGACGGCAAAAGCTGCATAAACACTACACTTTTTTGTCAAAAATATCGAAAATGAATGACAACAGTTTTTTGTACACGTTTTAAGATTTACAATGAAATATATCAAGCATTCTTAACATTTAAAATCGTACGTCAATACACTGAATGACAGAATAGACTCACTGTTTGCAGTATTTGGCGCATTATTTGCAGACCACGTGGAACTTCCTGCAAACCCCAGGGTTCTACCTCCCTTATTCCGTCTCTGGTGGTCCAGGGATGCTGCAATTGCCGCTTTCAAGGCCTCTTCTTCATTCAGCGAATGATGGTATGTTTTAGTCGAGTTTCCAGTCGACACTTTGACAATTGCTGGTTCGATTTCCTCGTCTTCTAGGTCAACGACTTGGTCTGAAGTGATGTTGTCGCGCATTTGGTCACACACACTTGGAGCGCCATTTTTCCGAACAAATGTCGTCACTGAAGAAATTATAACTAACGTCAATCTACGCCAGTTTTTTAGAATAAACGAACGACAAAGAAATGCACTCACAGAGTCGCCCAGCATTTTTAGAAGTGATTGCACTGAAACTCTGCAGAAGCTCGCCTGAAATACTTCATATGTAAGTCCACAAACTGTTATTCAATATTTTAACACAGGCGAAATGAAGCGTTGCACCACTTGCGAGATCACAATCAAAGCATGGCAAGATAGCCAACACAGAAAAATCAGACAAAAACTACTTAATAGCTAAAAACTGTTAGGAAAAAAACATCTCACACTAAGTATATCATAAGTTTGATTCGAATGAAGTTTATTTTTACTATAAAAAAATCAGAAAGTCAATAACAGCAGTTAGGAAGCATTGAAATAAAATTTGTGAATCGGTGCTAAGCCGACATAATTTAGTTCGACACCCATTGAGCCGAAAAATAATGCCCGAAAAAAATTGCGAGACTCGAAGTTTTCAAGATTTTCATACAACCAGACAAAAAAATTATTAAATTATTATCGCCCCTCAAACGACACAGTTTGCGACAACTAAGTCGATATAACATGAGCCGAAACCTTCAAGGCCGAATCAATAGTTTTAGCGAAAAAAAAATCAAAAGGAAACAAGGATAGCCGGTTGCACTGCAAGTAGCACAGAATGTTCCCACCACGTTTTCAAAAAAAGTTCTTTTCCTACAAGTTAGTGCCTTCTTTATACGTCCTGTAATAATAAAACTATACAAACGCGCGGAAAACAAGTAAATTGGGCATAAATGAATCCAATGGTCTTCATTGAAAATTTTTCGAATTTTTTTTCCATCTTTTGCACTAAAAGTTTTAAATATTATATAATTTTTTGCCATTAAATTATTTTTTTTGCCATAGAAGAACTAAATGAGGCATCCTTTTAGTAAAATCAAATTTCTTTAACCTAAATTTTGAATTTTTATATATAAACGTTACTCGATCGCTTTACTCGCTCGAAAATTGCCGAAAAATCGAAAATTTCAAACCTTCAAAATTTTTTTTAGAATTTATTAAACTGGCTCGAATCACGAATGACAGGTCTTTATTATGATATACCACTCAACCCAGTCCGATGATTATTTGTGGTACCTAATTTTGAGTGGAAAACGAAAACAAAAAAACTAAAACACACCCCAATACAAAATTCCTTCCCATTTTCAATGATCGGAACATATAAAACAACTCAGTAAAGACCATTTGGGACACAGCACCGCACCTTAACAGGCTCAAAACATTGACTATATTAAAAAACCAAGCTATCAAACTATGTTGTGAACAGGTCCAGGAAACTGACTATATTTAAAAAAAAAATCAAGCTATCAAACTATTTTGTGAAGCAATTTCTTTGCCGGAATTTGTTAGATTCCGATTTGATAACGACTACTAAGCGCAATCGTGATTCATTTCGAATCAAAGTAAACAAATAAACTGAAGCTGAAGCTTCGCAAACACTATAGAGAAAGTGGCACAAGATTCGGATAGAGGTTAAATGCGAAAAAAAACACGATTTTTGCATGTACAATTATGGATTTTAAAAACTCAATTAGAAGCATTCCTTTTTAACTTTGCATGCCATAATAAGAAAACTGTAAAGTCAAACATGCATTTCAAACAGTTTCGCGATAATACCAAAAAATTTCTGAAGATATTATATTTTCGTACCGTTGCATGAAACAAATAGCTTTTCTGCTTCAATTCATGCATTAAAAACATGAACTGTGTTAACCCATTACAAATCAAATTTCAAAACATGCTATTATGAAGCCAATGCAGCCTCTAGATTCAAAATGCCACCAAAAGTAGCCTTTTTATTTGCAACTAGGGCTGAAAAAAGTTGCTTCATGCTATCTTTCTCACTGTACGCTTCACTTGTGTCTATATCTAGAATGGCGAAATTTCGGCTGATAATTTTCATCTGTTCTCAAAAACCAGTACGTTTCGAAGCACTGGCAGTACAAAATTTTCCATCTTTAATCAGCATAAACTTTCAAAAAAAATTTGCAAATTTTCCCAGCCAAAGAATCATTTTTTCCAAGCCTATCTCACAAAACTAGGTCCCATTTGAAAAGATAGTTTAGAAAAAAGGCATAGAAACTATGCAGACTCAAGCAAAGACGCGAAGAATGCCGAAACAGACTAGCGAATTGAATTTGAAAACATAGCCAACACGGAGCTGGAACTATAGCCAACACTGACTGGAATTGAATGCAAGGAAATTTTTTTTTCAAAATGAAGTTTGCTTCAAAATTTTCTTTCTCCTTGCGTACTTGAAATAGACTTCATTTTGAAAAACTTCAATGTTCGAACTTCAAACAAAAAATATAAGCCCAAATAACTCTTTGAAAATCAAAACCAATGAATGATTGACCTTTTTGAGAAAACTGGATCAATAGGTAAAGTTTTTATTCTACTGTGAAATCTAAGACTTTAAATCGACTTTAGTGACGTTAACACTTTTGCGGTTCAATAGTGATTTCGCGGTTCTTTTGCAGTTTAACAAAGGAAAACAACTGAACTGAAAAACAAACAAATCAAAAGCGTGAACAAACTGAAAAACAAACAAACAAAATCATCAAGACCGAAATAAGAGTCTTCGCAACGTTCACTGACTCTTAAAAATTACTGAAAAAAGGTGAAATTTTCAAAAAACATAGCGAAAAAGGGGAAAAGCTACCTGTTCTGGGATCAAGGATTGCGACGTATGGGAAGTGATTGACTCTGTAGAATTGGCTGAATTTTCTACCATCTTGACTGTCCATGCGATACTGAAAAAAAAACATTCATCAACACAGCACAAATCCCAGTTCTATCACGGTTTTCAATCTAGTACATTGAATTTAAAATACAAAACAAACTACAAAACAAGAACTCTTATTTAGCAGTTTAAGCTTATTTCGCAATTATATCTTCTAACTCATGCAGAAAACAAACATAGTAATATTGTTAAATTAACTCAGCCCCATTTGTTGAAAACATATTATGAAATCTATACTTTAACAGATATTGAAAAATTGAATGTAAGCTGTCACATGATGGGCAGAGGTTTTTCACTCAGAAGCGAAGAAGAGTTTCGCGCCACTTGCGATAAAACACAAACATAAAAAACCTAAGAAGTCGAAAAAATGGGGAAAAATAGTCTACCGAAGTTTAAACTTTACTGTGTCTCGATAGAAGCTAACTTTAGGCACACATGCCAAACATTTGAATACTCAAATTAGCAACGGAACAAAACTTATGAAGAGGAAGCAAACCGACTATCTTTGAGCAGACACAAATTGATCCGAAAAAAAATACGATTCGAGTCCCACCTGAAAAAAGTTTCCAATCCCACCTGAACAAGGTTGCTTATAAACCCGATTTAAATTTTAAAAATAAAATGAATCCGTTTTTTCAATATTTAAAGCAGTTTGTTTGATTTAAATGCAATTTTTTTTTCAAAAACTGCCGAGTATCTTTAGAAAAATAACGAAAATAAGTAGCAGAATTTTTTTTTGAAATGAACGGTATTATGGAGACAGTTAATCATCTTTCAGTTTTCGTTTAGAGAGAGTCTGAAAAATTCATTTGATGCAAGCAGAAGGTAAGCTGGAAAACTGGCGGGCAAAAGCTGGAATATATTTGGCAGGAAAAACACGCCACAAACTGAGAAACTTTGATTTTCCCTACCTTAGAGTCTGAAGAAACTCCATTGTAGTTGCGAAAACAAGTATTCATCATGGTAGTTCTATTTTCCCTAAGATAGAATTAAGCCTCGAATTATTATAATTTCGCTAGGTTTAGGATTCGATCTTCGACCTAATGCAATATAAAGATTTTGAGTCTCACGCACTAACCACTTCGCCACGCACGCTTAATCATCAAAAAAACACTAGTCACGAATAAAGCAGCTAGATATGCTAATAAATTGCCAATGCGATTCAGTAAAAGTGTCACCATATACAAATAGACACAATTTTGCAAATAATAATTTGGAGCATAACAAACTGAAGGCATCCACACAAACAATGTAACAAATCGGAAAGCATAAAGCCATATTATGTAAAAATTATGTATTTCAAAAGATTGCGAGATATATTGAGTTAGAAAATTTCTGAAATCGAGTTTTTATGATTGTCATGTTGTTTGAAACAGCAGCTTTTTTCGGTTTAATTGATGAATTTAAAATGCATCAACTGTTTTAATTTATTAGTATTCGAATGACAAAGCACATGCTATCAAAATGCTGTAAAGGTACCCCAAAAGGGGCATCAATATTTGCGACTTAGGTTAGAAAAAAAGAAGGTTCGTAATAATACACTAAGCTGACGCTAGTGTAATCAAGCAACCCTGCACATGAACTACCATGATGAATACTTGCTTTTGCAACTACAATGAAGTTTACTAAAGCACAAAAAAAAAATCTGAGATGTAGCAACTAAGCAGATAATTATTGAGCAGACACCAGCTGAGCCGAAAAAATGATCAAATTATTTCAAAAATTTTCAAGTCCACCCTGAAATTACAATAAACAAATTTGCACTTTAAACTACATGGAAGTTGCAAGACCTCTGATTTTGCAAGACCTCAAACGAAAGTCCGACTACTCATTTTCTACTGATTTTTTAAAATGTATACACACTGAAGGAACCTGGAAGATGAGAGAACCTGGAAGTGGGAATGAACCTGAAAAACGACAAAGTTCAACACAGAGGCGAAGCTGTGCATCTCAAACACTAGCAAAAACACGACAAAAAAGCAGCTCTGAAACAAGAAAAAAGAAATAAGCCTCCAATTACTAAAAAAAATCGGCAACGTCTCGGATTCGCTCCTGCGACCTAGAGATTACGAGTCTCACGCACTAACCACTCAACCAGGGACGCTTAATACTTACAAACACTAGCAAAAATAAAGCAGCGAAATGATGCTATGCAATTTTCAATGCTACAGATCGTAATTATAGCTGAAGTGCCACCAAAAGTGAACACTTTTTATGAACACCTTAATTTGCGATTTAGGTTTAAAAATAAGGCTCGTGCTAATACATTACACTTCTGGCTAGTTTAATAATTAAGAACAAAGAAGAGCGTGATAAAGAAAAAAAGACCAGAAGAGAATATTTGTAAGAAAATTTGTTCATGGGAAAAAAATTTAATTCCTTATTACAAGACACCTGCTTTTGCAAGTGTAAGAAGGCATCAAAACTGGAACCCCTGAAAAGGAAACTCATGATCATGTGATGCGTCAAAGTGTTTCTTGCACTGACCTGTAGGAATAGGAAATGTCTGCTGACTATGTGTTTGACCTCGTGACTGGACCATACATCTCTGTTGAGACACTGGCAGTCGAAGTTCGTGCTGTCTTGGATGTCCACAAGCAGCCACAGGTCTCGTTCTCGTGCATAGTCCTTCGCCTGCACAACCAAAACAAACATCACATGAACTCACTTTCATTTTCAATTTTATAGGAACTGCGTTTACAACAAGTGTGTAAACAACTGGCTTATGATTGATGCTTACTCAAGACTAGAAAAAAAAAGTGAAGATGCGCCAGTTCAAGTGCATTCGCCAAAATTGATCCTTTTCTGAATTGGTTTTAATATTTTGTCCATTTCATTTTGGGGTGAGGTGTTGCAATTTAGCATCCTCGATTATTTAGCCATATCCTAAAGTCTAAACAATGCGAAACAAAAATCGATCTCTGTTATGTTCTTTGAAACAAATAGCTTTATTCGGTTCACTTGATGAATTAAAAATACATCAACTGTGTAAACTTATAACTATTTGAATCTCAAAGCACATGTAATCAATAAGCTGTAAAGGTGCAACTAAATATCAAAAATGTAACAAAATATCAAAATATATCTTATTGCAAAATCGATGCAGCAAATATTGTTGCTTTAATTCGCAACAATAATTGCGACTTAGTCGCAACAATATTTGCGACTTAGGTTGAAAAAAAAGAAAGTTCGTACTATAACACATTGCTTTGCAAGTGTAAGCATAGAAAAAGAACTGAGCTTAGAAAAGAAACCAAAATCAAACCGCAAAAAAAGTAATTTTGAGCCCGACTTTTTCTGAAAATAACCACGACCTGCTCTTAAGTGAACATGAAATTTGAGTTGATTCCTACGTAGAAGAAATCCATAGTGAACATGATATCGAATGGAGGCGCGAAGAGAGAGCTCAGCAGACCGCCACTGCTTCCACCTGTCCTGCTGCTAATGGTAGACCTTTCCCACACTGGTACTGCTGTGTTGCGATCTGAAATTATGCACGTACAAGTACGATAACCGATTATTCCAAAAAGAATGATAAATGAAGTTGATTTAATGAAGTTTTGTCAAGACTCAACTTTCTCAAATCGAATGCAGCTGATTGGTTAAAACTGTTTTCTGCCAATAATATCTTGAAATAACTTGCATTTATTTCCCATTTTGTGATATTTTTTCACGGACCCTCAACATGTTCAAAAAATCTCTCTATAGCTCTCTATAGTTTAAGTTCTAGGGTACTCTCGCTCAATGGGACTACAATGGAAATTCATAAAAAGGCATTGGCACGATAAAAAGAGTGCATGCAAATCAGTGTTAACTGCTTGATCTACCGTTACAAATTGTCGCCTGTTAACAATCGTTCATACCTGTACCCACTGCATTAGACACGGCTGTTATGTGAGAGAAGGGCGACGAGAAGGAGGTGGGTGATGAAGACGGAGGAGGAATTGCACGGCCTCGCACACTCAGAGTGGACGACATATGGTCTACGCTACTCAGCGGCGCCGATTGTGAGACACTGCTCAGCAGATTTCCTGAAATGATGTCTTTTGCAATTTGTATCGAAACACTACAAAAATAACAAATCTAAACGTACAGGTAAACGCCCCACCCTCCCTAACTTGTTATGATTTTCGCGTTGTTTCAGACAAAAAACGCGCATGTGCACAAACCGGCAATTTCGAAAAGAAGAACAGAGCAGCTGAAATTGCTTTCCTATTAAAATTGCGCCCTTCATGCGCAATTATAAGGCTCAAACAAATTGGACAAGCATGTCCAAGTAAAACTTACGGTACACATTGTGGTACACGCTTCACAGTTGGCTCTTCATAAAACACTGAACCCCTGAAAGTATAATTTTTTGCTTTTTTCTCAGCGTTTTTGCATTTTTCACCTTAATGGCGGGACTATGTTTGATACTTGCTGCTTCTCGGCACCCAACTGTAAATTCATGACTGGATGGGTTCTTAACATAAGGAATTGCCAAGCCCTCTTTGAGCCCAAAATCCAACAAGACTGCTCGTATCAGGGCGAAGCCCTGAATGTTCCGACTGCCTATTAAGCTTTATGGAGCAGTAATAACAAAAAAAAAATTAAAAGTAATAAAACAAAATAAAATTTTTTTTTCTAATATTTGAATTTTTTTATGAAAATCATCCCCCCACACACCATATAAAGTACGAAAAGATAGATTTCGCTACTTGTAACAAATCAATTATGGAACGAGTTCTAATACGGATTAACTCTCCGCTTACGCGTTAATAGCGCGAAATATATCGCGCGTTAATTGTCCCAAATGCCAATCTTTAAACCGCTGTAACTTTAAGAAAAATGATCACAGGTGAAATATCTTTTCAAATTTGAGCTCAGGACAACAATACCTTTTGAATGATATAAAACAATTCCGTCAAAAATGGCTAGTTAAAAAGCCGAAATTTGTCTGAAGAAAAAAAAGACAACCCCGAGCGCAAATATTTCGTTACTTTCGTATCGAAAGTCGGAACAATAACACATCTCGATTTTTTTCTAAGCTAAAGCGCATTGAAAAAATTCAGCGATTAACGCAGATAACTAAATTATGGTTTACCAATCCTATGACTCAATTCAGTATATTAATTTTTGTTCTCGTCATAACCGTTAAAGCCTAAAACTCGGCGATATATACTAAATAAGCAAATGGTACCTCCGCCGCCACTAGTTACAGCATGTGATATTTCAGCACCAATTGTATTACCAGACGAAGACCCTTCCACATTATTGCCAGCGGATGATCTCTCCATACTGCAGTTGGTGAAAAAAGAAGAGTGATATGTTAGCTTCCGTGGCATAAATTTTAACCATTAACATCGCTCATGTTTTAACTTCAAGCAATATTAACTTCAAGCGATAGTAAAATACAATTCATTTTTTTCTATGAATAACAAAACATGACTGATACCATTTCTGCAATTTTGTTTCCTCTGCTAAAAAGAATTCTAATAGTATATTTAAATTATCACACTTTTTGCCAATTAGTTTTTTGTATACAACAATAAAAATTCTACGTATATAGTAAAGCTTATAGAGATCGATACATAACTTTGAACATACAGCTTTAACGCCACCACGTATGCTAATATATCACCGGAAGGGGGTTTGATGAGAACCAGCAGAGTGGTGTTCGGCGGTGAAGGCGGATAATGCACTCTCTAGATTGTAGTTATGTCTGGATAGACTGGTTATGGCCACATTTTCTGCTGACCCTGGACACAGCATCAAATTTGAATGTTACATGGAAGAAAGAGCTATTTTATTGCTGTTTTAGAATAATCACATAAATAGGCGTTCTAAATAAGCTCGATAACGAGGTCAGACGCAAATTTGGTTTCACTAAATATGCACACCCCTCGATTGTACATTCGAACATTCGATTACATATTCGAATGGGAAGCGGCGGTGAAATGGCTAAGTCTCCGCCTATCAATAGAAAAGTAAAAACTCGCCAAGATTCATGCTCAATACTTCAGAGTGACGCAACACTACCCTGTCCAAAAAATACATGTAGTTTTCGACCACGGGCGCAGCAGCGGTTTTCTGCAAAGAACTGAGCAGGTCCCATATCAAGAAAAGATGAAAAGTGAATATTTTTGAACATTTTTCATGGCAAAAATTTCTACATACAAACAAATTAAATTATTAAAGAGTTGGTGCAACGAAGTTTTTCCACAGAGGCGAAGCGGAGCTTCGCATTACTTGCGATACAACGAAAGCGTACCATTGCAAAATACTAAATGGTCAGTGAGATTAAAATACCTCAGACGAGAAACACAGTCACTAGCATCAAGCAAGCTTTTAGTATTCTCCGAGCGACCACTCAACTAACAACATGCGGTTAGACGCCAATTGCTCCGAAAACATAATACCAAAGTAAATGGTTCTCATAAAAAAAATCAAATTTTTTTTCAGAAATACGAAAATTCAATCTCAGAAAAACAGACGAGAAATGCAACCATTAGCACTAAGCAAGCTTAAAAAAAAAATTCGAGCCTCCTTTAAGACAACAACACAGGGTTAGAGTCCAATCGATCTGAAAACAAAAATACCACAAGAAATGGTTCTCATAAAAAACTCAACACCTTTTAGAAATACGAAAAAATCAAAACTCAATTTCAGAAAAACAGGAAAAACGCAACCACTAGCAGTAAGCCAGCTTCTAGTATTTTCCGATTGTCCACTCAGCGAGCGCTAAGTGGTTAGACGTCAATTGATCCGAAAACAAAAATACAGAAGGAAATGGTTCTCATTAAAAGTTCATTATTTTGTATTGAAATACGCAAAACTCAATATCTGAAAAACAGATGACACGCGCAGCCACTAGCATTAAACAAGCGTTCATTATTTTCGACCGTTCACTAAACCGACAACACGTGGTTAGACGCCAATTAAACCGAAAACAAAAAATGTCAAAATAAATTATCAAAAAAATTTGAGCGATTCAAAATTCGTAACTTTTAACTTTTATACTCCCATCAGACCTGATTTATTGAAAAAACATGAAAAACCAATTTTCATCCTTATACTGATGAAAAAAATCATTAAACAGAACCGACAAAACAAAAGCCGAAATCATTTAGGCCGAATTAATTTCTAAGCGAAAACGAAATCTTTAAAAAACGGAAAATATACCAGTGAGGTTTACTAAATTTTAAACACTACAGAAGTTAACCAAAGACACTTGAGATTACAACAACAACTGATTACATCATGAAAAGCGTGAGGTGGCATCTAAGCCGACAAAACAAGCCGACAACCAATAATCCGACTAATCAATTACTCCCGACAAAAAATCAATTTCAGACACTGAAAAAAACTAAGTCCGTCCGAAACTCAAACCTCTGGAATAAGTTTTCAAAGCCAACTGCATTTCCTCCAGACCAAGTGCGATTGGGCCTGGAAGCTGCTAAGGTTTGATCATAAAGCAACATCAATTTCAATAAGAAATGTGTGTGTAAGAAAAGTTTTGACGGAAAAAAGTCTAATTCCTGACTACAAGACACTTGCTCTCGTAAGTGTATAGGAATTGCAAACTACACCGAAAAATCAGACAACACTTTGATATACAAAAAATATCATACAACACAAGAAAGGTAAAAAAGTCTGGCAACAACAAGTCGACAAATCATTAGCAGACAATGACTTCAAATATTTTAGGTTCAATTAAAACAGGTGCTGGCCGGATTCTAGCGTAGACCCTTATCCGATAATTTAAAAAAGGGGATCGTAGCCGATAGTCTAAAGAAAGATAACAATTTTTTTTTTGAAAAACTAAGTTGAAAATTACCAGAAACAAGTCGAAAAAAAAACACCCAACACCATCTTAAAAAAATTCTTACCTTCGTCTCGAATGATGTTCATAAACAGCCATAGCAATCATTGAGAATCAATGACCGGGTGGCAACTATGGTGACAAAAATTGGGTCGAACATCGTTAAGCCGAAAACGACATAAGGTCATGAACTATCTAGAGCTACAAAATTTTAGAACAAAATGTTTACAGCCCACTTGAAACATGCAAAAGCATTACAAAATCCCCTTTAAACCTGCGCAATATAAGTTGACTCAGCCGATATATCATAATCTGTACCCTTTTAACCGAAAAAAAAAATTAAAGTCGGAGTTGATAACTTCACTAACTACAGAACAACTTTCGATTACTTCAAAAAAAACAATTTTGAATGAAAAAAAACTAAGCAATGGAGCATAACTGCTTGAAAAGCGTGCCACATAATATAAAATGCATTTGGAATAAAAACCAAAAATCTGCCGACAGAAATTAGGACGAAAGCCACAAATTCGAAAAAACAACACTTTTTCAATAAAAATAGTTGAAAAAATAAGTACTATCTAAAATCATCTAAAGATCATTTAATTTGAATTAGAGCGTGTTAGCTTGAATAATTTGAGAATATCATGCAGTTAGTAATATAGGTGCAATGTAAGAAATACGTGCAGTTAAATACGTAAGACAAGTGATTCAACTGATTTTGTTTAACTAGTTGTTAACCCGAAAAAAAGTCTATATTCCGATTTGATAATGCTTGCTAATCGCAAGCGTAAAAGACAATTTATCCTCGAGAGAAAAGACTGTCAACAAATTTTGTAGCACCAATTTCTGAAAGTTATTTAATTTTTTTTATAGGAATAACTTTTGGCCACAAAAAACTTTCATCCTTTCTTGTTAGGGTAGGAGATGGGGGGTTGGTAATCATTCAAGCAGCGCGACGGACCGATTGCTGCGTTAAGATTTTTTCAAGCAATCGGAGCTCAGTACTCAAAAATTCGAAATACGAGATAAATGCAGTCAATTTTGGACAGTTTACAGGGCGTTGATTGGCTGAGAACTTTCGCGCATTCGGTTCTTCGCTCATGTGAATAGCAGCCGCCTTGAATATCAGATTTAGGAACTAACTAACCAGTGATTTGTTGAAACTGCCGAACCAGGTCCATGGTGAATAGAATAGTGATATTTGGTGCGTAGTTCTGTCACATGACCGGTCTGAAATTGAATAAAGCATGTGGCTACTACTCCATACGTAAAAGCCATTAAGAGTCCTTTACTTCACATATTCAATTATTTCATAAAAAAATTAGAAAGACCGGCGGCAATTTTGAAAGACCGACTAGCCTACAATTAAATCACTGTCATAAATCAAATATCTTTAAATGCCTTTCATGGTCGAATAATCATTGCTGTAATTTTGTTGTATTACCATAGGGAGGTTGTTGTCTAGCTAATTTCTCTCTCTGCAGACTTCAGAAATTATAACTGAGCAAAAATTTATTCCGAAAACTCACGATAGCTTGATTCGTAGACTCCAACCACATAGAATATAGCCTCTCAAAATTTTGGAGCGGATAGCGATAGGAACCCACCACAAATTTTACACACCACTTTCGATGCAACTCAAAAGTGTCGAAAATGGGGCGGAGGCCAGTGTCGGAAAAAATCGACATAAAAAAAACTATATCTGAAAAACATCATCTGTTTGTCTCGTATGATGTTCATTTCTTGAAAAATTCCGCAAAAAACTATCCACAGCGCTAAATTACCATTCGGAAAAAATTATCGAGCGCTACCTAAGCCGACAAAACAAAGCTTAGGTAATCGATCGTTGAACCGAAATTAAAATTATTATGGAAAAATTTGGTCTTAAGTTTTGCGACGCAGCTCTCCTGAAGCACAAAAGCCTAAAAATCTATTTTTATCCTTCAAACGACCCATTGAAAGGTGAATAAGTCGACACGACATCATATTTGCCGAAACAATTTCAGCCGACTTTGTTCTGTAACTGATCATTAACTGATTTTGTTACTTTCATGACATCTATTTGTTCTCGAAGTAGACCATATTCTTTCTTTTCAACCTTTCTACACAAAAAAGACTATTCGATATTGACCAAAAACCAGGCAGTTAGAAAATGATAATTTGAAAAAAAAACTTGATAATCTGAGAAAAAAAAATGTCAAGAAACACTATCACTAGCCGACTACTAACTAGCTGACTTCAACATATGCTGGTTGAGCCGAAAACAAAAGTGAAACTTTTAAATTCGAAGTTTTCAGGCCCCCATTCCAACTGAAACAACAAAAGAGCATAAATATCTAATTTTACCCTTAAGCGGCCCAAAAATAGCTTACGAAAACGATATAGCATGGGCCGAACACTTAATTTATTTAATTATTTTGTTTTTTGCTGCATTTAGTTTTCGTAAACTTAGCAAGTACAGAACGACTATTTTTGTTAAAATTGCTTAAGAAGAGTTTAGATGCTTTGAAGCATTCCCAAAAAAAAAATTTTTTTTGACACATCGAAGAAGAACGAGGTCTGGCCGGGGCTGAAAACCTAGACCTCAGATCTCCTTTACCTGACAACTGTTGGGTTCAATAACAAAGCAATCTTAATATCTGACCGATCTTAAGAATCTGTTTGGCCGCGTCTCGAACCCCAGAAATTCATTGCCAAGTCGGTTGCTTTACCCCAAGACCAACTGAATAGGTAGCAGAAAGTTTTTGAGGTTCAATAATTCAGAAAGGTAAACATATACACTAACATAAATACATGGCGAAAAAGAAAACTATGCCGGAACTCGACCACCAGAACTCGCGATTACACGTCACTTGGTCTCGCAAGTGAAATAATAAGTGCTCCAAAAATTACCCTACTCTAATTGTTCCGACTTTCGATACGAAAGTGACGGAATATTTGTACTCGGGTGGGCGAAAGTGACGAAATATTTGTGCTCGGGGGTGACAAATTTCGACTTTTTAACTAGCCATTTTTGACAGAATTTTTTATATCATTCAAATGGTATTGTTGTCCTGAGCTCAAATTTGAAAAGATATTTCACCTGTGATCATTTTTCGTAAAGTTATGGGGGTTTAAAGAGTGCCATTTTGGCGAATTTGGGACTATTAACGCGCGATATATTTCGCGTTGTTAACGCGTAAGCGGAGACCTAATCCGTCTTTGAAATCGTTCCAAATAGAGAAGCTTATTTGCTATAATTGTTTTGTTACAATGAGCGAAATCTATTCTTTTAAACTTTATATGGCGTGTGGGGGGATGATTTCATAAAAAAATTTCAAATTTTAGAATTTTTTTTTTCATTTTTTTCTATTACATTTAATTTATTATGTTACTGCTGCTAGATAAACCTGAAAAGGCAGTCGGAACATTCAGCGCTTTGCCCTGATACGAGCAGTTTTGTTTGCTTTAATAATCGAAAAGTTAAAAAGAAGCTTTTTTTTGTACACTAGTAGATCAACTCCTGTTAGCCTGTTCTTGAAGAAAAAATCCGTTAAATTAGTCTTTCAGATAACATTCAACGAAGCATGCTAAATAGATTTTGCAAACAGTATGATCAAATAAAAAGCAGAAAAAGAAAACGTTTAAAAATCTATTGAAAACCTTATGATCAAACATAAAACCATCAGCACTGATCGCCCAAAAATTTGAATGTAATCGGCAACCTAATCTCAGCCCGAAATGAATCCTTTTGCGGCAGTATCATTCAATGTCTCTGCAACTCCGCGCATCTTTTTTTTTAAACATCCTGTATCTTCATTTTTTTCGCAACCACCGCCATGTTTTAAACAGTTTTGCAGTCACCAGAATAGCATCTTCGGCTAAACACGCAACAAGAAGTTCAATGTCAGGAAAGAACAAGCTTTGACCAATAAAAAATTAGCCAACTTCAGGATTCGAACCTCCACTAGATTGGACAACAAAAACCACCTTGCAGCGATAAGTAGTTAGCCCACACTTTATTGGTAACAAACAGTTACCAATGCGCGGTAATAAAGCTGATAAAACAAAAAAATGAACATAACTTGCGCGAGTTAGATTTAAAAACTAAACTCGTAACGAAATAAATACTTGTGATTATTGAAGAGTGTAGAAAATTGAATTGGCGCCAAAAAAAATACAATTCAGCAGTTGGAAAATGGTCAATGAACTCCAGGTGCAAAAAATATCAACTTTCAAAAAAAACGCTAGCCTTCACGAAATTTATTGACACATAATTACGTGCAGTTGTTATTTTATGCAAAAATTGTCTTTGTACTGCTTACGAAATTGAAAAAAAATATATATTTAACCAGTGTTTTCTGATTTGTCTGAAAATTCATTTCCTTTACGCAAAATCTCAGCCATAAAAAGAGCATGAATAATTGAATACTCAACTGTTCTCATAATTTCTGCTATTCCATTTGCTATTCTCACTATTTTTTTCAGCACTTATCAAGCAACTCAATTTTTTTTGTTAATCTACATAATCGGAGCGATATAGTTTTCTGATGAAACGGAAAACTACAAAAGCAATCGATGAATAAAATTAATTACATTCAAAAAAATTGTACTGTAATGATACTCCGGTAGTCAAAACAGTCGTTCCCTCAAGCCAGGTGCATCTAAATTGACCTGGAAACTACAAATAATATATCCAGCCCCGAACTAACTTACTTATTTAAACACCAACACGAATAAAACTTATATATAAGCATTTGCACATGTTTATGCCGCGACTCCCTCAGTAGTATTTGATTCGTTGATTCCGCCTGCTGCTTGGTCGGCAACGTTGATTCCTCGGATATTATTGGCAGATTGAGTTCGACGGTGATGTTGCGCTGCTCTCTCGCTTCCACAGAATCTACTGGCACCAATCTGACCTTGACCAGCTGAGAGACCATTCTCGCTTCCCGCAGTCTCCTGACCATGTACCGCGCGGTCGTCGGAGGTATTATCATTATTGAGAGTTGATAAGTTGTTTGCATTGAACTGATTTGACGCCATTTGCCCATTCGGTATATTTGGGATTCGAGGAGATCCCGTTTGAATGAAGTTGAGCAGACGTATCAGAAGTGACACAATGAGACTCTGAAACGGGTAAAGCGCCACATTGTTCGCAAATGTCTGACCGCTTACACGCAAATCGCTCCTCGAAGCTTCCCTAGTTCCTAGATCCCGCAAGCTGTTGCGGCCTTCTGAAGCAGTCATTGCGGCTGTCGGTTCCGTTCGGCTGATCACACCCGGTTCGGACCTGTTAGTCGGAACCTCCTGCGGATGATTCTGATTAGACACGATTCCATTGCGTGCCGGAATGAGCTCTTCTAGTAGATGCTCGATGTACTCCAGACTTGTTGGGTCGACCAAAGAGGGGATAATTTGGGGGTGGAAAGTGTTTGTGTTGGGGCGGAGCCCCCCAGTTTGGGTTGCAGGTGTGTTCTGCATATTGGAAGGGGATCTGCTGGATGATTGGACACCTGATGGCTGACTGAGTCTCTGCTGCTGGTGGAACTGGTTCTGAAGTCTGCGGTTCTGTGCCTGCAGCAGTGCTGTCCTGTTAAGAACTGCTGGCAGTTCGTAGTGGTGGAAAAAGTACAGCATTGAATGCTAAAACAAAAAAAAACACATCAATGCCGACTTCTTACCAAGGATGGAATGATTACTGATACAAAATGAGCTGTGCTTTTAAAAGAACTGAACTGCAAAACTCCTTTGAGCACAAGAAATTGATGTTAAACTAACACTCGTTATGATGATGATGCGTTAAATTTGTTGTTCATTCTGGACTCCTTAAGGTATTCAGACTTCTATGCAGTCCCAAAAAAGAATGACTCATGTTATTTTTTTCGGAATGAGCTCCACAGTTACGATGTTCCTTTCAACTGATTGGTGGGAGAAGCATTTTCATTTAAAAATAGATACACTAAAAAGAATGTGGAATAGTAAGCTCGCCTCCATTAATCATTCGGCTCGCAAAAAGTTAGATTTTCTAAGCAAGCCCATTCAATCAATGAAATTTTTGAAATGTTTCATGTTATCTCATACGTAAAACTGTTTCGAAAAATTAGTTTTGCTAAGAAAACCATTCACGCAACGGAACTTCGTTGAAATTTGTCAAGTATTTTCGTAGCGCAAATCAATCGCTTCCCGAAAATAAATTAGCAAAAGTTCAGTTTTCTCAGCAAACCAATAAAGCGTTGAATCTTTCAAAGAATTTGAAATTGTTATAGCGTGACACAACTCGCATAAAGTTTAAGATTATCTGAGCCAGATATTCAAGCAATCAAGCGATGATTTTCAACTTAATTTATAGCGAAAGTTAGATGGTTTAATAGCTTGAATTGATTCGCAATAGTTTGTTTAATTTTAACCACGTTTTTGAGCAATAAAAGTTTGAAACATTTCAGGTTTTTTCATGGCGTGAATCTGTTAGCGAAAAAGTGTAAAATTTTCAAGCAAGCCATTGAGCATCAAAATTCTGGAACACTTCCTATTTGTTTTCATAGCTTGATATTTTTCCTTAGGTTTTTTGAAGCAAGCTATTGAGCTCGAACCATTTCAAGTTGTTTTCAGAACTTGAATCAATTTGCGAAAAATTGATGTTGTTAGTTAAGCAAGCGATTCAAAGATACCACTTTGAAACATTTCCAGTTATATCTTGGAGCGAATCGGTTCAAAAAAAGTGATTGTTTGCCCAAGCAAAAAGTTTGCTGATCTAAGTTAGTTCGCTTTAAGCTGAAATGAATCTATGCACGCAAAATTTGGACAAAAAGTTACTGATACTGCCCAGCCTTGAGGCTGAATCGAGTTGATTTTATCTAAAAAAAATCACTTTCTAAAACAATTCAACAATATTCCAGACTTTAGGGCTCAACGGTCAAAGAAGGCCAATAAGTTTCTATATGTTTCAAGCATTCTGAAGTCTGGAATATAGTTGAATTGTTTTAGAAAGTGATTTCTTCAGATAAGATCAACTCGATCAAATTTTGTCGAACGCAACGTTAACCAAGAAAAGTTAAGGGCTCAACGGTTAAAGAAGGCCAATAAAAATTTTTATGTTTCAAGTAGGGTTGTGCAGTTACTAGTAAGTAAAATTCGTTTACTAGTAAGTTACTAGTAAGTTACCACTTTTTTTACTAGTAAGTTACTTTTACTTACTAGTAAGTTTCAAAAACTCAGAATCTGCTTGAAACTACCGAAATTGAAGACTATTCATTTTACACAAACTCAAAATCCGCTAAATAATCATTGAATCAATATTATCAAGTGAAGCAGCGTTGCAATATATGAAAACATGTTTATCTGCTCTTTCGACTGATAACTGAGACTCATTTTTTTCAAAAATTTCATTTTGGTTCAACTTACTAGTAATAAGCCTTATTTTGCTTACTAGTAAGTTACTAGTACTTTTACTAGTAACTTACTTACTAATAAGTAAGTCCGCACAACCCTAGTTTCAAGTATTCTAAGCTTTTCTTTGTTAACGTTGCGCTCGACAAAATTAAACACAGAGGTGAGGCTGCGCTTTGCAAACACTTGCGAGAACACGACCAAAAAGCAGCTGTATCAAAGCCTCGAATTTGCAAAAATTCGAGGCTCAGCAAAAACTCGAATTAGCAAAAAAAACTGCGACCTAGCAAATTTGAGTCTCACGCACTAACAATTCAGTCACGGAAGCTCACAATTCCCAAAAACTAGCCACCAATAACGCAGCTACATATGCTAATAAATTGCCATTTCGATGCAGCAAAAGTAACATAAAATACAAAAAGATACAATTTTGCATGTAAAAAATCGCAAATCAAAAAGCCACATTATGTATAAATAATGCATTTCAAAATTGCTAGATATATTGCGTTAGAAAATTTCTGAACTTGAGTTTTCATTATTGTTAAATTGTTTGAAACAAATGGCTTTATTCGGTTCACTTGATAAATTAAAATACATCAATATATGTGTAAATATATACTAGCAATCCCGTCTCCATTAAACAATAGGATCTCAAAAAATAGTTGATGTTCTGATCAAGCTATTCAAGCAATGCAACATCAAAAATTTCAAGATAAGCCACATCGTAAATAGGTTTGAAAAATCAGTTCGCGAAAAGTTGAAGTCGAGGATACGATATAAGATATGAGGTGGGACTGCGCAGTACGGATGAGTAGTTTACCTGGATGAGGAGCCACGATGCTACTAGAGCGAGTGCGCTGTATTGTCCGTTGAAGCGGTAGTGGTATGCGTAGAAGGCGAAGTGGTAGAGATAGAAGAAGCGCAGCCAGTGCCTCTTGGTCAGAGCCGTGTGACAACAGATGGCCTCGTACTGGTCCGCCACCCACACTATAATGATGATGTAGAATGCTGTCGTCGAATCACTGAAGAACTCCGACATTATCGCCTCTATACCTAAACAGAACATACCCAACTCAGTACAGTAACTCAGAAAAAAATAGAGTCAATATAAATCATAGGCCTGTCATAAAAACAAACACAGAGGCAAAGTTGCGCTTCGCAAAAACTTGCGAGAACACGACCAAAAAGCAGCTCTATCAAGTGAAATACAAAAAAAATAAAACCAAGCCTCGAATTAGCAAAAAGTCAGCTACGTGTAGGATTTGAATCTGTGACCTATCTAGGATTCCCTAGGGAGAACTACCTAGGATTCGAATCAAGCGATTTTGAGTCTCACGCACTATCCACTCATTCAAGCAAGCTTAACAACTGAAAAACAACTAGTCACGAATAAAGCAGCTATATATGCTAATAAATTGTCAGTGTGATTAAGCGAAAGTAGCAACAAATACAAACAGACTCAATTTTGCAAGTAATAATTTGGAATATAACTTTTTCGGTTCATTTGATGAATTAAAAATTCGTCAACTTTGTTAACTTATTTCTATTCGAATGTCAAAGCACATGGAATGAAAATGTTGTAGAAGTGCCCTAAAAGTGGCACCAATATTTGCGACTTAGGTTGGAAAAAAAGAAGGTTCGTACTAATACACTCGCTTCGCAAGTGTTAACAAACACTTCATACAGTTCGAACACAATTTGCAAAAGAATAAGTACTTAACAAATAACAAGAAAGGACTCTATCAATGCGATTCTGTTGACTATGTTTCCTGTTTTGTTTTACGCTTGAAATCTTCATTCGGTTTAAATGATTTCGGCCTGTATTTTATTGGCTTAGTGACCTAAATATGTATCGTTTGAAGGGAATATATAGTTTTTACACACTTTCTCTGCGGAAATCTAAAATTCTTAGAAATTCAGAACTGCATAGCTCAAGTAATCAGAGTCGATAATACGTAATAGAGTCATAATTTTGTATTACTTTGTTCCTGGAAAATTTGTTCACGCTTGATTTGAATTTTCGCGGTTTGATTTTGATTTATGTTTCAGTTCAGTTCATTTTTTTGTTAAAAGGAACTGAACTGAACATAGCTTTATACGTCAAGTAATCAGAGTCAATTAGTACGTAATCAGAGTCGATAATTTCTTTTTGCTGAAAAATCTAAACATTGCCGAAATCATTTAAACCGAATAAAGATTTCAAGCGAAAAACAAAACAAAACAGGAAAATATAGAAACTCAGGGCTAGTAAACTTAACACAGAGGCGAAGCTCGGCTTTGCAAAAAACTTAAATGAACATGGTCCACAGACAGTAGGAAAACGTTCGATGAAATCAAAGAAAAGAAGAACATGTTTAAGCTCTTTAAATTTCAAGAATCTATTAAGATTGGCACTTTTTCATACGAAATTTCCGATGACACTGGTTCAAGAGATAATGGATCAAGATCTCTGGACCAAGAGATAATTTCTTTTCGCTGAAAAATCTAAACATTGCCAACTTTCGAATTTCAAAGAAAAACATAGCCAACAGACAGTTGGAAAAGAGTCAATGAACGCAAGAAAACAGAAAAAAATATGGACTTTGATTTTTTTTTAGAAAAAATCTCAATTTGTCAAACTTTCAAGAAAATATAGATGAACTTAATGCTCTTTGAGCAATTTATGAATGACCCCTTTTTGATAACATTAACCCAATTTGAGAAAACTCGACCAATAGTTATTTTCGCTAGGAAATTTGATAATTAAATTCCACTTTCGAAACTAGAAGACGATCATGTTTTTCGTGACTTTTACGCTTTCACTGATCAATAGTGGAGTTTGCATTCCTTTTAACAAAAAAAAATGAACTGAACTGAAACAGAAATCAAAATCAAGCTGCGAAAATTCAAATTGAGAGTGAACAAATTTTCCAGGAAAAAAGCAAAACAAAATCATGACGACCTATAATACGTTTAATTCCGAACTACGTTTATCGACGACTCTGATTACTTGAGCAATGCAGTTCTGAAATTCTAAGAATTTAGATTTCCGCACAGAAAGTGTTGTAAGAAATATATTCCCTTAAGCGATACATATTAAGGTCACTAAGCCAATAAAATACAGGCCGAAATCATATAAACCGAATAAAAATTTCAAGCGAAAAACAAAACAGAAAAAATAGAAACTCAGGGCTAGTAAATTTAACACAGAGGCGAAGCTGGGCTTTGCAAACTCTAGCAAGAACACGACAAAAAGAAGCTCTATAAAGAGCAATAAGAAAAGTACAAATAAGCCTCGAATTAAAAACTGGGCTACATCTTGGATTCGATCTGCGAAGATTATGAGTCTCACACTCTAACCACTCATCCACTGATGCTTTAAAACTTACAAACACTAGCGAATATAGAGCAGAGAACAGATGCTATGAAATTTCCAATGCTACAGATTGTGATTAAATCAAACGTGACATCAAATAAGTGAAAAACTTCAATGAACACTTTTATTCGCGAGTTAGATTAGAAGAAAAAGAAGAAGGTGGTACCCAATACACTAGTGCTCGCAAGTGTAAAATTACAAAACTTGAAATATATAGTAGTATATCAACCTTGAAATTGCTTACAGCAACAGAAACTATTCTGCAACTAAGCCGACTACACAATCAGACAAACGCTTTTGCCATCCCATGTGTAATCTTTAGCCCTAGGCACGGGAGCCGGGGAGTCAAAATATTTGAATTTATTTTAAAATCAAGCTGTCAATGATTCAAATGATTTTGTTAAACAAGTTAATAACCTGAAAAAGTCCATATTTCGATTTGATAATGATTGTTAATCGCAAGAGCTATCATTGCTGCTTCTGACATTTTATTTATCTAATTTAAACGATGACCGTTTTATTAGAACCAAAGTTAACACGAAGTCGTGTGTACTTACCTACTAGCGCCAGTATGACAGTGAGCAGAGGTGCTGCCGGGAACACCATGCCTATGTTCAGTTCCAACATCTGCAGAACATCGACTGAAGCAGACAAAAAATATTTCTCTTAAAACTACCAAAAGGATGATTGGAATTTTCGAAACTAAACCACCACCTCACACAACCATCAATTTTATTGATTTCAATTCGAGCTTTTACAAGGTTGTGTTTGAAGACCAAATATGCTTGGATGTAGGTAATTACCGTCGATTTTAAAAAGAGCCAAATAGAGGCAACAGTTGGTTACTCACTGATGAAGATGAATATCTGGTGGTGTGAATACCGTAGCAACATCGAGATCGACAGTGTCTGAAAATGAAACCATAAAAAAACGAAGTTCTAACAAAGCCTAGCACTAAGGTCAATTGCTTTTTTCAAGCATAAACAGATACAGTCACAAGACAAAATTGCAACTTTTAGTTTTCAAGTGATGAAATGAATGAAAATTTTTTCATGTTTCTGCTGTCTTTTCTAAATCTAGATTCATGGTTAATACGAAAACACTCCCGTAAACAACAGCAGTTTCAAATTATGAACTTAAAATATTCGTTGGAAAGCTAAGGATAAAAGCTAGGTCCTCATACAGGTTTCATTACAGATAAAAAGGAACTGAAAGTTTAGTTAAGCTCTTTGATCAAAGTTGACCGAAATTTCAAGCAACTTATTTAGTAAAAAGCCAAAATTTGAGTCAATTTTTATTCGTAGTTTAGCAGTTTTTTATATCATTTTTTATGTGAATTGAAACTTATATGAGGATCTAGCTTAAATCTTTGCTTTCTAACGAATACTTTCAAGTCCAAAACTTCAAACTGCTTCAACTGTTTACGGGGACTTTTTGGCACTAAGAACACCTCTTTGACGCCCTGTATTTAAATGGCCAAACAACGCCATGAAAACAACTTTTACGTTTTTTATCAGATCATAAACAATTTCATCCATCACATGGCAAATTTTCATCCATGAATATGCATTAGTTGCAGAGAAAAATGTTCGTCAAAAAATGTTCATTCATTTTATCACTTGATTAACCTCGTTTCTTTTCTTCTGAAACCAGTTTCAATAAAAAACAACAATTTTTGATCGACCTTAATTTGTACTCACAAAGAGAAAGCGCTCTGGCGGAACTTTAATGCGGTCTTCAGCTTTCTCACTCAATTTTATGAGATATCACTGAACTCAAATCGACTATTTTATTTGGTACCTGATTTTCCAAGGAAAAACGCCAAACTTAAAGTTTTTTTACATTTTCAATGGTAAGAACAAAGAAAAATTGATGGTCATTAACAAAAGCAAATACCCATAGTGGACCTAAGAGAAGTCCGAATAAATAACAAGCGTAAACCGTCAAAACTAAACGTTTCAATGAGGCGAAAACAAAAAATCATCAATTCCGATAGACATAAAATTGTACTCACAAAGAGGACCATTACAAATGCGGCTGCAATGTAGGAGGACCTGGTTGCATGCACACTAATGAACTTGAAGTGCTCGTCTGTCTTCACATTCCTCAGATAACCTGAACAAACCATCAAAGTCAGTACCTCCCCCTAAAATTAAGCAAAATTTGCATTTCCCTATTAAGAGGGGTGAGTTCTCTCCCCCCCCCCCCCCCCCCCCAAAAAAAAAAATGGGACGAGTTGCATCTCTCTTCTAGAAGTGGGACAAGTTGCATCTACCCTAAAAATGGGACGAATTGCATCTCCCCCAGAAAAGTGGAACGAATTGCATCCCCCTAGAAGTGGGAGGAGTTGCATATCCCGTAAAAGTGGTACGAGTTGCATCCCTTGCCGAAAAGTGGGACGAATTGCATCTCTCCCAAAAAATGCGACGAGTTTTTAACTAATGCTGTTGATTTATACTTTTGCACAAAATCTGACTAACTGATGATTTACTTTTTGAGACAACATTTTTGAAACAATTGTTGAAGTTTTATAGCATAGAGCATAATCATCAGACAATTGAAAATGTTTTTCTATGCTCGGCAAATGAAACACGGATTGTGTCAGATATCGATTTTCAATAAACAAACTACATCATAATTTGGATTTTACTATTCAATTCAGTTCTATAATAGATACTTTGTTGCCGAAATCAATCTGTTTTGAGAAACTCGATTCAAAAGATATTCCTGCATTCGCTAGTAATTTACAATACTCAAAGCAAATATTTACTATACTCGTTTTTACAATGGCAGAGAGAAATTTCAGCTCCCATTGACTCAAGAATTGAATTAATCGACCTTCCAAACTCAAAAAAGGCACGCGCGAAAAAGAAAATATCTTTTTGAAAAAACGGCCTATATCTTTGACATCTATAAAAACAAAAAACAAATCAAAAAAAATCTTACAGGGCTTCTCAAAAAAGAAATTCAAAATCAAAGGCGAAGCTGCAATTTGCGAAAACCAGCAAAAGTGAGCTTGCAAAATAGTTCGGTTAGAAAAAAAGAAGGTTCGTAGTAATACACTACACTGATGGCTTGTGTAAAAATGCTGAAACAATCCTGGCAAAAAATTCAACCAAAAGGTTTTACCGACTGCGGGATTCTACACACGGACCTAGAGATTAGAAGTTTCTCGCCTCCGCTGCTGCACCAGTTGCCCTAACTACTTTGCTAGTTAGCACATTCTCTAATAGCAACCAACTATCAAAAGGCATGACAACAATTTGCGTTGAAAAAAGGTTAATTTGCACTGAAAAAAGGTTAATTCAAAGGACGCACGCATTTGCTTAAACAAAAATTGGCAACAAAAAGTGGAAAAAGTGTAAGAGAACAAAAAAAAAACCAAAAAAAAAATAATTGAAAACTTCAAGTTTCGAATAAAAATATATGTATACAGAGGCGAAGTGGAGCTTCGCACCACCTCCGATACAACATAAGAATTGCAGCGTTTTGTGCGATCCGGAATGAAGCTTTTCTTTGAAATGACCTCAAATTAGGTCACTAGGCCATTAAAATATATGCCGAAATCAATTAAGCGGAATATAGTTTTTAGGCGAAAAACTGCAAAATATACTAAGTCAAGTCTAGTAAAATTAAAAATTACAGATGTAATTCAAAAAACTAAAAGCAACTACATTGAAAATGCCGGCATTTTTTTGAAAAAAAATATTTCCAGGTTGAAAAAAAAGAAGTTCCTGGTCAGATTCGAACCCACGAACTTTGCCGTCCCAGGCGTATTCTTCACTTCCAGGCTAAGAGGTACAAATGATTTAAGTGATTCTGTTAAACAAGTTGTTAGCACGAAAAAGTCTATATTCCGCTTTGATAAAGCTTGCTGGCCGGAACAGTAGCTTGCTGACCGGAACAGTAACTTGCTATGCTGATCAAAAGAATATAAAATAGACCCCGAAATCGATTGAGGGAAAGAGGAATACAGAATTTTCAACATTAACTTTGACGACGGCCTTAACCGATTCAATGATTATATTTAACTTATGACAAACTTTTAAAAACATTAAATTGAAAGATCCCCATCGGTTTAATTTGCGCGTTTGTTCAAAATGCATATTTATACAGTTGGTCCCACTTTTTTGATCCTCCAGTCGATCAAGACTCCAGTAAAAGCAACATATACAATCAACCTATTTGACAACAGAGATTTAATTAATATTTGCAAAAAAAACACGCATTTATTTCTGTACAGCCGTAACTGGGAGTATGGGTACAGACCAGATCTTTGAGACTAGTTGTTCAAAGGGGAAAAAGTCTTGTACAAACCGATTTCATAACACCTGCTAATCGCAATGATAAAAACACAGACATACCATTTTAATTTCTGGCTGTGATACTTCGAAATGTATTTAAGTTAATTATCATTGAAATATGGAGCTGGTTGATTTTTTAAATCCAGCTCCATAAGAAAAACAGAAAAGAGGCAGTGAAGATTGTAAAGAGATTCACCGCTTGCTATAAAAATAATGTCAGACAATTAAGACAGCTTCAAATGTCAGTTTATTGTAGACTGAAACATCTTTTAACTGTGAGGTATTTGCACGAACATATATCCAATATACACCGAGAGCAAAAAACTTCTCAACCTTTATTTGGATCGGATACGAATCCAGCCCACCAAATATACCAACTACTTGTACGAATCCAGACCCACCATGTAATAGACACACCAAGTTGCTTAGTGTCTGATTAACTGAATTTTGATTTCCTTTGATTAACTAACTCAATTCTGATTATATGAAAATTTCTATTCTAAGATTATATCCCCCTTAAAGTCGTTTTTAGGGGGGTGATGATTGAATTTTGATTCATTCCTTCGTGCTCGTTCATATTTGGGCGAGCAACATTACCCAGCATACAATAACCAAAAAAACTGCAAATAATTCTTAACCAGGAACACAACATCGGTTCTGCGTGAAAAGCTGGACATCTCGTTTGTTTGTCATTTCACTCAAGAGTCGCTGAACCGATTTCTGCAGTTTGGTTTAATTTTTTCTTTGTATTTTTTAAGGTCATTTTCTTGTTTGACTTGCCTTGTTTGTTGTCCTCTTCGAATGCCAGTAGTTTGAATGAGTTGCGCAGCCAATCCTCCACTCCCAACACCTCCCTCCGGATGTACCTGGAGAGTCCGGAGCCAAAACATGCATCCTGCTCTGGATCTAAATCGACAAGATGAAAAACAACTCTCATGTTGATGTAATTTTATCCAACTATTCACTGTTAATTGTTTCATTATCAAAATATTTATGATCCATCATAGTTTTAGTATAGTATGACACTGGGACCCTTCCAATCATGACCGAAGCGGGATTCCAACCCACGACTTTTGAGCTAGAGGCCGCGCGTCTTACCCGCTCAACCAGAATTTCAGCAGTTCTGAAAATGTTCTGATTGTGCCGTTGCGGGAGTTTTTTCACTTTTTTTTATCAAGGCTAACCTATTCTGAGAGTGACTGTTTTGATTCCGAGTTTGTTGCGCACTCTGTTGGACAGACGCAGGAAGCCATACTCCAGAGCATACTCGAACACCAACTCCGGTTCCACCGCCCGCACTGATAACACAAGACCATAACTAGCCATTATCAAAAATTACTATTAAATTTATTTACTCGAATTATGGATCCGAAAATCGATTACAAAAAAGTGTTCAAAATACATTGCAGAAGGGTTCAAATATAGATTTCAATTTTTCTCATCAGTTTCCACGCCGATTCAATTTTCTTTCAATCACGATGCTGCATGAAACAGGGAGCTAGGAACACTTATTATCGATTGCATTTATATCATGGCATCATTAAACTGACCTGTATGAAAATTATATCATTAATTGGCATTATACTGACCTTTTTCACGGGTTCCCGAGTTGTCGATGAACACGTCAAACCACTGAGACATCGACTTCATATATCCTGAAGCAGATAATTACAAGTAGGAATAGGCAACAACCTTGGTAATAATATGCACTGAAATCAAAAATATTACTTCAAAGAATAACACAAAGAAGGCTCTGTTCCAGCAATAAAAGAAATGAAGAAACATTGAAAAAAAACCGACTGAGCATTTCAGAATCATTTTTTTGTCCCAGGCTGCTTTTCTCATTTGGAAAACAGTCAATGAGCTCGAGTAAACAAAAAATGACTTGTTTTTTGGAATACTTCAACTGTCGAAAAACATATATCAAAAAATATTTACATTGAGAAAAACGGATTATTAGGTAAAGTTTTTAGCCCAATGGGAAATTTAAAAAATAAATTCGGAAATCGATCACTTTTTTTCTCGCCATTTCAGATTTCGTAATTGGATAGATCATTTTGCCTACTATTTAGCAAATAAAATTCGAAATGAACTCAAAAAACGCACATAACCTAAGGAAATTCATAAACGCATACATACGTACGAATGCTTATGTTGTTATTAGAGCATTAATTAGCGTAATTGTTTCGATAAACTTGAAAAAAAAAGATGGAAGTGACAACTGGCACTTCAAAAGACCTTGAAAATAACTTTCAATCCGAGCAAAGTAAAATTATTCCGCCACTGAAGTTTCAAGGAGTTACGCCAATACCCAACACAAAACAAATGCAGATAAAAAATTATGATATGTGCTGAGCCCAACCAATCCGAAAGAGGGAACAGAAAATGATTTTTGTTGAGAACTTTTGAAAAAATCATATCAAACTTGCTCACAAATTTAAAAGCAAAACTTGTGTAGCAAATCAAGACCCAGATAACGAGTGCTATCGACGTTATTCTGGAGGAGGCAATGTCCAAATTGAAAGATAACATATCAATTCAGATGGAAGCACAAACAGGAGCAACAGAATATCGGGCAACTTTGAAACGTTATCGGAGGCCGAACTTCTTGAAACACTCAACAGGAGAGCTAACTTGAGCACAATTGGAGTTGAGGAGAATGGAAATAGAACGGAATCAATGGAAGAAAGCATCGAAAAAGTCATGAACATGGCTAACACTCTGGAAGCTGGGATAGACGAGAGAGACATCTCAGTTGCTCATCGACTTCCGTCCAGAACAGCAAGCCTACAAATTCTAAAAATGATGAAAACGGACGAACATATCACTTCGGCTTGGACCAAAGAGGTAAACTTTCAATGAAAGGAAAGGTGACAATAAAGTATATCGCGTTAATGGGCTGCATGAAGGTGGAATATACATGGAATAGTCTTTTTCTGATGTGAATAAATGCTTTCAACGAGTTTTTAGAAACCAACAACCATCCGCAAAAACTTAAATTGCCGAAAAAAATTAAAGCAGTTGTATTAATTCTTTAAATTTGTTATCCAAAGTTCGATCTTAGCGTAAACATCATGAAAATTTCGAAGCACTTCTTAGTAATCTCAAGTCTTCGGTCAATATTATGTTTTACAGCAACTTAGCCAAATGAAACTGACGAAACTGATGTATAAACTGAAAGGATTCCATACGAAACTAGCAAAAAAATGAAATAACTAAAGGAGGAGGTACTATGACTCAATTAGATGATGAAGTTGTTTCATCAATTGAACTGAATTGCAATTTGCCAGAATCTATTTCAACACTTGAAGACATAAACGGATTAAAAATCATAATCTTAGTAGCTTGCATTCCTCGTTATGATAAAATCCAATTTCTTGAAGAGTTAGACAAAAAACTTGAAAAACTTTATCGACATAAAATACCGATTGCCCTGGCAGGGGATTTTAATATAAACACTCTCAAGTTCAACAATCTACAACAAGCTTATCTTGATACTGTAAATGAAAAAACAGGAAGAAATCCCAAGTTGTCTCGCATTGCAGCAAAATCTGTTGATGGTAGCAATGTGTCTGAATCATCCTCAATGTCAGACATTTAGTTAGCTAAGTCCATATATCAAGTAGAACCAATCTTTGGTATTGAAAACAATACTTAATCAATCTACCTTTTCAACTGGTCCTTCCAAGAGGGCATTAGTGTTATAACAAGCTTGAAGCCCAAACAAACTTCCGGAATCGATGAAATTAGCAATTTGCTGCTAATAAAAAGCTGTTACATTTTGGCTCCTTATTTAAACCTTTCTTTCAATTCTGGTGTATTTCTGCGAAATCTGAGCTTGGCAAAAACTTAACCTCTCCATAAAACTGATAGTCATTACGATAGTAACAATTACCACCGATATCTCTTAAACAGCTGTACCAAAAAGATCGGAAAAATTATGCATATCCGCTTGTACAAACATTTCAAAAAAATTCGATTTGGTCTATGATGGTCAGTGTGGATTCGGCGAAAAATATGGGACAATCGATGTACTAGCGGAATTATATGAGCGCATTTGTTTGGGGACTAACGGAAAAATCAACGCTAGTTTTTTTTGTTGATTTAAAGAAAGCATTTGACACTCTTCCACGAAAACTAGATTGTTTTGGATTCGTGGGAACTGTTATTAATGACTTAAAAGTTATTTTTCCAAAAGATATCATTGCGTTCAAGTCAATAATCTAACTTTTGACTGGTTGCCCAAAAAAACAGAGGTACCGCAGGGCGTCGTTCTTGGCCCTCTTCTTTTTCTTATTTACATCAATGACCTGCATCTCTCAGCCACTGATTCAAATGTCTTTCTTTTTGCTGATGATACAAATGTGGTATGTAAAAACTCGTGCTCTGATCTATTTCAAAAAGATTTAACGAATGTTTCCAAATGGTCATGTGCAAACAAATTAACACTCAACTCAGATAAAACAACCTCAATAACTTTTGATAACCATCGTGTAAATACTTGCGTCTTTTACTGGATAACAATTTGTCGTTAGAGTTTCATACGGGCTTAACCTAGGGCTTCATTGTGGCATTGTCTGAAAAAAACGCGTCATTATGTTCCAATGTGATTTCTATTAATGTCAAATTTGTTTTAAAAAAAATTGTAAGAAAAATTGCATACAGAACCAGAATTTAAAAAAACTAATATTTGTTCCCCTGTTTTGTAAAAATAAATCAAAATTGTGCTCTCAAACTGATAGACGTACAAAATTGCTGATTATAATGAGCAATAACAATCTGTTGCCTGGAAAATTGATGAAATGACCAATAACGAAGAAACAAATTGCGTTCACTATTTCAAAAAAAATTTATACTTGGAAATGAATTAGTACACTCCAATAATAATTAACCTTTTAGATATATTTTTGAACCATTGGCTTAATGCTATCAAACGAATATTTCAGGGTTGTGTTTCTTGTCCACAAAATGACCCTCCAAACCCTTCTTGTTATCGAGATATCGCCCTTTTTCTATTTTTTTTCGGGAAGTTTTTTTTATTTCCATATTAAAAATAAGTGTTGTTTCTGTACTTATATTTTTATGGGGAAATTTTTTCTTTCTTTCTTTCTAATTATGGAGAAACCAATTCTTTCATTCTTTCAAACAAAAAAAATTATCAGGACTTATATAAGTCTTTACTACATTCATCAACTCTTAAATGAATCACACTATTGAACAAAAAAATTCATACAAGTTGAGCTACATTACTAGCAGCTACATTGACAAGTTGACCCACATGTTTAAAGTAATTATAGAAAAAATCGGACAACTATTTAACAAAAAAAACAGGCAAAAAAAGCTTCAACTAAGCTGAAGTGTCGCAATTACAATTGAAAAATATAGATCGATGAGAAGACCGATCATCAATTCAGAATTTAAACCTATTTTTTTTCTATTTCTTGTGTACAAAGGGCAACTTAATTACGTGAAAACCTGTTAGAATAAAAGTTTTCTAGAATTCGCTGAGATAACGTTTAAAATGTTACAGAATTAAATGAGTTCAGCCTCTCACAAATTTTGCCTAATTCCTTTGGAAATAAAAACATTTAGACCTTGAGACAACTTGCTCTTCCAAACGCATGCAATATTTTTTGGAACATTGACTAAAAAAAACAGTAATCTTCTTGCTCAGCAAAATTCTCGACAATTGATACGTACTCAAAAAAGTCTCGAAAGCTATTACATTTTCTGGTCAAAAATGAACTCACCTTTTCTTCTGTAGAAGTTGATATTCGGACATTCCGATACATTTCCGAACTCAAAGTCTGCATTTTCCAATTTCCAGTCGCCTGAAATTCAAATAAATGAAAATCAATCACACATTTAACACTTTGATTACCTTACCAACTTTCTCGAGACAAGAGATTCATGTTTACTATTAAGAACAACTACTTTGCCTCCTTTGTACAAAAGAAGTCAAGGGAGGACCCATTTAACTAATGGGTTTGTCAGCTGTCGACTGAGGTTTCATTTACGATGCTATTGATACATAAAGTGATGTAATTATAATTTATAACGATGAGAAAAAAATCTTCTTAATCTCAACTTACCATTTCCGCGCGTATTTCTACCCAGTCCTCCTATTTGTATGTCCCGCTCGTGCGCTTCTGCCGAGAGAGCGTTGACCAGTTGGGGCGAGAAGCTGAGATTGGATACCACTTCTATTCTGAGGATGGCGTCATGTCTGGGCCAGTTGTTCTGTACTGGCTCCAAACAGCTCAGGGGAGAGTTTGAAAAGACTGTGTGCATGTAGATCAGAAACATAATGGCACAAACGGCCTAAAAAAACATGCTTTTCTCAAACGGCTTTGTTCTCTTTGCCTCCCTACTTGTTCGCTTCAAGGCTCTCATAAGATGAGGGTCTTTTCAATTTAACCCAAACCCCCCCCCCCCACTCACTTCGCCAGCCAAACACTTCTCAACTTGAATAAAATTTCACCAAGCAGTTCATTAATAATACATGATTCTGATTGGCCAAAAACTTTAGATTAGAACCAATTTTACATACTCTGAGTTTTTCCCATTTTAGCCCCAGCAAATTATAGCCTCATAGCAAAAAAAATGACAGTATTTATAATCACCAATTCGAACTAAACTGCCACACGTAGTAGAATTCACTAAACCCATTGTATCACCCTTTTTCTCTACAGACGACATTTGACCTTAATAACTTTGCGACCTGGTTCAGCCGTTAACCTGGAGTAGGGCGATTACAAACACAGGCACGCAACAGAGATTTATAATATGTTGTGATATCCCGATGTCGATAAAAAAGTCTTCGACCATGTACCACATACGTATAGATCACGGACGCCCCTTTTTATATTGGTACTAGTTTTAAGATGATAGTCCAACAAGCCGAAGGGTCAACAAACCAAAATGAATAATTCGATTCCAAATAACCAAAAAATAAACAAAAAAATTGCATGTAGTTCTTAAGCAGGGACACAACAGCGGTTCGCCGTGATGCGCTGTAAAGCTTGTATCTTGGTCCATTCCATCGTGGATAAATGGTCTTAAACAAGCCAGACATAAAAATTGTTAAGCAGCATAACGACAGATTGTCACTATGTTAAGCAATTGTGACGTGATTGTGACGAATTTGACGTTACTTTGATGTAATTTCGGCTGTTAACGTTATTCAAGATATGGCGGTATGTTGAAAATCCGCCAATTTAATATACTATAGACAATATCCGAACTTGATAAAGACGATGAACTCGAAGCAATAACCTTGATGAAGACGATGAACTCGAAGCATCGCCTGACTGCAGGGGGGAACACTTTGGCGTAAGTGTGGGACAGTTTGTGGAAGAGAGCGTAGAACAGTCTGTCTCTGATTCGGGAGAAATTCCTCATCGCTGCCGCTCTCCCCGGGATTCCAGTGTCTTCTATGCCTTCCGGCCGAAACATGCTGCACTCATGTTTTATCCATTCAACCCATCTGCAAAAGAGAGAACGATTTGCAACAATTTCCAGATAATTCTCAATTTAATTAATTTCCAGAGTTAAACGCTCCAGGAAAACAAATCGATACCTTTAACACAGAAGCGAAGCGGAGCTTCGCAACTTTTGCGAAACAGAAATATATGCCAGAACTACGGCGTTAAATTTTACTGTAACAACAGCACTATATTTCATATTTTTCAATCGAAGTTTTGCAAAAAGAGGTATGATCTAGACATTTTCTAAAACTGCCGTAGTACTGCATATATAATTCATTAAAACAATGTGAAAAAAATCATAAAATAACAAAGAAAATCGGCAAAAATTATTTGAACTCAATTACTTGCCCAAAGCAAACATTTAAATTATTTTACTTAAAAAAATTCAAGAAACTTAGGAAAATTCCATGCTGCATTAACTAAGCCGACATAAACCAGCAGACAAACAGAAATCTGACAACGATTTTTTGACGCGCGGTAATTGAACAAAACAGGTCGTGGTCGAATTGGAACCAATGAATTTGTATTTGTAGGCATGTGCGTAACGTCTACGCCACATGCGCGAATAAGCGCCTTGCTTTTGATTTTTTTATGAACTAAGCAATAAAAGGCTAGAAACATAGCCAAATAACAGTTGGAAAAGAGCAATGAATGCAAGGAAATTGAAAAAAAAAAACAGATGTTTTTATCAAGCGCTTTCAACTTTTGAATTTCGAAGAAAAAAATAGACGGCTTCAAAGCTCTTCGAATTTGTAGAACAATTTATGATGGACACTTTTTTGTTAAAATTAACCCAATTTGAGAAACTGGATCAATGCGTAAAACTTTTATTTCGATGGGAAATCTGATAACTAGTTTCCATTTTCGAAATAGGAAGTCGATCACGTTTTTCGTGACCTTTACACTTTTGCTGTTCGATAGAGTTTGCCTTCCTTTTAACAATGAAAATGCACTAAATTTGAAAAGAAATCACAAGACAAACCGCGAAAAATCAAAACTGAGCGTAAACAAGTTTAAGACTTTTTCGTGAAAAAAAATCAGCATGACCTATAAAAGAGTACTCACTACGTTCATTATTCTTAATAACTAGATAAGTATACTCTTTCACACCGAGGCGAAGCAACGCTTCGCAACACTAGCGATATAAAACTGAATGACTACTGGTAAAATTATTACGTCTCCGCCTCTCAATCGAAATGTCGCATGTTCGAGGCCCAACCATGCTCGTTGCTTGAGGGTGAGGTAACATTATTAGCCCAGAAAAATAACCAAAAAATACATGTAGATCTTAAACAGAGATTCAACAACGGTTCTCCGTTAAGAGCCGAATAGCTCGTATGTTAGTCCTTTCCCTTGCGGATAAACCGTCTTAAGAATAAAATACTAGGTTTACATATGTGCCGGGCACATAATAGTTGAGCGACAGTTCGGCGGAAACTGAGATGAAAGCCGCAGAAATTTTCCTACATTTGTCTTGATATTGGTCTTGAACTTCTTTCAAAAAATATGCCAACAACTAAAACAATCGAAGGTTAAAAAGCTTCCAAGCGAAACTTACACAGAGGCGAAGCTGTGCTTCGCTAAAGCTATCGAGAAGACGACAAAAAGCAGCTCTAGAAAGTGCAAAAAGAAAAAAGAGAAATAAGCATTGAATTAGTAACAATTCGGCAATGTCTCGGATTCTATCTTTGACCTTGAGATTATGTGTCTCAAGCAATAACCACTCGCCACGTACACAAATGAAGCAGAGAACAGACGCTATGAAATTTCCAATCCTGGAGATCGTGATAAAAAAGTGCCACCAAATAAGTGAACTTATAATGAACAATTTACTTGAGAGTTAGACTAAAAAAAGATTCCTACTAAGACACTAACGCTCGCCAGTATAACCAAGCGGTAACAAAGCCGACACTTCTGGAGCAGTCACCAGTTCCGCCGAAAAAATAATTTCATAAAAAACATTGCCCCCCTTAAAACATTTAGATAAAGAGTATATCTTACCCATTCAATCTCTCAACATGAGGCTAGATAGCCTCTCAACATGAGAAGAGAGTTAAGCCCGATATGGCCGAACAAAGAAAAAAAAACGAGAAAAAAAACTGAAATTGGAGTTGGTAAATTTACAACCAACTTACAAAACAAAGTTCGAGTAGAACGAGCATTTAAAAAGTTGGTATGCTCAAAATATTAGTCTTTTAATTGAGAAAAATAGCCTTGGAGATAATTAAAACTTCAGTCATCTAGTGCAGAATTGTTCATGGGTGAAAAAATTAAAACACCCGGTTGCAACACCCTTGCCAATCGCAAGGGTAAACAGATTGGGTAACTAGTGACCCCGGTGAATCAGGAGGAAAACTATTGATATATTTAAAGCAGAAGCTATACTGAGCTTCGAACCACTTGCGATACAAATATCAACATATGAATGACTATGATAAAAAACAAAAGAAAAAAAAACAATGAAATTTTTTTTTCCAAAAATAGTTTTTTTTTTTCAAAAAAAAATTACAAGAAATGCCCAAAATAACCGGAACAAAACTCCCGGCACCATTCGAAACTCTACAAAAAAGCTTTGGGAATACTATACAGAAGCCAAGTTTTCAAAAAAGTCCTGGGAAATTAAGCAGACAAAAATAAGCGAACAGACATTAATTTAAATTCGCCAAAATTTTTATGTACAAGAATAACAGGTGTCAACTGGAATCGAGCTACCGGGCTTTGTCTTCTAAAGCATAGGGGTTGCAGTAACTTGGAACACAGAGGCGAGCTGATCTTCGCGCCAATTACGACGATACAAAACAAATAAGCAGCTATTTCAAAAAAAAAAATTCGAAAAAAGTAGATCTAAAAACGAGGCTAAAAACGAGGCAGGAAAAAAAACGAGTCCAGACAATATAATGTGAAACTAGCATCCAAAGAAAAGGGGTAACAAAACCGGAAACACCTTAGCAGATACCCATTGGGCCAATTATTTTTTTGAACATCAAGTCCAACACACCCTCAAACAAACAATTAAACGAACAAAATAACAAACACACACAAATTTCAATCACGCGTCAATTGAAAAAATATGAGACCAATATGCGGATATAATTTTGGCCGAAACCTATTAAGCCGACAAAAAAAAGGAGAATAAAAACTCAGAGCCGGAAATTTTTTTATAAGACTAATAAGTTATTAAGTCCCCTCACACTCAAAACACAGACACGCGCACACAGACTTTTTGTCGCCTATCGAAAGGTGCAATATGCGGTCACTGAACCAATATTACATAGGCCAAAACTTATTCAGCCGAAAAAAAAAAATTTTGTCATGAAAAACTTGAAAACACGAAAAAAGACACAAACAAAAATTTAAAATGTAAACAGTTCGAGTTGGAAAAATCACAACCAAAATATAACGTAAATTGTGAAAAGGAAGGATATTTCAAATAACGTACTTAACCATGATTATTAATTCAGATGGAAGCACAAACAGGAGCAACAGAATATCGGGCAACTTTGAAACGTTATCGGAGGCCGAACTTCTTGAAACACTCAACAGGAGAGCTAACTTGAGCACAATTGGAGTTGAGGAGAATGGAAATAGAACGGAATCAATGGAAGAAAGCATCGAAAAAGTCATGAACATGGCTAACACTCTGGAAGCTGGGATAGACGAGAGAGACATCTCAGTTGCTCATCGACTTCCGTCCAGAACAGCAAGCCTACAAATTCTAAAAATGATGAAAACGGACGAACATATCACTTCGGCTTGGACCAAAGAGGTAAACTTTCAATGAAAGGAAAGGTGACAATAAAGTATATCGCGTTAATGGGCTGCATGAAGGTGGAATATACATGGAATAGTCTTTTTCTGATGTGAATAAATGCTTTCAACGAGTTTTTAGAAACCAACAACCATCCGCAAAAACTTAAATTGCCGAAAAAAATTAAAGCAGTTGTATTAATTCTTTAAATTTGTTATCCAAAGTTCGATCTTAGCGTAAACATCATGAAAATTTCGAAGCACTTCTTAGTAATCTCAAATCTTCGGTCAATATTATGTTTTACAGCAACTTAGCCAAATGAAACTGACGAAACTGATGTATAAACTGAAAGGATTCCATACGAAACTAGCAAAAAAATGAAATAACTAAAGGAGGAGGTACTATGACTCAATTAGATGATGAAGTTGTTTCATCAATTGAACTGAATTGCAATTTGCCAGAATCTATTTCAACACTTGAAGACATAAACGGATTAAAAATCATAATCTTAGTAGCTTGCATTCCTCGTTATGATAAAATCCGATTTCTTGAAGAGTTAGACAAAAAACTTGAAAAACTTTATCGACATAAAATACCGATTGCCCTGGCAGGGGATTTTAATATAAACACTCTCAAGTTCAACAATCTACAACAAGCTTATCTTGATACTGTAAATGAAAAAACAGGAAGAAATCCCAAGTTGTCTCGCATTGCAGCAAAATCTGTTGATGGTAGCAATGTGTCTGAATCATCCTCAATGTCAGACATTTAGTTAGCTAAGTCCATATATCAAGTAGAACCAATCTTTGGCATTGAAAACAATACTTAATCAATCTACCTTTTCAACTGGTCCTTCCAAGAGGGCATTAGTGTTATAACAAGCTTGAAGCCCAAACAAACTTCCGGAATCGATGAAATTAGCAATTTGCTGCTAATAAAAAGCTGTTACATTTTGGCTCCTTATTTAAACCTTTCTTTCAATTCTGGTGTATTTCTGCGAAATCTGAGCTTGGCAAAAACTTAACCTCTCCATAAAACTGATAGTCATTACGATAGTAACAATTACCACCGATATCTCTTAAACAGCTGTACCAAAAAGATCGGAAAAATTATGCATATCCGCTTGTACAAACATTTCAAAAAAATTCGATTTGGTCTATGATGGTCAGTGTGGATTCGGCGAAAAATATGGGACAATCGATGTACTAGCGGAATTATATGAGCGCATTTGTTTGGGGACTAACGGAAAAATCAACGCTAGTTTTTTTTGTTGATTTAAAGAAAGCATTTGACACTCTTCCACGAAAACTAGATTGTTTTGGATTCGTGGGAACTGTTATTAATGACTTAAAAGTTATTTTTCCAAAAGATATCATTGCGTTCAAGTCAATAATCTAACTTTTGACTGGTTGCCCAAAAAAACAGAGGTACCGCAGGGCGTCGTTCTTGGCCCTCTTCTTTTTCTTATTTACATCAATGACCTGCATCTCTCAGCCACTGATTCAAATGTCTTTCTTTTTGCTGATGATACAAATGTGGTATGTAAAAACTCGTGCTCTGATCTATTTCAAAAAGATTTAACGAATGTTTCCAAATGGTCATGTGCAAACAAATTAACACTCAACTCAGATAAAACAACCTCAATAACTTTTGATAACCATCGTGTAAATACTTGCGTCTTTTACTGGATAACAATTTGTCGTTAGAGTTTCATACGGGTTTAACCTAGGGCTTCATTGTGGCATTGTCTGAAAAAAACGCGTCATTATGTTCCAATGTGATTTCTATTAATGTCAAATTTGTTTTAAAAAAAATTGTAAGAAAAATTGCATACAGAACCAGAATTTAAAAAAACTAATATTTGTTCCCCTGTTTTGTAAAAATAAATCAAAATTGTGCTCTCAAACTGATAGACGTACAAAATTGCTGATTATAATGAGCAATAACAATCTGTTGCCTGGAAAATTGATGAAATGACCAATAACGAAGAAACAAATTGCGTTCACTATTTCAAAAAAAATTTATACTTGGAAATGAATTAGTACACTCCAATAATAATTAACCTTTTAGATATATTTTTGAACCATTGGCTTAATGCTATCAAACGAATATTTCAGGGTTGTGTTTCTTGTCCACAAAATGACCCTCCAAACCCTTCTTGTTATCGAGATATCGCCCTTTTTCTATTTTTTTTCGGGAAGTTTTTTTTATTTCCATATTAAAAATAAGTGTTGTTTCTGTACTTATATTTTTATGGGGAAATTTTTTCTTTCTTTCTTTCTAATTATGGAGAAACCAATTCTTTCATTCTTTCAAACAAAAAAAATTATCAGGACTTATATAAGTCTTTACTACATTCATCAACTCTTAAATGAATCACACTATTGAACAAAAAAATTCATACAAGTTGAGCTACATTACTAGCAGCTACATTGACAAGTTGACCCACATGTTTAAAGTAATTATAGAAAAAATCGGACAACTATTTAACAAAAAAAACAGGCAAAAAAAGCTTCAACTAAGCTGAAGTGTCGCAATTACAATTGAAAAATATAGATCGATGAGAAGACCGATCATCAATTCAGAATTTAAACCTATTTTTTTCTATTTCTTGTGTACAAAGGGCAACTTAATTACGTGAAAACCTGTTAGAATAAAAGTTTTCTAGAATTCGCTGAGATAACGTTTAAAATGTTACAGAATTAAATGAGTTCAGCCTCTCACAAATTTTGCCTAATTCCTTTGGAAATAAAAACATTTAGACCTTGAGACAACTTGCTCTTCCAAACGCATGCAATATTTTTTGGAACATTGACTAAAAAAACAGTAATCTTCTTGCTCAGCAAAATTCTCGACAATTGATATGTACTCAAAAAAGTCTCGAAAGCTATTACATTTTCTGGTCAAAAATGAACTCACCTTTTCTTCTGTAGAAGTTGATATTCGGACATTCCGATACATTTCCGAACTCAAAGTCTGCATTTTCCAATTTCCAGTCGCCTGAAATTCAAATAAATGAAAATCAATCACACATTTAACACTTTGATTACCTTACCAACTTTCTCGAGACAAGAGATTCATGTTTACTATTAAGAACAACTACTTTGCCTCCTTTGTACAAAAGAAGTCAAGGGAGGACCCATTTAACTAATGGGTTTGTCAGCTGTCGACTGAAGTTTCATTTACGATGCTATTGATACATAAAGTGATGTAATTATAATTTATAACGATGAGAAAAAAATCTTCTTAATCTCAACTTACCATTTCCGCGCGTATTTCTACCCAGTCCTCCTATTTGTATGTCCCGCTCGTGCGCTTCTGCCGAGAGAGCGTTGACCAGTTGGGGCGAGAAGCTGAGATTGGATACCACTTCTATTCTGAGGATGGCGTCATGTCTGGGCCAGTTGTTCTGTACTGGCTCCAAACAGCTCAGGGGAGAGTTTGAAAAGACTGTGTGCATGTAGATCAGAAACATAATGGCACAAACGGCCTTAAAAAACATGCTTTTCTCAAACGGCTTTGTTCTCTTTGCCTCGCTACTTGTTCGCTTCAAGGCTCTCATAAGATGAGGGTCTTTTCAATTTAACCCAAACCCTCCCCCCCCCCCCCCCCACTCACTTCGCCAGCCAAACACTTCTCAACTTGAATAAAATTTCACCAAGCAGTTCATTAATAATACATGATTCTGATTGGCCAAAAACTTTAGATTAGAACCAATTTTACATACTCTGAGTTTTTCCCATTTTAGCCCCAGCAAACTGCAAATTATAGCCTCATAGCAAAAAAAAAATGACAGTATTTATAATCACCAATTCGAACTAAACTGCCACACGTAGTAGAATTCACTAAACCCATTGTATCACCCTTTTTCTCTACAGACGACATTTGACCTTAATAACTTTGCGACCTGGTTCAGCCGTTAACCTGGAGTAGGGCGATTACAAACACAGGCACGCAACAGAGATTTATAATATGTTGTGATATCCCGATGTCGATAAAAAAGTCTTCGACCATGTACCACATACGTATAGATCACGGACGCCCCTTTTTATATTGGTACTAGTTTTAAGATGATAGTCCAACAAGCCGAAGGGTCAACAAACCAAAATGAATAATTCGATTCCAAATAACCAAAAAAATTGCATGTAGTTCTTAAGCAGGGACACAACAGCGGTTCGCCGTGATGCGCTGTAAAGCTTGTATCTTGGTCCATTCCATCGTGGATAAATGGTCTTAAACAAGCCAGACATAAAAATTGTTAAGCAGCATAACGACAGATTGTCACTATGTTAAGCAATTGTGACGTGATTGTGACGAATTTGACGTTACTTTGATGTAATTTCGGCTGTTAACGTTATTCAAGATATGGCGGTATGTTGAAAATCCGCCAATTTAACATACTATAGACAATATCCGAACTTCGTATCAAATAATCTTTTTCTGTCTGTGTTGTGTTTACGGACCTTGATGAAGACAATGAACTCGAAGCATCGCCTGACTGCAGGGGGGAACACTTTGGCGTAAGTGTGGGACAGTTTGTGGAAGAGAGCGTAGAACAGTCTGTCTCTGATTCGGGAGAAATTCCTCATCGCTGCCGCTCTCCCCGGGATTCCAGTGTCTTCTATGCCTTCCGGCCGAAACATGCTGCACTCATGTTTTATCCATTCAACCCATCTGCAAAAGAGAGAACGATTTGCAACAATTTCCAGATAATTCTCAATTTAATTAATTTCCAGAGTTAAACGCTCCAGGAAAACAAATCGATACCTTTAACACAGAAGCGAAGCGGAGCTTCGCAACTTTTGCGAAACAGAAATATATGCCAGAACTACGGCGTTAAATTTTACTGTAACAACAGCACTATATTTCATATTTTTCAATCGAAGTTTTGCAAAAAGAGGTATGATCTAGACATTTTCTAAAACTGCCGTAGTACTGCATATATAATTCATTAAAACAATGTGAAAAAAATCATAAAATAACAAAGAAAATCGGCAAAAATTATTTGAACTCAATTACTTGCCCAAAGCAAACATTTAAATTATTTTACTTAAAAAAATTCAAGAAACTTAGGAAAATTCCATGCTGCATTAACTAAGCCGACATAAACCAGCAGACAAACAGAAATCTGACAACGATTTTTTGACGCGCGGTAATTGAACAAAACAGGTCGTGGTCGAATTGGAACCAATGAATTTGTATTTGTAGGCATGTGCGTAACGTCTACGCCACATGCGCGAATAAGCGCCTTGCTTTTGATTTTTTTATGAACTAAGCAATAAAAGGCTAGAAACATAGCCAAATAACAGTTGGAAAAGAGCAATGAATGCAAGGAAATTGAAAAAAAAACAGATGTTTTTATCAAGCGCTTTCAACTTTTGAATTTCGAAGAAAAAAATAGACGGCTTCAAAGCTCTTCGAATTTGTAGAACAATTTATGATGGACACTTTTTTGTTAAAATTAACCCAATTTGAGAAACTGGATCAATGCGTAAAACTTTTATTTCGATGGGAAATCTGATAACTAGTTTCCATTTTCGAAATAGGAAGTCGATCACGTTTTTCGTGACCTTTACACTTTTGCTGTTCGATAGAGTTTGCCTTCCTTTTAACAATGAAAATGCACTAAATTTGAAAAGAAATCACAAGACAAACCGCGAAAAATCAAAACTGAGCGTAAACAAGTTTAAGACTTTTTCGTGAAAAAAAATCAGCATGACCTATAAAAGAGTACTCACTACGTTCATTATTCTTAATAACTAGATAAGTATACTCTTTCACACCGAGGCGAAGCAACGCTTCGCACCACTAGCGATATAAAACTGAATGACTACTGGTAAAATTATTACGTCTCCACCTCTCAATCGAAATGTCGCATGTTCGAGGCCCAACCATGCTCGTTGCTTGAGGGTGAGGTAACATTATTAGCCCAGAAAAATAACCAAAAAATTTATGTAGATCTTAAACAGAGATTCAACAACGGTTCTCCGTTAGGAGCCGAATAGCTCGTATGTTAGTCCTTTCCCTTGCGGATAAACCGTCTTAAGAATAAAATACTAGGTTTACATATGTGCCGGGCACATAATAGTTGAGCGACAGTTCGGCGGAAACTGAGATGAAAGCCGCAGAAATTTTCCTACATTTGTCTTGATATTGGTCTTGAACTTCTTTCAAAAAATATGCCAACAACTAAAACAATCGAAGGTTAAAAAGCTTCCAAGCGAAACTTACACAGAGGCGAAGCTGTGCTTCGCTAAAGCTATCGAGAAGACGACAAAAAGCAGCTCTAGAAAGTGCAAAAAGAAAAAAGAGAAATAAGCATTGAATTAGTAACAATTCGGCAATGTCTCGGATTCTATCTTTGACCTTGAGATTATGTGTCTCAAGCAATAACCACTCGCCACGTACACAAATGAAGCAGAGAACAGACGCTATGAAATTTCCAATCCTGGAGATCGTGATAAAAAAGTGCCACCAAATAAGTGAACTTATAATGAACAATTTACTTGAGAGTTAGACTAAAAAAAGATTCCTACTAAGACACTAACGCTCGCCAGTATAACCAAGCGGTAACAAAGCCGACACTTCTGGAGCAGTCACCAGTTCCGCCGAAAAAATAATTTCATAAAAAACATTGCCCCCCTTAAAACATTTAGATAAAGAGTATATCTTACCCATTCAATCTCTCAACATGAGGCTAGATAGCCTCTCAACATGAGAAGAGAGTTAAGCCCGATATGGCCGAACAAAGAAAAAAAAACGAGAAAAAAAACTGAAATTGGAGTTGGTAAATTTACAACCAACTTACAAAACAAAGTTCGAGTAGAACGAGCATTTAAAAAGTTGGTATGCTCAAAATATTAGTCTTTTAATTGAGAAAAATAGCCTTGGAGATAATTAAAACATCAGTCATCTAGTGCACAGAATTGTTCATGGGTGAAAAAATTAAAACACCCGGTTGCAACACCCTTGCCAATCGCAAGGGTAAACAGATTGGGTAACTAGTGACCCCGGTGAATCAGGAGGAAAACTATTGATATATTTAAAGCAGAAGCTATACTGAGCTTCGAACCACTTGCGATACAAATATCAACATATGAATGACTATGATAAAAAACAAAAGAAAAAAAAACAATGAAATTTTTTTTTCCAAAAATAGTTTTTTTTTCAAAAAAAAATTACAAGAAATGCCCAAAATAACCGGAACAAAACTCCCGGCACCATCCGAAACTCTACAAAAAAGCTTTGGGAATACTATACAGAAGCCAAGTTTTCAAAAAAGTCCTGGGAAATTAAGCAGACAAAAATAAGCGAACAGACATTAATTTAAATTCGCCAAAATTTTTATGTACAAGAATAACAGGTGTCAACTGGAATCGAGCTACCGGGCTTTGTCTTCTAAAGCATAGGGGTTGCAGTAACTTGGAACACAGAGGCGAAGCTGATCTTCGCGCCAATTACGACGATACAAAACAAATAAGCAGCTATTTCAAAAAAAAAAATTCGAAAAAAGTAGATCTAAAAACGAGGCTAAAAACGAGGCAGGAAAAAAAACGAGTCCAGACAATATAATGTGAAACTAGCATCCAAAGAAAAGGGGTAACAAAACCGGAAACACCTTAGCAGATACCCATTGGGCCAATTATTTTTTTGAACATCAAGTCCAACACACCCTCAAACAAACAATTAAACGAACAAAATAACAAACACACACAAATTTCAATCACGCGTCAATTGAAAAAATATGAGACCAATATGCGGATATAATATTGGCCGAAACCTATAAAGCCGACAAAAAAAAGGAGAATAAAAACTCAGAGCCGGAAATTTTTTATAAGACTAATAAGTTATTAAGTCCCCTCACACTCAAAACACAGACACGCGCACACAGACTTTTTGTCGCCTATCGAAAGGTGCAATATGCGGTCACTGAACCAATATTACATAGGCCAAAACTTATTCAGCCGAAAAAAAAAATTTTGTCATGAAAAACTTGAAAACACGAAAAAAGACACAAACAAAAATTTAAAATGTAAACAGTTCGAGTTGGAAAAATCACAACCAAAATATAACGTAAATTGTGAAAAGGAAGGATATTTCAAATAACGTACTTAACCATGATTAAATTTTGTAAATGAGATTAGGAGAGGAGTAGGTGTTGAGGAGTAAGAGGGCGAAAAAATTAAGCAGTCCAGAAAAGAGCCCTGTGGACAAAGTTGTTAACGGAAAAAAAGTCTAGAACCCGATTGCAAAACCCTTCTTTATCGCAAAGATAAAAACGCTGAACTATCACTATCGAGCTACAGGAACCAATCCGACAAAAATAAATAGACGGACGACAGTCCGAAACAGAACAACTCTAGTTTGCAAAGAAGGGCCAGGCAGGATTCGAACCGCAAGCCTTTGCTATTTCAAGCAGTTGTTTAATTTCAAGCAGTTGTTTAATCTCTACGCCAGATGCACCGGATGGGTGATCGTATTTGAGTTTATAACACAGAGGCGAAGTGACACTATGCATACACAAGCAAAAACATGACCGATAACGCTACTGGGAAAAACTGAATGAGTAAAAGTTTGAGTCTACAAAATTTCCTAAGTGACGCAAGCCAACTATGAGTCTACATAATTGCTAAGTGACGCAAGCCAATTAGCAGTACCAGTCAATTTGAAAAAGAAAAAGAAATTTGCCAACTAACATGCCTCAATTTATAGAGCGGACACATTTAACTAGTATACGAAAAAGTTCTTTAAAAACAACCCACCCTGCCCAGATTCGAACCCTCTTAATTTTTTGTGGGTCACCTAACCTACCTCTAAGCTACAGATCCATGGTACCTTGAAGCTAACGTGCTATTTGTAATTTAATAGACTGCTAATATCCTTAGCAATGGCTGTACTTGATAGCTGGTTATTGATCAAAATGAACACTTTCTCAATTAACACTAAAATTTGCGACTTAGGTTGGAAAAAAGAGAGTTCCTACTTTCACACAAGCTTTGCTTGTGTAATAAACAAGCGATAACAAAGCCGAAAAAACCTAAGCAGAAACTCTTCATGCCGAAACGAAAAAAAATTCTTAACTTATAAAAAAAAATGTTAAGTCCCTTTTCCCCTTAGAGCACACACACGCACAAAACAAAACATTTTTTGATCGTAACGACGCAAAAACAGGCCACTCAGGATACTATGAACACTATTAATACTATGAACACTATTAAATACCGAAAACTATTTAAGCCGATAAAAATTTAAAGAAGGTGAAAATTTAACTAACCGAACTGATGAAATTACAACCAATGTGAAAAGCTAATTCCGATTCGGCCGGATTTTTAAAATGCGTAAAACAACTGCAGTGAAAATTGTTATTATCTAAAAAAAAACGATTCTTAGATGTGGCAACTAAGTCGACAAAACATCAGCAGACAAATAATAGACCAAAAATTTTTTGAACCGAAATATTTAGCGTTTGAAAAACAATGGTCCTGGTCAGATCCGACCCAAGGACTTTTGCCGTCCCAGGCTAACCATTATCACCCGGCTAAGTTTGCAGGAGACACTACAGAATTTCAATTCATCATGAACCATGGTACCACACCAGGAGTCCAATGAGCCCTGTGGACAAAATTGTTTAAAGGAAAAAAAAGTCTAGTGCCAGATCGCAATACCCTTGTTTATCGCAAGGGTAAACATTACATAGATATTCAGTAATTAATGCGTCATTATCAAACGTCAATTAATTCATAAATAGCTCAACTCAAAAGTACATGACTGATTCACTGTTCTGTAAAAACTTTTTTTCTACACTAAATAAACCGAAAGCAAAATTTTTTTTCTACACTAAATAATGCCTAGCCGTTTATGCAAGGAAAATGATCATAACAATTTCTCATGATTGAACCATTGGCCTCAGTATTGGCAGGAGTTTTCGCGAAGCACAAAATTTCCAAAAACAGTCGAAAAACTTACCAATTGATTTTCCCGAAAGCTAAAACTTTTTTTCCTTTCGAAATCACGGCGTACCAGTTTATAAGGAAGGATATTTAAGCAGTCCAGAAAAGAGCCCTGTGGACAAAGTTAATAACGGGAAAAAAAGTCTAGAACCCGATTGCAAAACCCTTCTTTATCGCAAAGATAAAAACGCTGAACTATCACTATCGAGCTACAGGAACCAATCCGACAAAAATAAACAGACGGACGCGTCAATTTTAATCACGCGTCAATTGAAAAAATATGAGACCAATATGCGGATATAATATTGGCCGAAACCTATTAAGCCGACAAAAAAAGGAGAATAAAAACTCAGAGCCGGAAAATTTTTTTAAAGACTAATAAGTTATTAAGTCCCCTCGCACTCAAAACACAGACACGCGCACACAGACTTTTTGTCGCCCATCAAAAGGTGCAATATGCGGTCACTGAACCAATATTACATAGGCCACAACTTATCCAGCCGAAAAAAAAAATTTGTCATGAAAAACTTGAAAACACGAAAAAAGACACAAACAAAAATTTAAAATGTTAACAATTCGAGTTGGAAAAATCACAACCAAAATATAACGTAAATTGTAAAAAGGAAGGATATTTCAAATAACGTACTTAACCATGATTAAATTTTGTAAATGAGATTAGGAGAGGAGTCGGAGTTGAGGAGTAAGAGGGCGAAAAAATTAAGCAGTCCAGAAAAGAGCCCTGTGGACAAAGTTGTTAACGGAAAAAAGTCTAGAACCCGATTGCAAAACTCTTCTTTATCGCATAGATAAAAACGCTGAACTATCACTATCGAGCTACAGGAACCAATCCGACAAAAATAAACAGACGGACGACAGTCCGAGAAAGAACAACTCTAGTTTGCAAAGAAGGGCCAGGCAGGATTCGAACCGCAAGCCTTTGCTATTTCAAGCAGTTGTTTAATTTCAAGCAGTTGTTTAATCTCTACGCCAGATGCACCGGATGGGTGATCGGATTTGAGTTTATAACACAGGCGAAGTGACACTATGCATACACAAGCAAAAACATGACCGATAACGCTACTGGGAAAAACTGAATGAGTAAAAGTTTGAGTCTACAAAATTTCCTAAGTGACACAAGCCAACTATGAGTCTACATAATTGCTAAGTGACGCAAGCCAATTAGCAGTACCAGTCAATTTGAAAAAGAAAAAGAAATTTGCCAACTAACATGCCTCAATTTATAGAGCGGACACATTTAACTAGTATACGAAAAAGTTCTTTAAAAACAACCCACCCTGCCCAGATTCGAACCCTCTTAAATTTTTGTGGGTCACCTAACCTACCTCTAAGCTACAGATCCATGGTACCTTGAAGCTAACGTGCTATTTGTAATTTAATAGATTGCTAATATCCTTAGCAATGGCTGTACTTGATAGCTGGTTATTGATCAAAATGAACACTTTCTCAATTAACACTAAAATTTGCGACTTAGGTTGGAAAAAAAAAGAGTTCCTACTTTCACACAAGCTTTGCTTGTGTAATAAACAAGCGATAACAAAGCCGAAAAAACCTAAGCAGAAACCCTTCATGCCGAAACGGAAAAAAATTCTTAACTTATAAAAAAAATGTTAAGTCCGTTTTCCCCTTAGAGCACACACACACGCACAAAACAAAACATTTTTTGATCGTAACGACGCAAAAACAGGCCGCTCAGGATACTTATGAACACTATTAATACTATGAACACTATTAAATACCGAAAAATATTTAAGCCGATAAAAATTTAAAGAAGGTGAAAATTTAACTAACCGAACTGATGAAATTACAACCAATGTGAAAAGCTAATTCCGATTCGGCCGGATTTTTAAAATGCGTAAAAAAACTGCAGTGAAAATTGTTATTATCTAAAAAAAAGAACGATTCTTAGATGTGGCAACTAAGTCGACAAAACATGAGCAGACAAATAATAGACCATAAATTTTTTGAACCGAAATATTTACCGTTTGAAAAACACTGGTCCTGGTCAGATCCGACCCAAGGACTTTTGCCGTCCCAGGCTAACCGTTATCACCCGGCTAAGTTTGCAGGAGACACTACAGAATTTCAATTCATCATGAACCATGGTACCACACCAGGAGTCCAATTAGTCCTGTGGACAAAATTGTTTAAAGGAAAAAAGTCTAGTGCCAGATCGCAATACCCTTGTTTATCGCAAGGGTAAACATTACATAGATATTCAGCAATTAATGCGTCATTATCAAACGTCAATTATTTCATAAATAGCTCAACTCAAAAGTACATGACTGATTCACTGTTCTGTAAAAACTTTTTTTCTACACTAATTAAACCGAAAGCAAAATTTTTCTTCTACACTAAATCATGCCTAGCCGTTTATGCAAGGAAAATGATCATAACAATTTCTCATGATTGAACCATTGGCCTCAGTATTGGCAGGAGTTTTCGCGAAGCACAAAATTTCCAAAAACAGTCGAAAAACTTACTAATTGATTTTCCCGAAAGCTAAAACTTTTTTCCTTTCGAAATCACGGCGTACCAGTTTATACAGCGAAAAAGCCCAAAACCTAATATTTCGATTACGCAATTTATCTGAGAATTGGCAAGGCAGTTTTCGAGAAGGTTTTTGAAAATTAAAAGTAAAGTGGACTTGCAAACTGTTATTTAGATAAAAACCTTAATCTCAGATAGAATTGGCAGTGTAGTTTTCAAGTCATTCCAAAAAACCGTCAAAAGAAAAAAAGACTTATTCGAAGGCCATAATGTTTTTTGAGCAAAAAAAGGACGGCCACTTATGCGGGAAGATATTCGACCTTTTTATCTCTCGATAGAAACCTGAATACCAGATTTTTGAGAACTGTCAGAAAGTTTCACAAAAACGAACAAATGTGACAAAAAATTTTGAGGCAATAACTTCTATCTACAAAAAAGGGTTTATATACTTATGCAAAAGGGATCCCCGAAACATGTTAGTAAAACAATTAAAACAAAAAAATCAAGTCTAGTACCTGGTCAACGCAAAAGTATTAGCCAACAAACAGATGGAAAAGAGCCAATAAACACAAGCAAACAGGAAAAAAAACACGCTGGCAGGCCTCCTTGAGTTGTCGGATGACCTATCAAAAAATCCTCCGTTAAATTCTTAGTTAAATATCTAGACGCGAAACGGAGCGTAAAAACTTTGAAAAAAAACATTTCGAAGTAGCGCCTACGATCCTGATTTAGGGTTTCATGATTCCACAACTGCGCCATATCAGCTTCCTCATTTCCAATAAAACGGACGGCCATCAAGACAGCGGATACATGTGCTAATAAATTGTCAAATACAATTAGAGCAGTTAACAGATGCTGCTGCAACTGAGGACTAATTTGTTGATTACAATTTTATGTGATTTAGGTTTGAAAACGTGAACTCGTAATATAACACATGCTTTTGCTTATGTGCGGATGTATATGATTTCAAAAAAATGAACATTTTTTTTTGAACTCATGCTCACAGAAACCCAGCGTCCTCTAAATTAGAAAATAAACAACTGAACAATTTCTTGAGCTTATCAGCTCACGTTACTTATCATAATTTTTTTGAACGTGCCAAAATAATTGAAAAGAAAAATTTAATTAGTTTCAGCTATCAAAAATATAATGAGGTGCCAGCACCAATTCAAATTACACAATTTGACGATCGTAATGGCTTTCTGGCATTGAATTAACGTTCAATTGAAAACATAAATACTCTTTAAACTAAGTCGGTACTAGTATAACGTAAAAATTATTGCATATATTCCTTTAACTTTATGAATTAATTTTATTTAAAACAACTGATTGGATGCATAGAGTCTGAAACATGGACCGAATTTGAGCACATATTTTTTATCTTTAACCTCAAAATCGACATAATGCATCTAATCTGCTGCATAAAGATTTTTTTTCAACTAATCTATAAAAACATATATTCGCAACATCTTTGCTCTAAATTTAATCAAACGAGAGGAAATCCAACAGTTAAGAAAAAGATAGTTGTTTTAGATTAAATAAAAAAGCACAAAAATAAGTTCTACTGCATCAAAATTGGCAACGGATAATTGCGATGAACAAGAATATTAACACTGCTTTTTTTATAGAATTGCGATAAATGCTAAATCTAGCACAACAAACATCAATGTTCAAACAAATGTACAATTCATTGAAAAAACCGATTTTACAAATCATGGAATTATTGAATCTCAAAAATGAGTGAGCGCAATGCGCTTTGTCGTAACATGCCTAAAGCGCACCACGCAATAGAAAGGGTAAAAACAACCAATGACGTTTTGTTATTACGAATGTTATATCATTAGAGACATGAAGTAATTCACTAAGAAACCTGTCCTATTTTGAGAAGCCTTCTTCTTTTGCTGGTCTTAGAGAAATTGACACCAGTGAATTTCGTTTGCGATTTGGTTGGTTTTGTGCACGAGAGAATATATTTAGTACAGGGTTTTGATCGAAATGTTGGTAGCACGTTTGAAATGAGGAGTGCGGAATTAGGGCAGACAGTCATACTTGTCTCGACAAATAAAGATGTTTCGTTTGCTGACCAGTTGAACTGGCTGAAAATAGTTCAGATTAAAGCCAGAAACCAATAATTTATCAATGCAAATACACACACAATTTTATAGAAATCCTAGTAATACTGAACTTTCTGTCGTTTGTCGAGCCAAGTATGATTGCCTTTCAAATAGCGCCAAAAGTAGCGTCACAGCATAATAAGTACCTTTGAGCGAGGTCCTGTTCAATGACTACATCAGAATTTAAGTGTTCAGACTTGAACTTAGACCTATCGTCACCTTTGACCTGACCCAACGTGACCTTTGACCTGGGTGGTCTATGCCCATATGCGGAGTGTGCCATCCCAGGATGCCGTGCAGAGTGCATAGCCGTCGTCTGTCACTCCTAGACTGCTCACTCGAGAGGTGTGGACCCGAGAAGCCGGACTGAAGTCTACAAAACACAACGACATTTGCAACTATTTAGAAACTTTACCTCTTTAATATTTTAGGAAATTCAGCAGACATTTTGGGTCTTTTCTGTTATAAAGCCCAAATTATCAAATTCTTAATTGATTAAGGGGAGCGGCGGTGAAGTGGTTACGTCTCCGCCTCTCAATTGAAAGGTCGGATGTTCGAGGCCCACCATAATCCGTGCTCGTTGCTTGAGGGTTAGACAACTTCACCCAGCCCAGAAAAATAACCAAACAAATTGCATGTAGTTCTTAAGCCGAGGCACAACAGCGGTTCGCCGTGATGAGAATTCTTTTCGCTGATATTAATTTCAAACAATCAGATTCTATCACCATGACCAAACTTTCAAGATGGCAAAAAGAATACTTTTTTGGCCGTATAACCAAAAAAACCGACATTTTTTCTTTATGCTGGCACAATTTATACGTTTAAGTTGAATGGATATGGTAATTTTCGTTTTGTTATCTTAGGGAAATTTAACCAAACAAGGCTCTTTGGGAAATTTAACCAAAGAAATTAAGAAAGTTTCCGGTAAAATCTACAAAAATCTGCCCCTATATATAACTCTGATCGGCCTAATACATGTTTATTGACCGAGTTCTAAGACTATTTCACTTTGAGAAAATATTTCTTTTTCACGGAATAGACTATTAAAAAAACTATCACTATTTTTAGCAAAGAAAAGAAGCAGTATTTCTCTGAGTAGAAACTACCTCCATATTCGAAGACGAAATAATTTCACTTCTCAGACAGTGCTAACAATCTAAATCTATTTTTTGGGATGCGTTCATTAAGCTGACGTATCCGGAACTTTACCAGATCAATAAATCGAATTACGTAATTTTTATTCAAATTGCTTTTTCAAAGATTTAAAGAATTGATCTTTCATAAGCTAAAATGAAGATTAAATGTTGCACGGTTCATGAAAACAGTTAAGGTATTTCAAATTTTGTTGTATTGCAAAAAAAATATGACTCCCTGTACAAATCTGAGACTTCATGTGATTAGGTAATTGAATGATGCAATAATTGTTCACTTTCGGTTTACTGATCTGGTCCGCCTGTTGTCGGTTCGCGTACACACCGATTTACTGACTACCACCCATTTTAACGACAACCATTATTTCTCCAACTGAACTAAAAATCTAGCTCTATTTTGAACGAACAAAGAATATAATTCCGTAATTACTGCTTGTCTAGACTTTCCTGCAATGCTTTTCTCAAAAAAAAATTGTGAAAAACTACGGCTCTTTGTTAATTACCCCCCTCCTTATATTGCAAAAGGGGGTAAACTCGTTACAAGGTGCAAAATTTGTATATACTTCACTGTTCGATTCTTCCTTAATAGGTGGCCCATTCCTTATAAGGTACCATAGGGGGACTGTTAACAAGATCCCATCCATGTACTCACTTATATGTGTGGAATGATTAATGATGTCGATTGCTGCGAGGTATGGGCTGGATGAGTAGCCGACAAAGACCAATCGGCCACTTTTGGAGAACGCGAGACTGCACGCGGAATTGCCTGCCCCTGTCTCGTCGCTCTTGCTGATCTGGGCGTTGCTACGGATGTCGAAGAGGGAGACAGAGGAGTCCTCGCTGGCAGTGGCGAACGCGTACCCATTCGGAAAGTACTGCAGCACATCACAAACAACACAAAATTATGACAACTTCTCTTTTTTCACAAGAAATTCACGACAGCTAAGAACAAAGACCCTTTCCCATAAAAGTACCCCCAAAAATTTGCAAAATCCCAGTTATTTAAGATATCACAGATTTCATACAGAGCCGAAGCAGAGCTTCGCACCACAGGCGATAGAAGTATGAATGACTCTCACTACTTCCAAATGAACCGACAAATCAAAAAAATTATGAAAAATTGCAAAAAAAGTCCCGAAATCTTGGAACTGAATTACCTGCCCCCTTAGAAAATTACTACAGATAGGCAAAGAGAAGTATCGCACTAGTTGTGATAAAACCGACTATAGCATGACAAACTATCCGAGAAAAAAAGAGGTGTCAGCCGTAGAAAAAAAATACCAAAAGATTGATCTAATCAAAATTTTCCTGCATTTGTCTTGATCATGCCGAAATTTGCTAAATATTGCTAAAAATTCTTGCCATGATATATGCCAAAAATCAAGATGATTGAATTTCAGCTAGGCATCGAAATAATATTGCTAAAAATTCTTGCCATGATATATGCCAAAAATCAAGATGATTGAATTTCAGCTAGGCATCCAAATAAAACGTATAAAGCGGTTACAAAGATGACAATTCTTCAGCAGGCACAAGTTGCGACAAAATAAAGTTTAAAAAAACTTAAGTTCAAAAAGTTTCGAAGCCCCCCTCTCAAACTAAGATATTTTTTTGCTCCTCAAACGACTCAAAAAGTCGATAACCCCTAAAGCCGAATAATGAAAAAAAAAAGGATGAAACAAACGAAAAAAAAAACGGATTTACTGAAATCGGAGTTGGTAACTTTATAACGAAGATTTTTTAAAAATTTCGATGTTCATTGATGAAAGTAGAGATGTGATGACCACAAATTCATTCATGCTGTGAACAAAATTATTTACGGGTGTGATAAGGTAAGGTATTGAATAACTCAGATTGAAAACAAAACTGTTCAGAGAATTAATTTAATCTTTGACTTTTAATTTTCTCTTCTTTGGTTCCATGAACCAGCTCAAAACACCGTATCGTTTGTACGCTGAGCTAAAGATAAATAATACGAAGCCAAACGATGGTCTACATCCAATGACCTTGATAATATGTTAATAACAATATAACTGCATAATTATACATAACAATATAGGTCCCAAGGTCAGTGAGCAAAGAGAACAACAATTACTACTGCACTTGCAGTAAGTGCCGTACCACAACGAGAAAAAAGCCCAGTACCCGATTGCAATATCTTTGCTTATTGCAAGGGTAAACGGTGAAAAATCAAAGACAAGTGGTAAACAAGCTCTCAAGTGTAAAAAAATCATCAACACCTAAATAAGTATCTTCAATAAGTTCATGGACATTTAGCAAGCATAAGCAAAATAGGCCAAAAATTTATTTGTGGAAACCAGTTGCCAAAAAATAGCTCCTGGCTGGACTCAAAACTATGTCCCTTTGGTTTGCCAATCGTTAGCGTGATACCACTGTGCCCATTGCGCAGAAAAGTCACTGAATGTAAATTGACTATATACCAAACTACTAAACGATTCGCTGATTCTAGTAGACTAGTTGTTAATCTGCAAGCGTAAAAATTAGCGTTATCAATTAACAAGTACATTCAGCAGCATCGCGGCAAGAGAACAAGTATCGAATACCGATTTAGCGACTTTTTCATCAGCGATCAGACCTGACTGCAATATAGGGTAATTTGAGCTGACACTTACGGCTACATCGTTGATATCCTGTTTGGGACTCTCGAGGTCTGTGAACATGCGGACAGTCTGTCCTAGTCTGAGGTCCCACAACCGGGGCACACAGTCACCTCCCCCAGTGACAAAGAGACGGAAGTCGGGCGAGAAGGCGAACGAGGACACGTCGCTCTTGTGGCCCACAAACTCCGTCTTCGGCGTCTGGTCTATCAGGTCCCACAGGATACTAAACACATCAAACATATGTACTAGTTGAAAACAATTTAGCTCAGAACGGGAGCCCGTGGTTCATTTCAGAACTCAAACAAGAATATAAGCAGGCAACTAGCTCGTAGGAAAATAACTTTTAGTTAAGCTTACATTGAGCCTGTTTGAATTTAATGTTCAAAATACGTGCAACCAATGGAAGCTGCTTAGATGCGGTAAAACATGAGTTAGTGCCTCTGACTCACCACTTCCCGTCTCCAGAAGATGACAATAGTTCGTAGTCACTGTTCACGAATCTGGCTCGCGATATGAATGCTGAAAACAGACAATATTATACAATAGAATCATCCTCAGACATGAGAAGCCCAATTACTTCGTCGATTGTTTTAATTACGTGATTAGTGGATGCAGAGGAGATAAGAGGCTCTTTTTCTCTCCCCCTCCCAACATTTCAAATAATCCATTTTTTAAAAATGGTCTTACGTATTGTATTATTATGGCTGAATGCGTGATGTTACGAAGTAAGGTACGAACAAATGTGTTCACAGTAGCTAGTTTGTTCACCGCGCAAAATTTCATTACATTATTACCACGTACAATTAGTTTTACAAAACTGGAATTCAAATGTGGGGGTGGGGGAGTGGGAGCCGATTAGTCTACCAAAGTCGGCAAAGATGTGAATTTTTATAGATAACTTTTTCTGATGGTAATTTTTGAAGCATCAGCTACACGTCCAATAGAAATATTATGGGAAAACAATCATTTTTATGGACTATTTCAAATAATGTCATCGTAGAAGATAGCTCAAAGAGTTGTATGCTCCACGCTCTAATATTTAGGTAATAATTTCTGTAACAATCGGACAGCGTGAACTAGAGTTTTACACGAGTATACACTGACCTGAGTGACCGCAGGGGGAGTATACTGAGAGAGACTTGTGAGGAGTCTTAGCTTGATCCTTGTCTGTGAGGTCGGAGAATCTGGTCTCCAAGTTGTAGATGGACACTGTGTTGTCCAGACCCCCACTCGCCACCATCCGATTCGACTGGGAGTACGTGCATGTCATCACCCAGTCACACCGCAGTGCTATCGCGTGTTCCTGCAAACACACATCACAGTCACAATCATTACGACTACATTGTCTTTGGCCGCTGTAACTATCACCGCATCAATGTCCGTTTATTTAAACACGGGGGCACGCGTTTGACTGCCACATTTTTTTGCGCCAAAGGCGCTTTTAGATAAAAGATTTAGGGTCTGTCAGCCAAAAATGGATCTCTCAAAATAGTGTAAAGGGGACGTTTTAGGTCAGCAGGGGGGTCAAATCCCCCCCCCCCCCCCCTAAAGGACATTCAAATGCGAAAAAGGATCTTATTAACTACCCCCTTCCCCTTCTATTGCAATACGAGGGGGAAGGGGGAGACAATTCGTTACAAGGTTTAAAATTCGTATTGCTTAACTGTACAATTCTTTCTTTATAGGGGGCGAATTCTCTAAAGGTGCCATAGGGGGGGGGGGCGGAATAGTTAACAAAATCAAAGAACAAAGATTCTTACTTTGTTGGAGGTGTGCCCATCCCACACAATTAGTCTGCCATCTTGAGCCGCACTCACCAGCCTCCTGAAAAACACCGCCCAACATTCCAATAGATACATGTCTTGTCTTTTTAAATTCTAACGTCAAATCTTTCGGGGTCAAGCTGACTCCAGGCCACAATTAGAGGGTTTTGAATTGGTAAATTTCAACTCGTAAGCAGCAAGATTTTGGACACAGCAACAATTCGCAAAAATTCTTTAAAAAAATAAACAGCTTGTTCATCCAATAAGCATTTTATATCGTATCGTTTCTCAAACCAGTGCCTGGTAGTTTGTTTCGTCTTCAACAGTTGACTTATTCCTGAATTTCATTTCCTATGCTCCAAGTAAATTTCTAGTGATTATCGCAAAAATGATATATAAGTGAAACATAAGTCGAAGTATAAGCCGGCTATCATATAAGCCAACTTAAAATACGTGACGGTTACATAATAAATATGCAACAATTATGTAATTTATAAAGGCCATGCAAGCTACATTCAAATGTAACTTTCGTCTGATTTATTCACACTTGTTGTATGCGTTACCTGCAGTCAGATGCCCAGTGCATACTGTAGACCTTTGCAATGTGTCCTTTCAAAGTAGCCGCATGTTTGATCCTCGACCTCGGTTTCAGTCTGCAGGAGGAGTTCAGAGCCACCACTGAGTAGTGTCTGTTCGATGGCCCACTTCCTCCTGTCGTCCCTCCCCCTTGCAGCACTGAGTGGGGGGACAGGGTGGATCCACTGGCGGCGCCTCTCCCACTGGCACCCGCTTTGCCCCCCTCCCACGAGACCCCGTTTGTGTTCACATTTTGAGAGTAGTTTTGCTGACTCAACTTCTGCACACCATTTTGTTCCTTCTCGTCCTATGAGTAAAAAACTCTCAAACATCCACATTTAACTTTTTTGAATATCATGAATATCTGTTTTTTTTTTGTTTGAATGAGTTTTGTTTGTTAAATAGGAAGAAAGACATAAATATATTATTCTAAAAAAAACAACGAGAACATATAATTCATTCTGAGCTTTTGAAGTTGCAGTTCAGCAATGAATTCATCAGAACTCATTAAATTTAGAAAATATTTCGAGATATTCACAAGTAAGGAATATCAAACCGTAAAAAGACAAAGTATGGATATACTTAAAAATAATAACATTACGAGAAATAAAGAACCGAATATTTTCCAGTTTATTTCGCATCGGATATTTTCCCACTTTATTTTACATTGGCAAGATTCTCAATTGTTACAGTTTTAAAAATCCAACTCACTTTGAACTTCTTCAGAAGCGTTCTCGCTTCGTCCTGTAGAGCCAGTTTCAGTGAGCGCATTCGAACCAACTCTGAAACCAATCGAATCAGGTTTAAAATTCAAAATAGCAAGCAGAAGGACTAGAACTAATAAAGCAGAGGACGAAAATTTGAACATTCTCGTTCCTAGACAGATTTTGATCCGACGGTTTAAAAACATCTGAAATGTTTAAACAACACAACAGGTTTAAGCAACACCGGTTACTGTTTAGGTAACCCCGAATGTTCCAATCGCTTTCCGTCTTCTATCAAAACAAGTGGAAATTTCATTTGAATTATTGACATTTCATTTATCAATAAACCGAAAATTTTTTTGTTCGCTTGAACTTCCCAGAAATTTTCTTTGCAGTTAAGATAGCTAGTATCGGATCAACAAAGGGATTTGGGAAAGGGAAAGAAGCTGTGATACCCATAACTCTAAAATTTATAACTAAAAACCTCTTATCAAAGCTATTTCGAGTCTTTCATTTTTTTTTCAAATATCGGTGGAAATAAAAAATTAATCACTAGATATGATGCAAGTAAAACATAGTCAACAGCAGACAGTTGGAAAAATGTCAAAAAAACTCAACAAAAAACGAAAAAAAAAACAGATGATTGTTTTTGAAGCACTTTCAAAAAGAAAACAAAAAGCGGTTTCACTTTAAACTTGATGAATTTTTATGCTTGAGACTATTTTGACAAAATTAATCCAATTTGAGAAAACTTAATTAACTGGCAAAACTTTTTTAAATTCTCTGAGAAATTTATTTTGTAAACTTGAAGTCATTCACTTTTCTTCGCAAAAATTGATTTCCCGATGTTGAAGAGCCTAACTTTCATCCTTTTAGCAAATGCTTTTGAAGAGAATTGAAAAAAAAATCATAAGATTGAATGAAAAAAATACAATTAAGTGTGAACAAATTATAAAAAAACTTTAATGAAAAGAAAACCAAAAGACCTAACGACAAAACGAAACCACAAACACGGTTGTACTACTCTTGCTAATGGGGACTGTAGGAACACATCAAAAACATAAATCGAACACAGAGGCGAAGCTGCGCTTCGCAAACACTCGGAAGAACGCGACAAAAAAGCAGCTTCTATAAAGTGAAATAAAAATAGAAAGAAGCATCGAATTATTAAAACTATGCTAGGTTCCGGATTAAAACCTAAGACCTTGCGATTTCGAGTCTCATGCCCTACCCTCTCGGCCACGAAAACGCCCATCAATCGGCAAACACTAGTCACAAATGAAGCAGCTACAAATTGCCAATGCGATGCAGCGTAGTGGCACCAGTTACAGTTAGAAACAATTTCGCAAATGATAATTTGGAATATAACAAACTGAAGGCCTTTTCACTAACTTTGCACACAATCAATTGGAAAACATAAGACATAGCCAACTGACAGTTGGCAAAAAGTAATGAACGCAAGGAAACAAAAAAAAACTTATTTTTCAATTTCGAAGAAAATAGACGGCCTTAAAGCTCTTTGAATTTGAAGAATAGTTTATGATGGACACTTTTTTGTTAAAATGAAACCCAATTTGAGCCAACTGGATCAATACGAAAAACTTTCATTTTGCTGGGAAATCCTATAAATAATTTCTATTTTCGAACTTAGAAGTCGATCACATTTTTCGTGACCTTTACATTTTGCTGTTCGATAGTGGAGTTTGCCTTCCTTTTGACACTGGAAATTTACTGAACTTAAACAGAAATCAGAAAACAAACCGCGAAAAAACTTAACTGAGCGTAAACAAATTTGACTTTTTCCTGAACAAAAAAAAATCACCAAGACCTATATAAGAGTCTTCACTACGGTCATTACTATTTATCATCTTAAAGCTTTTGGAAATACCAGAACAGTTTTCACACATTTCGATTCAACTTACACAATTGAAGAAAAATCAATCATGCTATACGAGCGTCATCACTACGTTCATTGATTCATTGATATTTGTCAATCTACAAGAAAGGGTTCATTATAATTAAAAATAACCTCAAAATGCAGTAGAATTAGATAGGAAGTTCATTTATTCACTTATTCTCTCATATAATTTAATCTGAAAACGTACATCAAAAATTTTGATTTTTCTTTTGGAATGACTACAAATACGATACTACACTAGGGGCCCAGCTGAAAGCTGGAGAGACCTGTTTGATTATTTTAATATTGATTATTTTAAAATTGTTTTAAAATTTCAGGTTTCTCAAGTCGATAGCGCCCTTCCTACGCAAAAAAAGTGAAAGAGAAGCTTATGCATTCATTGGTAACGCTTTGGTAAAAAGTTTTCATGAGGGAACTTTTCAAGTCCATAGGTGTTTCCCTAGACAATAGGGGCCCAGCTGGAAGCTGGAGAGACCAGTTTGGTTATTTCAGAAAAAACGTTATACAAATTTTTGATGAAAACGTAAGCATAGCGGATTCCATTGTCTAAAAAATACACACAATAAGTATATTGAATCTTTGTTCCAATGCCAAAAAACTTTTGAAAAAACTTTTCCTTAGTGTACAGCTCTTCCCCGAGACAAATTAAGGACCAGCCGCTTGGGCAGGGGAGTTTCCTACAACCTGGTCTATCGATTAAACCCTTAATCCCAAACCTGGATGGGTAGCTTTTGAAGAAATCGAAAAAGTTTGAAAAAATGGCCTAAAAACCGAAAAATTGACTATTCCTAAGTGTATAGCTCTTCCCCTAGACAAATTAGGGACGAGCCGTTTGTGTAGGGGGGGTTCCTACAACCTGGTCTATCGATTAAACCCTTAATCCCAAATCTGGACGGGTAGTTTTTGAGGAAATCGGAAAGATTTGAAAAAAGGCCAAAAAAGTGACTTTTCCTAAGTCTATAGCTCTTCCCCTAAGCAAGTTAAGGACCAGCAGCTTGTGCGGGGGAGTTTCCTTCAACCTGGTCTATCGATTAAACCCTTAATTCCAAATCTGGATGGGTAGTTTTTGAGGAAATCGATAATTTCCGAAAAAATAGGCAAAAAAATCAAAAAAGTGACTTTTCCTAAGTCTATAGCTCTTCCCCTAAGCAAATTAGGGACCAGCCTCTTGCGCATGGGGGGTTCCTACAACCTGGTCTATCGATTAAACCCTTAATCCCAAATCTGGACGGGTAGTTTTTGAGGAAATCGGAAAGATTTGAAAAAAGGCCAAAAAAGTCAAAAAAGTGACTTTTCCTAAGTCTATAGCTCTTCCCCTAGGCAAGTTAAGGACCAGCCGCTTGTGCGGGGGAGTTTCCTACAACCTGGTCTATCGATTAAACCCTTAATTCCAAATCTGGATGGGTAGTTTTTGAGGAAATCGATAATTTCCGAAAAAATAGGCAAAAAAATCAAAAAAGTGACTTTTCCTAAGTCTATAGCTCTTCCCCTAAGCAAATTAGGGACCAGCCGCTTGTGCATGGGAGTTTCCTACAACCTGGTCTATCGATTAAACCCTTAATCCCAAATCTGGACGGGTAGTTTTTGAGAAAAAGTGAAAAAAAAAGTACCGAGTTGTGAAGCTTTTCTAAGACCGTAGGGGGTGGGGTAGGGTAAAAATTGCCCTAATTTTCATGCAGGCAGGTAGGTCAAACGCTACTGAATCCATTGGTACCACTTTTATGAGAATCTGACGAGTAGTTTTTTGGGAAAGCGAATTTTTCGAAAAAGCGTTTCAAAAAAAAAAAAATAAAAAAAAAAAAAAAAACCAGATCTCATCTGGAAAAAAAAAAAACGTTTTCATAATACCTGTTTAATAAATCAAACAGGAATTTGACTCTCTTTGAGCAGTCTACTCATCGTGAAAATCTCCGTCTGTCAATTCGCGGCGTGGTCGGAACAAAAATTAAGTAATTTCACTTAAGTCCAGAAGCACTATACAATGAGATTATCTATGTCGCAAAAACCATATGGGAATATGGGAAATCACTTCTGCATTTGCACGAAGCTTTGTGAACTTAATTCTTTTCGTAAGATTAAATTTGGCCGCAAAACTCTCATTACTTCATCAATCAAAGAATCAATTGCAAGAACCGTAATTTAATTAATTTACAGAAAGATGAACTAATATAAAAATTGATAGAATTTAAGATCGAATTTATAGACATTTTGAACTTGATTTCTGAATTCTGATAGAAGTAAACGGAGTGCTCAGTACGATCAAGGAGCTAGCACCAATCTCTAAAAAATACGTCCTTCTACCTTATTGATTTCACTTGAACTGGTCCAAATAGTGAGGACAAATTGTGACAGATACGCATGCCAATTAATTAACCCATTTCAAACTCTTATCTTTCTCTCTGTAAGCGAATTTTATTGTAAAAATGCGTCCAAATCGCTGTTCGACAGCGGCTTAATACTTTTCTGCTGAGGTGACATATTATTCTGGTGATTGGCCATGAATTGAGGGGAAAACTGAGGCGCCGCGAGAGGTCTGAAGCTCTGTTGCATTGCATTATTCATACCAAATTGCTGGGATACCATCTGGGATCCAGGAGCACCTGTCATCATTTGATGTCTATATTGCATATTCATGTTGGATCCAGCCATTGTATTCATGTTATTGCTTTTGGGCAGAACTGATAAACTGTCGAGTGAACTTGGACCGACATTTTGAGTCGGTTGGTTCTGCTGGGAGCCCAAAACTGCGAGTTGATTTTGCTGATTGAATTGCTGACTCATCGGGTGAAGGACCAGACTGTTTCCCATTGGCTCTCCCGACTGAGCTCCTAGCATATAATTTGGTTTTCCGCCCGTGTTAGCGGGTAGTGCTGCGTAAGTGTTGCTTTGACTGTTGACTGATATGTTATAATTAGGTCCAAAACTACTAGAGCTGCCGCCATTAGAAATATGAGAGTTAATTGCTGGTGCCGTGCCTAATGATTCTGTCAGATTCCTAGGAGCAACAGTTGCTTTTTGGGTCATCTGCAACTTGTTGGCTTCCAGCGGATTCTGACGTTCCAGATTTTTCATAATTTCTTTGTCTTTCATCAATTTTTGCTTTTGTTCAAGAGTGAGAGGTTGTTGCTTCACTAGAGATGTGCTTCCATTTGATCTTTCAGTTGTAGTTCCGTTCGACATACTTTTGGGGGATTTCTTCTGCGGTGACTCTAAATTGGATCCCAGCAATTCGTCCAGGTCAGTTGTGATCTTTTTTATTTCCCTCGAGGGATCGCTCGATTTTTCAGCCAGGATAGAGGACAGAATTGAGTCTGGGTTATCGTCTGAGCCTAAACAACAAATATTGTTCAACAAAGCCAACAGCCTGGTAGAAAAGTGTCAATGAACTAAGAAAACGGAACAAAATATTCAAGCTCTTTGAATTTCTATTTTTTTGCCATGATTGACCTTGAAAACTACACACCCTAAATAAATGTCTTCACTTCGTTCATTAACTGGATATGGCTTTTGTGAACAACTTCAGGCACTGAATATTCCATTCTTTGACAAACCTTTACTCTCAAGGGAAAATTTTCAATGTTTTTAATTTTCGTTCATTTTATTGATGTTGTGGGAACGTTTAATCTATTGTTCAGTAAGCTATTTATTAGCTTTAATTGATTGTATTCGAAAATGACTCATAAATAATGTGGAGCTCACCTTCGTTCATGATGTGATCGATGGCTTGGTTCTGTTCTTTCTCATACGCAGACACCTGTTCTAATTTAGTCGTCTGCTCCGTCTCTATCTGCTCCAGCATTTGCTTAATCACCACCATGAACTTCTGGAACTGAGAGAGATTCAACTGGGAATCAATCGCCAGAGGTAACAGAAACGGGATTCCCTTAGTTGCCATCGTATCTTTACTCATGCCCAATTTTGAATTGTTCAGCGTCACTTGATAGATTCCCAGAATAGCCATCAGTACTGCTGGTTCGTGCGATGGAATGGATTTTGTGAAAGGTAGCAACTCATCTTGTACGTACCACCTGTCCAGATATTCCAGCATTTTACCCATACACACCAAACTGTTCACTCTTACACTCAATACATTAGTTTCCAGACAGATCCTTTTCAATCTGGGAACCACGTTATTCTTAAGAGTGGGGAAATCAACATGCACAGCGAAGGTAGGAATGACTTTAAGACAGAGCTCCTGTATTTTTAGATCTTGCGAGTCCAGAGCTTTGTACAACATTGGGAACAAATGACTTTTCAGGTCATCCAAGGGAGTTTTAGCCAAAAGGACGTCCAACTTCTGAACGCAGACGTAAATGATCTGAATTGGCTCAGTCATCAGGAAGACTTCTTTAAGATGAGGCAGCACTTTTGTGACATATTCTTCCTTTGTGCATTTCTCAGCTATGAATAACACGTTCGGTAAAACAAATAAAACCATCTCCTTATTATTCAGTTCCTGTACAATTGATGGCAGAACTCTTTGTAACAGGACGCGCTGCGGTAACTTTTCTAATACTTTCTTCAGACCTTTGTAAAAAGTAGTTCTCTGCGCCTTATCCCATTGGAATAGCGTATCCAGGTACTGCAATGTAACAGCACCTACATCCTGGAAAAATGGGATCTTGGCCAGTTGATTTGCGTCCGGTCTAACGTTGGCGTCTACGCTGAGCAACATGCGTACATGTTCTCTCACGTCTTCAGGGATGCATTTAAGGACTTGGAGAGAACTCAAACTGGATAGTTGTAAAGCGTTCTTCTGGAATGTAGAAAGCATGTGTCCATTATCATACAGAGGACGGCCTCGATTAAATACTGTGTAAAAGACCATGCCCAATGAAAACATATCACTACTTCGGTCGGCAGTTTGTGACAAAATATACTCAGGAGCAAGGTAGTCTAAAGATGGCTTAGCTGGAATCGGGTTGTCAGGTTCCCAGCCCCTAAATAAAAACTTGGGCTCCTGTTCTGTCGGGGTCTGGTTAGTCATGCAACAATCAAACCCGGCGAGCTTCCACGCTCCAATCTTATTGAGGATAACATTATCAGGACAAATATTTCCGTGTATCATTTTGACATCATTGTGTAGGAACGAAAGTCCTTCTGTAATTTGAAGCAGACCATATTTTAATTCGGTTTCAAACAGTTCATATTCTTTGAGATCTTTCGGAACCGGTGAGGGAAGATTGAAATGTGCTCCCAGGATATTGGACAAACTTCCAAAAACGGGTTCAGTTGCAAAAGCCAGAGAATCACGTGACTCTTCGACGCCATGTTCCACGATCAATAACTTCGGATGTCTCAGCCTCGTTAGCTGCTGCACTCCACGTTTAAGTGTATCAAATACAATCTGTTGATCTTTCTTTGGCATTTTATCAAATTGACGCTTTTCAAAGAGCCAGATGCTGACTTCCTGGCCAGTTGATCTCCTCTTTCCTTCATATACTTTCCAGGACAGTCCTGTTCCGGCACTTGCGAAGTGATAACCGATCTCATATTCTCTGATGAGAGGGTTGCTGAGGGCAGTTCCGATGTTAGTCACCGTCGACTTAAATCCCTCTTTCACTCGTGATAGCATTTTTTGAACCCACTTGGCTTTAATCTATTCCACAAGTTTTAGTCAGTTATTGGTATGATAATACTAATGTTTTAACTCCATCTTAGTTTCATATAACCTGAAACACTTCTAGCATTTACTGACTGTCTTAAGATTGAATTTTCGTCAGTTTTTGTATTGAATCAGAAATTCAAAGTCACTGTAAAAAGTAGAAATTATTGCAAAGGTAATATATAAATTTCATTTTAAATTTACTATCTATCTATATAGACAATAGATATATCAGCTTCAGCGTTGAATATTAAATATTCGGTGATTTGGACGAATGATCAGGTTTTTGTGGTAAAAAGTACAATATTATAATGATGACTCAATCAATTATCGTAAGATTTTCGTTCAAGTATTCTTTCAGCTGGCGTTCGTTTGATTGACAGGATCAAGTCTATGGAATTCGTTGGTCACATCTGAGGTTCTGTTCCGTCTACAACGTCGAGCAGTCGCACTTGTCTGTCGTCTGTGAATTTCAGGCACTTCTGCAAACCAAAAATTATATGAAAATATACCGGTCTGTTCTCGATCTCAAAAAACCAAAAAAAAATCAAAGTCAAATCGCCAAAACACAAAATTAAAAAATGAGCCTTTTCTTGAAAAAAAAACGATGAGACAAAAACCACAGGGTGTGATATCTTCGTTCATTGAAAATTAACAGAGCTCAAAATTTCGCGTAACTTTATTTCCCCCTTTATAAGTATTGTTTAGTTAAGATACTGAAATTTTCACTGACATAGGCGTTGGTAAGTAAGGACTTCAGTGCTCGAAGAAATTTTTTACCTGATGGTGTTGCCATAGAGTGTCCCTGTGTGATACAGTGATGAGGGAGATGCCCTTCTGGGCACATACATCGTACAGCTGGCACTCGGTGTCCACCGAGATCTGGCTAGAACACTCGTCCAGAATGGCCCACTGTGGTCTGTGGTAGAAGAGACGGGCCATCTACAATCAAACACAACAGAATACAACTTTAAAATTTTGACAGAGACAGCCTAGACAAAGCAATAACCAAATATGCAGTAGGCAACGAGAAAACGCGAACAAATAACAAAAATAAAGATGATGGTGACATTTTTTTCTTTTACTAGTGTATTGAAACTAGTAACTGTACTACAGTACTAGAAACTGTTCGCTCATAAACGAGGTTTCACTGAACTTTTTAGAATCCTCTTAAGACGCAGTTTAGAAGTTCAATAAGAACCTTTGTAAATTTCATTCTTCATTACTGACGGCTTCATGGAAATAAATATTATTAAATACTGTTTAAGAGAGCCAGCTTCAGACCAATAGTATCATAGGTAAGAAAAAATACCATGATACGGCTGTTCAATTCTTCATGAATTAGAAAAAAGCTAATGACTCATCTAAGTGGTCATTTAAAAATCAATTTACTTTTCTTTTTCTCGCCGAGATATTATAAAAGGTTAAAATTTTTCCGGATTTTAATCACCAGCATTTACAAAACAAAATCAGAAATAGTCACCTTTGAACGACTATCAACCCTTTCGGCAAATCTAAAGTTCATCTCATTTGTAGCAGGAAGTCTGAAAGCGATAAATCTTGTGAAATCCGGGAGACTTATTAAACAGACAAAACAAATCCATCATTCAGAATCAGTTTAATTGAACTAGCATGCATATGTGCCAGGAAGACAATATAGCTAACAGAGGAATTGGATGATACGAATCCTCAAAGAAGAACAAATTCATTCAAGTTTATTGATAACAAAAATAAATTACGGAAATAGATAGCGTCCTGAAAAGGGTAGATAAAGAAGACTAGTTTATCTGCTCTAGGTCGACCGAACATAGCCAACAGACATTTGGGAAAGAGTCAATGAACGCAAAGAAACAGAAAATTTTCTTCAGGGACCCATTTTAATTTTTGGGACCCAACTATGATACTTGTACCCACTAGAGGATTTAGGGAGAGGGGCGGACTCAGGTATTCGACCCCCTGCCGACCCAAAGGATCCCACCTTTACACTATTTTGAGATATCCATTTTTGGCTGACTGACCCTAAAAATTTTTTAAAAGCGTCTTTGGCGCCAATATATACTTAGTTTGAGGTGGGAGCGCGCGCCGAAAAAACGCGATTTTTTGGTCAATATTTTCCAAAAAGTGCCTAAAAACGCCTTTTGTGGCCTGTTTTTTCAAAATTTTGCCTGCGGCGCAGAAAGTTTGGACAAAACAGCGTCTTTTTAGTGCTTTAGGAGAGCTCGAAAAATCAATTTGGTTGACCTAAAAAACACAGGTCGTCAAAATTTTCGAAAATTTTTTGAAGATCCGGTCAAAAAATCCTAGATCCGAGAAAATCCTAGACTTTTATATATACTGTTGAGGTTATTCACATCTAAGATTTTGAGCAGATAGAATTTCAAGAATATTGGCTGAAAATCAATTTTCAAAAACAAACTTATTTGTAGAAAATAGCGTCAATGAAAATGACTTCTCTTGACAAGATAATTTGGCACAACACCAATGATTTTATCAGACTTAACTATTCCCTTTCCACTTAAATGGGATGAGCTCAGTCTAGGAAACTGATATCGACACCGCTAAGACTGTTTAAATTTAAAAACCCCGAAGCAGACAAAACTATCAAACTGCACAACGAAGGACCACTAAGAAAAAAAAAGATAAAAAGATGTTTGTTTGCCACGGAAATATCTGCAGACTGAAAATTTCAACAACCCAATCAAAAGGCATTTAACTTTCCAAAGCGGACTTATTTAACCGCATTTCTTTCAAACGTTTGGATTCTGAATGCTGATTGGTCCATTTAACTTTCTACCATTCGGACACTCTGCCATGAAATATTTCCCGCTTATTACTCACAGCCATGCGCTGCTTCTCTCCCCCACTGAGTACATCTATCCACTCGGCCAATTTGTTCCACCCGTGAGTCTGCAACACTCTCGTCAGATTCGCCTAAACACACCACACAAAACTCAAAGCACAATTCACAAACACAAATCAATCAAACTAGCGTTTAACGCACCTCCGGTGCTTCGATTTTTTTCGATAATTCATGAAAAACCGCATATATTGGAAATAAGATCTGCAAACTTTTAGTGTACTCTGACTGCACTCAATTACAGGGTTGGTAATTTCAAACTTTTTAATTCCCATTTTGAAAATCCATAAAAGCGTCATCTCGAAAACTTAATGGGCCTCTGGAGAACTTTGGAGGCCAGATTTGCAACCAGTGAGAGCCCCTGAGAGCACCCTACTATACGGTTGGGAATTTCAAATTTCGTGAATTTTTTTAAACTTAAGATTCCCGACAAAAATTGAAAAAATCATAAAACAACGTCTTGTCTCGGAAACTAAAAAGATTTGAGCACTCATATTTAGAGGCAAGATTTGAGACGCGTGGGTACACGCTGACAATAAAGTTGTGTCTTCGTCAAATTAGTAGTTTCAAATTTTGCGAATTTCTTTGTAGATAATTTCTTGGAGAAATTTTGAAAAAATCACAAAAAACGTCAAATCTCGAAAACTAAAAGGATTTGAACAGTCATATTTGAAGGCAAGATTTGCAACACCTTAGAGTACCCTGTAGCACCCAACTACAGGGTTGCGAATTTCAAATTTTGAAAAATAATAAATTTAGGTTTTCTGAAAATTTTGAAAAAATCACAAAAACGTCACATCTCGAAAACTCCAAGGATTTGAGCAGTCATATTTGGAGGCAAGATTCGCAATCCTTGAGAGTACTCTGAATGACAGGACCCAACTACATGGCCGGGAGTTTCAAATTTTGAAAAAAAAACATTAATTTAAATTTTCTAAAAAATTTTTGAAAAAATCACATGAAACCTCATATCTCGAAAACTGCAAAGAGTTGAGCAGTCATACTTGGAGGCAAGATTTCAATTCTTGAGAGTACTGTGACAGAACCCAACTACAGGGTTGGGAAGTTCAGATTTTGCGAAAAAAATTAATATAAGTTTTCTGAAATTTTTTTTGAAAAAATCACCAAAATCGTCTTATCTCGTTAACTAAAAAGAATTTGGCCATTCAAAATTGGAGGCCAAATTGACAACCCGTTGGTGAATCCGGACAGCATCCCAATATTGGGCGGCTTATTTTAAACTCGGTGAAATATATTTAAATTTATAATAGATAAAGCCAAAACACACACCAACTAAATTAAGCACTTCACAGCACGGTCTGCGACAGCGAAAAAAATTGCGGCCGTTTTTTTAACCAAAAAGTACCAAAACTTGAAAAATTTTCTGGTTTCACCACATTTTCATTTTACTATTTAAATATTATATCACAAAACAAATTGAGCAATTACGAAAATGGTATGCACAAAAGTTTTAATCTCTCGGTGTAATATTACATTTTTAAGCAATTTTTACTTAGATCAGCCGAATCTCCAAAAAAACACTTTTTAAAAAAAAGCTTTTTATGCTGTAAAATACAACTTACAGAATACAATAATTTACAATTTTTGCCAAAAACAAGAGTTTTGATCTAATTTTGGTCACCGAAAACAAATGTTTTTGGCTAAAAACTAAAGTTATTGGTTGAGCCACCATTCGCCTTTTTTTAAATTAGTATACCTTTTGCCCCCCTTCCCCCAATTTTAATTACAAACATACATTCTCGTAATTAATGCATGGCGAAAGGCATAAACAAGAAGTGAAATATTCCATAAAATTAATTGCGAGCAAAAATTGCCTCATTCAACCACCACACTTGTCATCATACTTTAACCGCAATTTCTAATTGCATTAGGAATTGCATCATTCCCTCTGCAAGAGCTAGTTCGACTTCAGTTTTTCTACTGCAAACTTCCTCTTTCGTTCGGCTAAAATAGATTTATTCAATGAGCGTTCCCTAGTCAATATTCGACGTGCATTCGCAAAAAGAATTATAAAAAACATAACTCAGGGTTATTTTGTCAGAACACTGTCAAAGGAAAGTTGGAAAAGCCATCTCCACAGAGGATATGCTAAGGAAGATGCGTGCAAACATCCGATAGGTCAAAGATGCGAAAAGAAGATAAATTGTCCCGAAAACATAAAAAATTGTAATATTAGTGCAAAGATCCGGTAAGTAAATCATAGCCAACAGTTAGTTTTTTTTAACTTTGGGGAAAAATATTTCATGTTTAAGCTCTTTGAATTTCAACAATATTTTATAATTGACACTTTTGTTGATAAAACTAACCGAATTAGAGAACACTAGGCCATTATTAACGTTTTTAGACTACCGGGAGATCTAAAAAATCGAATATAAGTATAGGAAAACAAAACGAAACCGATGAGTAAATCTCGTTTTTTTTTCGAGGACATTTGTTATTGAAGAGCTTATCTTTTTCCTTTTGGAAAAGAATTTGAGCTGAAAATAAAAACAAATCAAAATCAAACAGCAATAAACAACAAACATAACCAACAAACAGTTGGAAAAGAGTCAACGAATCCAAAGAAACAGAAAACGTATGGCTTTAATGCTGTTTGAATTTCAAGACCAATTCAGGATTGGCACTTTTTTGATAAAACTAACTCAATTTGTTTTTATTCCGCTAGAAAATCGAAAATGAAATTCCACTTTCGAAACTAGGAATGATTCACGTTTTTAGCGCCATTTGAATAAGTTTGAATGCTTTCCAGTAGTTATTAGAGCATTTTAAGACTACTGAAAAAAAACGAAAAAAAAAATTTATCACGGTCTATAAAAGAGTCTGAAAAGAGCGCGAACAATTTCATGGCTTTTGCTTGAAAAAACAACATGACAAAAACAAATGATAAAGCAGTAAAATTTATTATGTAGAGCAACGCTGCAATTTCCACGGTTCGCTAAAAATACGTTTCATTTCCGCATAAAACTAATCTAGTCAAAGAAAACGCAGTCAACAGGGATTTTTGTAAATTCCGCTGGAAATTCTGAAAATTAAAATCCGTTTTTGAAACTAGAAACCTTCCTTTTATTTTCGCACCATTTCGTGATTAGAACGCGATAAGGATAAGCCTTTCTTTCAGAAAATTAATTTAACTTGAACTTAAAAGAAATTATATGTCAAACCGTGAAAAAGTCTTGACACCCCGTTCATTGACACTTGAAAATTACTAGCCAAACAGTAGATTGAAAAATTGCTTGCATACTGGTCTTTCTGCTTATTGTTAGGTATTCCTATTTTCAGTAGTCGGGCTTGAAAACCTTTCGACCGAACGAACCGCGTCAAAACTAACAAACCAGTTTTGCGAGAGTAGAACAAAACTGTTTTTACGCCTGTATTGTGAAGACATTTTAACGGACTTAATTCAGACGATACAAAGCTATTTATCTCCCCTCTCTCGAAGTGAGAGACCGGAAAATGATACAATTTGTAACCTACCAAAACAAAATTCGCTACCATTACCAAGTTACGTTTTTCGCAACCCTTCATTTAGGCCTTTGTTTTCTTTCTAAAATGCTCACCTGTTCGATGATGACTTCTAAGTCTGCATCCTTCACGTGCTTTCTTCGCATGTCTTCATGTGAGTCAGGATAAATCAGCTGGTCTCTGAAGGTGCCCAAAGTCATGTACGGCTTCTTCAACACACAAATAAAATATCCTTCTAGACCTCTCATGAACAGTAATTCAATTATAATTCTCGCCAGTTTTTTAAATGAGAGATTCTTAAAATGTTAAGACACAAAAACTTTTACACAGTGTCCAAGCTTTACTTTGCAAATACAAGTAAAATAACACAAACAAATAGAAAATGCAAAAAAGTATGCCCTGAAAGAAAATCAACTTGGAAAATTACAAGGGGTTAGCCGTTGGCTGGGCAAGCATGACCATGTTCCGGCCAAATATATAATGCAAAAAAAACACATTCTTTTTGAAATTCAACTGCAAGTCAGTGAATAGAAAATGAGACGGAAACAAATAAAGTGAAAAAAAAAACTTTTGGTAAAAAAATCGAGAACAATTTCATAAAAACAGTCGAGAAACACAATGGGGTAAGCCCATTGAGCCGAAAACTGCAAAAAATGTTCAACAATTAAGTTCTAAATCTTGCAATATAAAATAACTGAATTTTTCAAAGGATAAATAAGCAATTTTTCGCTTTTGAAGTTTGGAGTTCCTAAGGTTTACAAATAAATCAACTTCACATATTCTTACAGATTTTTAAGACAAGTTGTTTACGGGAAAAACAGTCTACCTCCCGACTAAGTCACTTGCTCAAGCAAGTGTAAAAAAATCGAAAGTCAAACCGCGAAAAATCCAATTTGATCTCGAACAAATTTTAGGTTTTTTCTTGAAAAAAAAAAACAAAAAAACCATCACGACCTATATAAGAGCCTGAACTACGTTCATCGGCTTTTAAAAATTTTATGTTTTAGATGTTTTATGATGAGTGTTATGATGTTTTAGAAGGCTCGATGAACCCGAGTAAATCTCTTTATTTAACAGTACAATTTGGACCGCGAGGTGAAGCTGCTCTTCGCAAACACTAGCGAAAACACGACAAAAAAGCATCTTTACAAAGTGAAAAATAAAGATAGAAAAAGTTAAACTTTGTTACGTATGGGCTTCAAAGCTGCGACCTCGAGAATTGGAGCTCATGCCCTGCCCTCTGCCACGAACGCTTAACAACCGGCAAACACTAGTCACAAATAAAGCAGCTACATATGCTAACAAATTGCCAATGCTATGCAGCAAAAAAGGCACCAAATACAATAGACACTATTTTAGAATTAATTCATCGGAATATAACAAACTGAAGCCATTCACACTAATTTAGCATGTAATAAATTGGATAGCACAAAATTGTGAGTTATATTGAGTTTAAAAAATTTCTAAACCCGATTTTTTATTAGTTGTGGTTTAAAACAAATAGCTTTTTTCGGTTCATTAAATGTTTTAAATTATTACTGTTCAAACGTCAAAGCACATGCTATCAAAAAGCCGTAAAGGTGCCCAAAAACGTAACTAACAATTGCGACTTATGTTAGATAAAAAAGAGTAGTCGTAGTATAACACTAGCGCTCACTTAAGTTCTCTAGTGTAATTATACCTGTGGAATGTAAAACAAGTTCCGTCTGACTGGCTTAATCACTGTGCCAGAAAACACCGGCCACAGTCCCCCTAGCACCCGAAACAGGGAACTCTTGCCACATCCGTTGGATCCCCTCACAAGTACATTTTGGCCATGTCTCACTTCGAAGTTGAGCGACTCTATCAACACACTTCCATTCGGCGCAATTAAAGGCACATTGTCGAACCTGCAGATAAAAAAACTCAGAATACACCCTCAGATAGTTTGATGCAAATTAAATATCAAACTTTCTAAGTTTGAATGATTTTTCATAAAGAAGCCTAAATGATTTTGCAATATATTTTGCAGAAGTATAATTTGCAATAAAGTTTTCAATATATTTTGCAATCGTTTCGCAGAAGTATATGATTAAGCAGGTCTCCATTATCCGGACAATCAAAAAAGATAGATGACCCATAGCAATTAATCACTTCAAGGTTAAAATCTTTTCATTGGGTTTCATAACAGTAATTTTAGCCCTTCTTGACAGTTTATCGTAAAAAATTGCAGCGCTGCTATAATTGGAAAACCTTCTGACTTTCAGTTTCGAGTTGTGCAGAAAAAAAATCACCTTAAAGCTGTTTGATTTCGAGGAATCATTCATAATTGGCTATTTTTCAAGACATGCTTTTATGAACATTTTTCAAATTAAAAAAAACCTATCGATTGTTTTACTCGAAAACTTTCAATAGGAAAAATGCATCACAGAAAAAAAAAGATAGCCGTAAAGCTCTTTGAATTTGTAGAAAACTTTATGATGGACAATTTTTTGCTAAAAATAACCCAATTTGAGCAAACTAGATCAATACATAAAACTTTTATTTCGCTGGGAAATCTGATAACTAATTTCCATTTTCGAAATCAGAATTCGATCAGTTTTTTCGTGATCTTTACACTTTTGCTGATCGATAGTGGAGTTTGCCTTCCTTTTAACAATACAAATGCACTGAACTTAAAAAGAAATCACAAGTCAAACAGCAAAAAAATCAAAACTGAAATTTTTTGTTTTAAATCAGCAAGACTTATATAAGAGTACTCACTACGTTCATTACTCTTAATAAACACAGTACATATTTTATTGACACAGAGGCGAAGCGGAGCTTCTCATCACTAGCGATACCACAAAAAAACCCATTGCAAGCTAGCAGACAGGAAAGAAAGGCGAGCCACTTTGTCCAGAGAGAAAACGGAAAAATTTTCGAAGAAACCACAACTAAAACAATTCAAAAGCTGTCTGGAATGTTTTACTTGCGGAAAATGCGTCCAGAAACACAGCGGCGGCGTTTAATAATACTTCGAGAACAATTCTCGAGCGAAACAAAAATTGTTGTCATGAAAAATTTGAACTATAAATTTCATTCTGAGATTTATACTTTTTGTGCGATCCGGAGGAAAATATAGAAAAATAATGGTTCCCCTGAACGATCCAAAATTAGGTTAGTAAGCCGATAATTTATAAGCGTAAATCATTGAGACCGAAAAGATTTTTAAGCAAAAAAATTTAAAAAAAAAAAAGAAAATATACGTAGTCAAGGCCAGAAGAATTACAAATTATTAAGTAAATGAGTCAATGAAAACATAGAAAAGCAACTACAATGAAACCATAAAAAGCAACTACAATGAAAACTGCATACAGCAAAAAAAAACTAAGATTAGACAACTAAGCCGACAAAATTAAGTTGAAGACAAATAATAGCCGACAATTTTTTTCAAACTAAATATTTACAGTTTGAAAAAAAAATAGGTCCTGTTCAGATTCAAACCCAGGACCTTTGCAGTCTCAGGCGTAATCGTTACCTCCAGAATAATTGCGCCGGAGACGCTTACAAATTTCAATTCATTATGAACCAAGAGACCATGTGATTCTCTAAAGCAAATTGTTAATCCGAAAAGTCTATATTCCGATTTGATAAAGCCTGCTAATCGCAAGCGTAACAAACAACTTCACTCACTTACCGTCTTTTAAGCAAATGATTAAAAAATTACACTTGAAGAGAAACCAAAAGAAAAACCTCGAAAAATCAAATTTGAGACAAAGAAGACCTAAATAAAGGTATTCACTCTCCCAATTTTCAAACTAAGCTTGCAAGCTTGCTTGCCTAAATACGTGATTTTGTTGGTTGCAACATATAATTTATTAAACAAGCAAAAAACATAATGCATCCAAAAGACCTAAACATATAAAAATTCTATCCAATCATCAATATGTAAAAGCAATTCGACCAGTTAGACACAAGCGTCACACTGGACTTCGCAAACACAAGCGAAATAGTAGGAAGGTTCTAAGAACGGCACAGAATGAAAAATGCAAGAAAATAAAAAAACATAACTTGCAATAAATTAACTAGAAACATGTATGACAACGGGGTTCGAACTCTCGTACAAAGTCGTTAGTCTGGAAAATTTTTATCAAACAATAAGCATTGCAATAAAACAATCAGAAAAGCTGAGAAAAACAGCTAAATTTTTACACTACTATCGACAAACAGTAACCAATTTTCGGCGTTCGAATGTTTAAAAATATAGTTCAATTAGCCGATAAAGCATACGCCGAAATTATTATAAGTCCTGGACAAAAATATTCAGTTTCATACCTAATAAAAAATACAAGGACCTGCCGATAATCGAATCCTAGACCTTTGGCTGCGAAGGGACCGCGTTGCCCCTAGACCAAGGAAGCCAACAAGCATATACAGCTGAATAAAGGCGAAAGAAACCAACAATCCACACAGAGGCGAAGCTGAGCTTCGCACCATTTGCGATACAAATTTGACTGAAATCAAACAGAAAAACTTGAAAAAAAATTAACAAATCGTTTTTGTCAATAAAAAATTGTATTAGCAGTGATAATTAAATTCAATTTTCAAAAGTAGAAGCCGATCACGTTATTCGTACCGTTTGCATTTTGCTGTTCGTCAATGGAGTTTGCCTTTCTTTTAAAAAAGGAAATGAAGTGAATTTGAAAAGAAATCGGAAGTCAAACTTCGGAAAATCAAAATTGAGTGTAAACAATTTAAGACTTTTTCCTGAATAAAAAACAGAAAAAATCACCAGTAAAGACCTTTATAAGAGTACTCACTAAGTTCATTACTCTTTAAAAAGACTACCTGTACTCAAGAAGTTGAGCACATTAGTGTGCATGCCAAGTCATGTGAGCTTGTAAAACCTAATTTCTCATCGACTTGAAATTCTGCTTACGAGAAGCAGATGTCTAGTTCTGCTCGCGAGTGTAAAAAAATTACTTGACTTGCCTTGGTTAATTCAGTACAGTATGAGAAACCGCGAAGCATTAAAAAAAGCCAATCAGTAGTGATTAACGACGCCGAAAAACCGTTATCAACTGTCTGGTGGTCTATAAATAGCCCAAATTGAAGTAAAATAAAAGTATGGAAGTAAAAATAGAATTAAAAAGAAGAAAATAGAAGTAAAAAGAAGTAAAAAAAATCTATGAAAATGACAGAAATTAATAAAACAAATTGCTTCAGCCTTATATGACATTAAAGATTGTTTCATCAACAGGAGTTACAACCATTGAAGCATTAGCCTGAAAGATCGTCCATTAAAGTACCATATGACAAAGCCCATAAATAAAAATAAGTAACCTAGGATAATAAGGTATTTTCCAACAGTTCCCTAAGCGTTAGTTTTACAAAATCATCACAACAGCTTAGTTCAACTTCACTCTCAACATATGTAAAAAAAATGGGTTTCAACTAGCAACTGACTTTTCAATAAGCCAACTTTTAAAACAGTTTTGAAAAACAGCTGGTCTGAAAACAAATTGTCGACCCTGGCTAAGAAGCTAAAAAAAATAACGGCTGTTATAGATTTCGTCCCATTAAAGATCTCGTCCCATTTAATTTCAACAGATTTCGACCTTCAAAGCGTACACAGATTTCGTCCCACAAATTTGGATATGGGATGATAGGATGTTGGATATGGGACAAAATTTGTATGGGACGAAATCTGTTAATTAAACAAATAGGACGAAATCTGTGCCAATCAAACTTGAAGCTACTGACTTGATGTGTCCATCAGATATGATCGTGTGTCCTCTGCTTTGTAAAGTGAGACCAAAACTGGCCAGTGTCAGCTCCTGTCCCTCTTCGTCATTGTTTTCTGTACCAGCTAGTTTTTTGGCATCTGGAGACAAATCCTTCGAGGCTGGCGCTGCCGAAACAAAAACGCGCTCAATTTACAGACAAGCTGCTGAAAACGAAACTGTTTTTTTTTTAGTCGATATGTTGTTAATTGAAACGGTCAGTTTTCCTTGTCCTCGATTAAATTTGTTCTGCCCCTGACTAGTGCGTCATATGCCGTTTTCAACATGGTTTTCTTGTCATATCTTGCGGTCCTTTGACGCATTAATTTTTTCAAGAACTGATTCTGTCTTCATTAGTTGTAAGAAAAAAATGATTTCAGTTTCTAATTTAAGAACAAAAAGCGTTTCAGCCCCGAAACTGCGATAATAAATTATATACAGGTTATCTTGTACCTGTATTCGGCTTGACTGACCGACTTGTTGCTGATTATTCGAAAAAATCCGAAAAAAAGCGACAACACGTCAACCGGAAAGTGGACGTCCTTTGAATTGAAAAGACTAGAGAATTTGAAAGCTTCATCGCATCTTCTCGGTATTCAATTTCTAAATGGAACTTTGAGAAAACTTTGGTTCAACCAAAACTGCTGTCGTAAAAAACTATCAAATGACCCTTAAAATAGGTACTGGTATTCAGTACGCCACTGAATACCATGCATCTGAAATGAGCACGCATGGTTCACACAGTAAGTTGGTATATTAACCTAATTGAATCCTTTCCTTATCGAATAACATCAGGTCAAAAGGTTTAGAATGCGTCATTTTCGCAATATCCGGTATGCAGTTCGCTATCTTGTAAAATTTCACCACTATTATCCGGTGAAACTCTATCTATCCGGTTACTACTAATACAGGTGAAGTCTCATCGCATCCAGACGGGTAATGCATGCTAAAAAAGCAGGCATTACCTGTCGACATTCTCTTTCTTTCGATGCGTACATTTGAGTTATATTCCATACCAATTCTCAAGCACAAGATGAAAGGACTTTAAGCTGATTTTTTTTCTGTTGGCTTTTGTTTATATTGAAAAGCTACTATAACAAACATCCTCGTTCTCACCTGATGTGTTCGAAGAAGCCACTTGCTGTCTGACAAACTTGTCTGATTTCAGGTCCTCCAGCACTTCAGTGAGTTCGCACACTCTACTTGTGAGTCCTGCCAGACGACTCAACTCTCTACCTGAACATAACACCAGAGCTTCGAAAAAGTAATTTTCTTAACCGTTTTACTTATCAAGACAGTCTCTCAAACTCGGACAAGAAGCCAATTCGAATAGACGTTAGAGGACCAGATAGTATCATTTAATAATATCTTTGCGCTAAACTTTAGTGTGTCTTCAAATAACCAGATGAATTTTTTTCTTTGGCTCTTTTCCACTTCTCCCGCAGTTTAATTGTCCTCGTAAAACCAGCCATTTGATTGGGTCCAGTGATATATCATAAAGAAGTCCTTTCAGTTGAAACATTATTTTCCAAGAAAAACAGGTTGGAAATCTTTGATTTTTAGTTTTATTTTGAGCAAATAAAGCAATCGAACAGGCTTATAATAGGACTAAACGCTATTGTTTAAGCCACAAAACGTGGTTTTCTCCAGTAACATTAGTTTTGGAAGTTTTTTCAGCGCGTCCTTCGGAAAAAACTTTTGTTTTTACTCATTATTTTTTTACATTTTCTTTTCAAGGAAAAATGTTGTCAAAAACGCCTAATTTACTATATTTAGAATATGCATAAGTTCTAGACTTTCTTTCAGATCATCTGATATCACCACTGACAAAAAAACGACTGGAACAAAAAAGAAATCACTTTTTTTTACTATTGTGATCGGACTGCACAGCAACCGTGTACCTTTGTTCCTTTGTTATAGTTGTTTTTCTTGTCATCATGGCTAAATAAAAAATCGGGTATTAATTGCTAGTTTGTTCACCATTCCAAGTTTCATCGCATTATGACAATAGAATAAGTAAAATTGAATTGTGGGGAGGGTGATGAAAAAGAACCGTTTTTTGTTTGATACATTCTTACCTGCGAGTGCCACCCGGCCCATAGCCTCCGCCATCTTCAGCAACATCCTACCACTCTTGTAGTAGTCTTCCAGTCTGGCACTGTGTGAGAACTCCTGGAAGCGGGATTTAGATGCCAAAAAGGGTCGACTCACTATGTAGAAGCCCACCAACGTCGCCACATCTAGAACACAGCCAACAGAAAGTAAGAAAAGTGTCAACTATCTCAATGAAACTGAAAAAATGTAATTATGGAGAGAATTTTTGTCCTTAAAAAACGCAAGAAAAAACCACACGATCTAATTAAGAGCTTCTTCACTGAAAATCCCTAAAAATTAAATCCATGAACTGAAAATTGATGAAATTTTGCCTTCTTTGTAACGTTCGCTATCGAAGTGTAAATTAATTGAAAAATGAATTTGCAAAGCCAGTAGAAAAATTGAACCTACTTCAAGAAAAAGAAATATTGAGCGAGCGGACAGGAAAGCAAAAACTGTAATAATAAAAAACAACAATTGAACGTAACTTAGATTTATGTACAAATTCAAGGTCTAACTGCAGACAAACGAGCTCTTAAAAAAATATATGTTTATCATATATTTCATTGTGTTACTACCATGAAGGTCTCTTCAAACACAGGCGAAGCTGTACTTCGCAAACAAGCAATAGAAGGCAAAAAGTAGCTCCAAAAAGTGAAAAAAGGAAAATGCTCAACAAAATTGTCTTACGCCGGATACGAATCACGATCTGGAGATCTGCACCACGCTAGCTTGGAAAAACACTGAAGCTAGCCACCAATAAACAATCTACAAAAATATAATGGTATGGATGAAAAGTGAACATATAAAAGTGCAAAGGTGCCACCGAATAATGAGACTTTATTTGCGACTTAGGTTGGAAACAAAGTGGATACCGTAATGTGTCACTACGCTCCGCTTGCGCATTCATAAACTAAGTGCCGGACGTGCCACCAAACTAATAAAGCACACTTTTATTTGCTTCTTCGGCTGGAGAAAAAACGGGCTTCATAATACTACACTACGCTCCGCTTGTATAATCAATGAGATTATCCGTAAAATTGGCAAAAACAACATAAAATCATTTTTTACCGATATTAGCTAATGAAAACTAAACAAAATAACCGAGGCGATGTGCCCTAAAACAAAAATTTCAGTAGTTTGCGAGACGAGTAAATCAAATTATGTGTCAATTTTTTTTTTTGCAGAATTATAGATTTTGGCTTTGCTGACTTATCATAACTAACTTAAAATTGCGAAGATCGTTGTAGTTCACTTTTAGTTCGAATCCTAATTTGTGAAAGAAACACACTTTATTGTTTAAATCCGAGGTTTCAATTCACGCAATTATGTAACTAAATGATGCAATATGAGTTAGGACTGGAGTGTAACTCATAGAGTAATTTCGGATAGGGTACACCGTCTGCTCGTCACGCTATCTTATTTTCGGCCGGATAGATTCGTGCAACTTCTTAGTCTAATACCGATCCTAATCTTACTCTTATACTATCTAGTCTCAGGTTGTTTAACTAGTCTCTGCTAGGCTCAATAGATCTAGGGTATACTGGTTTATTGCGGCTGCTGAAGTGCTCGGGAGAGTCCAACTAATTTCTAAGTTAAATTCAAATCTCTCTGGTGCTGAAATTACAAGTAACTTCAGCACTTACAAATAAGTGGGTTGTTAGTTAGATGGATCATGATTGGTTAATATTAAATACTTTACATTGGTAAAACATTTAATTTATCCAATCATAAAATATAGTTTAGATCAGGTTCCACCCATCCGGGTTTTACAGAGTTTTTTAGAACAGTTCTTTTGTAGTTCAAGGATGGATGATGGACGTTGGTATTTGGCGAACATCATTTTTCTTTTGTTTCCTTTTTGTTAAGGAAGTTCCAGGGATCTGGAATTGAGGACACAAGACGTTGTGTTCTTCTTGTGACAACGACTGAGTCTCTGCAACAGCATCAATTCTGGTTTCAGAATGGTTGGCTATGTCAGGTTTTTCTGTTCTTCGGAGAGAACTTCTTTTGTGTTTGATCTAGCTCGGGAATGGCGTGGAGATTGTGCGTGGAGGGGATGCCTGGTTACTCGGATCTGTACGTATACTTGAACATCGAGGTGGTCATTGGTCTAGTTCAATGAAGTCCTTTTCTGCGAGGTCAAGTCGTACTCTAAATCCTTTGAGTTGTGATTGTGAGCGGCATATCGATTATAGTTGGTCATTCTCTCTCGAGTGTAGTGAGGTCGTCTTGTCTTTTGATGTTCGTCCTTGGTGTTGTATTCTGATCTATATATTGCATCATGTGATTTTACATTTTATAAAACTTTTATTAATTTAATATTTTTTAATTATGATTTTAGTTAGTTGTTTTCACAAAAGCTTTTTGTTTTAGTTCGGTTATTTTGAAGAGTTACTCACCCTTGAGTAGCTCTTATTAAAAATAAAGGTGTGGTCACAAAGCGTGGATGTAGCACGGTGGGTTAGGCCGGCTATAGAGCATGCTCAGGACGTCCTTTCCTGGTGGGTTAGGCCAGGTGTGGGAGTATGATTTCATGCGGTTTTTATGAGGGGTCCTGTTATGTGACAACATTTTATGTTGGGTTTGTTGTGGTTTTACTTATGTTTTGTTGGTTATGTACTTTTTCCAAAAAGCAAATTGTTTGTGGTATGGGTTTGTCTTTTGACTTTTTTGTGTTTTATTATTTCTTTCTAAGACTTTGTAATAGTCTTCAAAAGAATAAATTATCCAGTTTTAAACTGGGTTAATCCGGTTTGGGTACCGTTGGTTTCCTTTTCTTAGTCATGCTGTTATTTTATGATTTGTGGTATTTAGTAAGCTGCGTTGGTTAGTTTTGTTTAGTATATGATTCCTTTCCAACCGGGTTAAAGGAAAGTTTGAAACTTGTTATTATTTGTTAGAGTTGTTGAGTGTGAAAACTTGAAACTGAAATTCATTATTTTAAACAATTCTTCGTGGGCGAGCTGTGCGAGTGTGGATAGAATTTCTGTGCGAATGAATGAAAATATCAAAAGGTTAGTACTGCAATTGCATTTTATTAATTTACTGCATAGAATTTGGAAATTTACTGCTAGTAATGGGGGAATTTTAAGATACAAATTTTCATCATATGTAGATTTACTGCTTTTAGGGGAAAATTTTATAAATTAATTTACTGCATTGGTATTATATTTATTTAATTGTTGGTGCAAAAGTTAAATAGGGTTTTAAATAGTTTTGAAGAAGTTTGCTATTTTTTATTTTTCTTTTGTGAATTTTTCGGATGATTGAAGATGAAGGCTAAAAATCTAAAGAAAACATGAATAAGGAATGGTGAGTTTTTCAATATTTTAATTAGTTAGTAATATTCATTTAGTTCATACTTACCTGTTAGTCGTCGGGGAAAAAACCGTGGGGGAAGATATCGTGAATTAGTTCTGAAGTTGTTAGTAGTTTAGCTAAGATGCGGATGATATTTTTAGTTTGAAGTAGTGGCCAAAGCAATTGAAGTGCCTTAATAGTGGTTAGTTCTTCAGTGCCTACTGCAAACTCATAAGGTGTGTTTTGGATTAAGTTATATAACTTGTGGTTAAATTTAGTGTTGTGGATGAATTCTAAAATGGGGATTTCTATAGGCTGTACAAACTCGTGCGGGATAAGGAAGGGTCGGGATTCTTCTGCGTTGAAGGTCTTGGTGATGGGGCAGAAAATATACATTTGGGTTATGGGGTCATAATTACGAAGAATACCATGAAGGTTAGTATTTTTAATACAATATGTGAAATTTAGGAAATACGGTGAAGTGTATTTTGAATTGATGAATTGAAAGCGATGGTGTGGTTGTCTAGAGGGTGTGTGGAGGTCAAAGTGATTTTGGATGAAACGATAGTAACTGTATGTATGTGTTTGTTTAGTTCGCAACATAATATCGTGTGAGCAGTGTAAATCTCTTTCGTGTGGTGCAAGGAAATGAAAGGTTAGTGAAAAGATTTGGAAGCGTTCTTTAAAACTTTCGTACGCTTGTGTGCTTGTTAGTGCTTCTGAAATAATGTGATCAAACTTTCGGTCGAAGATGTTTAGTGTAAATACATATGGTGTCTTGATGAAAAATTTCTCGGTGATTTGTGGGTTAGCGAAGCGATCGTCGTCTAAGAATTGATCTTGGTTAGCTCTGATGATGTTGTGATCATAGTATTCTAGTGTGTATTCGTTAGCTCTAGGTGCAGTGTGTATTTTTAGTGATTTTTTATATCCAACGTAAGTAAATTGTCTAGCGGTGAGTGGTGTAGTTAGTCGATATAGCATGTCTTTGTTTCGGTCTATATCAATGGATGTGTTAGTTAAAGGTAAGCAAAGAGGGTTAGTGAAATGATAGTATGAGGTCCAAAAGAGAGTGGGCATTAAAACGTATTCGTCTACAAAGTTGCGTGTTTCGTTAGCGTCATGAGGGGTGTTTAAGGTGTATTGTGGAAATGAGGGTAAAGTGATGGCTAAAAATTCTCTAGTGTTAGTATGTTGGGGGTGGTTGATGTATTCTCGGGCTGTTCCTGGTTTTGCTGGGAAAGGATGGTTGGGGAACTTTCTTTTAAAAGTGCGATAAGCTCTATTAGTGTTGAGTGAGGATTCAGTTGATGTGGATGATGGTGCTAATGATTCGGTATAATTTGAAGAGGGTGTAGGGGGATTGGATGAATTTGTAGTGGAGGAGATTTGGTTTATGGTCGGGGTGTTAAGGTGGTAGGGTTGTTGTTGGAGGGTAATAAAATTGTCTAGCTCTGGGGAGATTCGGGGGGTGTCTGGAGATGATTGGTCAGAATGGTATGAGGAGTAGGTTGGGGTAACTTGGGAAGCATAAGAGGGTGTAGGAGTGATTGGGTCAGGGTTATTTGATAATATGGGTTGAAAAGGAGGTTGAGAAAAATGAGAAGGGTTATGAAAATTATTGGATGGAGATGGTTCTGAGTCGGCAAATTCGTCGGGGGTTTCAATATTCGGGTTATTTAGCTGTGAAATGGAGTATAAAACTGAAATTTGTGAGTTAGTGTCGGAATTCATGCCTGATGTTACATTGCTAGATGGAAAATCGGGTGGCGGAAAAGCAAAAAGTGGTATTATTGGGATTGAAGAGGTAAGGTTGGTTGGATGGGAATTTGATCGATGGAGT